TGTCAGCGGCTGATGAACTCTAACTACGAGTACGAGTATCTTAGCATCTAAACCATTTACTTGCCAGACGAACGTAGTCTTGTACGAGGAATTTGTGCTGCTACGGGTATATACCCTGCAGGGAAAAATACTAGTTGTTTACAAGAATCCAACTAGTTTACATTCTTACACCAACTAGTTCTTCTTCCATCTGTTTTCCATCTAAGCAACTTTTATTTTTATCGCGGCGATGTTGTGCGAAATGTCAATTGTCAGTATATTCATCAGCTTGATACTAGTTAAGTACCAGTTCATCTATACCAGTTAAAATACTGTTTCATTCATACCAGTTGAGCACTAGTACGCTTCAAATCAGTCTGTATCGTATTGTTCAAAACCTAGTTCGATTGATTTCGGTGTTTAAGTAGATTTGAGAATCTGTTTGAACAATTCTTCTCTCGAGAAGTTAATTAGGGACCACTTTGCTTGAATTTCGGTACATTATTTCTTTCCAAAAAATATTACAGATAGCGAGCTATGTTTTTGAAGCATAATTACGGCTGTTCATCACTTTTTTTTTGTGATAACGTCAATTCTAATAATGTGTGATCGGAGTTACCTTTAATTGTGAATTCTGATTTTTTTTTTGTAAAACGACAAACTGGTATTAATTTGTCCGCAAAAAACTAGTATAATTCTGGTTTGCAACAAATTAGTTTCATTTCGTCTTCAAAACCATATCTAATATTTAAGTAGAATTTTTGCATACTAGTCTACTTATTCCCTGCAGGGTATGTACTAAAGGTATCTATGTACTACATATACATATATGTAATTGGCGTGATTTTGCACAGATGCTCATTACAGTCGTCCACTTGGCTACTGGCTGCTGGCTGCTGCTTCAAATTATCTACATACCTTACATATTTGCGAAATGCAGTCAGTAACCTTAAGTGTGGACGTACATTTGCCGCAATGGGAGTTTCTTAGTAAAAGAAATTAAAGGTTTAGGCAAACCCCTTAGAACACAAGTGGGCTTAATTAGCCGAATCGGCATAGCCTTGGGTGGAAAAATGGCATGGAATAACTCGCAGGTGTGGTACACAGTTGGATCAATAACCGCAGAACGGGGCTCCAAAACATGGCTGTCAGTACCTATGGGCAAATGCCCTAGCATCTTTCAAGTCGAGGTGCTCGTCATCACATCATGCGCAGATATCATATTCAAAAGAAAAACCGTTGCAGTGACATCCAGGCAGCACTGTTGGCGATGGTACGGGAATGTGTCAGGAAGCTATTGTAAATGAAGGTTGTTCGAAGTAAACAGAGTTCCACTCATCTAGGTTCCGGCATATACGTGTACAGGTATTCAAGGAAATGAAATAGCAGATAAACATGCCACAATATCGCCTAATGGACCAGAGACCTACTTCCCTACGAATACTCATACAATTTAAGACAATTGGAATTATGAATTGAAGAAAATAATATAAAAAACAGTTATTGATGAAATAATGACGTGCTAAGACAATCGATAAAGCTTATAGACGTTCACAATACCAGAAGACTCAGAGGCATTCAATTACTTTTTAAGAATAACATAAGAAGACTGACAAGATTCCTTACAGTGCACTGTCAGATTACGCAAGCGCATGCAAATAATTGTAATACCAATGGACTATGGGCTACTAACAGAGACAGCATTGGGCCGAACTTAGAAGAAGACTGAGACATCTAGGAGTCATTCAGCCGGAGCAAAATCATAATAAATCAATTAACTAGGATTTCTAATGGCTTTGTGATTGACGGAAGTAATGTGAAAGAATCGGTGGATACCAAAGACCACTAGTCGCAGTGCATATCCTCCACTATCTATATAGCTATCTATCTAATTAGGTCGTTCATATAGGTTTTAAGGAAGACACCCTATGCGTCTTGATGTTTTTCCAAAAATTTGGATTGTGGCGCAGCTCATTCTAAGTTACTTCCGAAGGATGGATGTTGGTCGAACCAAAACTGGAAATCTGGTATTTCGAATATTAATACAGACTATTGCGTTTAGAAGGTAATAATTGTAGTTTATCCCCGCCTATTAGGTTATGTTAGCTTATACCAGCTGTCTATTACGCCTTACATAGATCTGCTGGTCCTTTGCGGCGCCAGATGGAGGTTCAATTTAGTTCAAGCTAAAGTTGTCGTCATACAAGACAGGAAGTCAATGCTATTGGCGAAATTTAAGGCACCTTAATATACCATGTTGATACTTCATCTAGTCCTTTAAACAGCAAAGCTTCTAGATATCTAAATCAAGTTCTAGATAAAGCCAAACAGCCGTAGAGGAAGTGTTCCAGCGTCACTCCCTCGTGCCTTTCTTTCTGCATTACTATATCTGTCACTGTTACTACTGTTACTGCCCACTGTGGTGTCCAGCGTTGTTAGCTATGTCAAGAGCTTTCCCTGCCACAAAGACATCTGCCTGGAAAATAGAAAAATAATGCAGTAAACCGGAAGCTTTAGTGGTTGCCTGAGATCTAGATCAACGCAATATATTCCGGCTCCCAGTCCATGAGTCGTTTTATATCCATCGTTGTAGACGATGCAAATCCCGCTGACGAATCGCATATTCCTGTGGCATCCGCCATCTTTCAGTGTAACCTCCCAGAATGCAGCGAGCCACTGATAAGGCCAACTTTTCACTTTATTGTGCTTGACATAGGCTGAGAGTAGACTACTTGACTCACTTAATATAAGGGGTACATATCAGCCAAGTATCTAATGTCCGGTTCCACCCGAACCTGGTCTTGCTTCTTGTTTTATTTGTATTCACTTACTTATATACATTTGAAAACATCAGTAAAAGGAAGTTCACGAAATAAATGAAAAGAATTGACCAATTTTCAAAATGCATGCACATCCTGCCAACAGCTGACGGACATGCGTTGAAGTAAAGTGTGTTTGTTTGTATGTACAAAAGTACATCAGAGCGCAGGAGTGCTGGAGCGAGCCAACAACAAGTGTTGCGTTGAACCTTTAAAAGTGGCAAATTATGTAACCAACTGTTGTACAATTTACAAAACAAAGAAACCAAATTTACAACAACACTTAAGAAATAAGAATTTCTGTACTGAAAGAGGGATATCGTCTCATGTTTGCATGTTTGCCCTGTGTATAATGCAGGAAATGAGACAGGGAAGAGACAACGCAACAGATGACGATGATTTTTGATGCCTAAGGCACAAGTGAATTATTATGTTGTTACAGAGATATGCGTACCAAGATGAAGCAGAATTTAAAGGTATTGTTTTTTGAAATAATTGCAGCCGATTTTTGGCAAATGTTTGCTGGTTTTTTGGTTTGTGGAGACGGTAGAGGCAGTAAATTTATTTATTTTCATTTCCTCTTTATTATTTTTTTATACAATTATCTTTTTACTTTATTCTTAATGTTTTATTTGTTTTCATTTTTTTTATTTTATTTTTTTCTTTTTGGTTTTCATATTTATTATGTATTATTCCATCTTAATTCACTGCACTATTATTTTATTAAATTATAATTTAATTTATTTATTTAATTTTTTTACTCATTTCATTTCATGTTCCTTTATTTTTTTACTTGTTTTAATTTTATTTCATTTTTTACATTATGTAATTTTATTTTACTTAATTTTTCGGTTAAATTTATTATATTTTATTATATTTTGCACTATTTTCCTATTTACTATATTTTAATTCATTTTACTTTATCTCATTTTCTCTTAATATATTGTATTTTATTTTATAAATTTTATATAAAATAAAAGAAAATAAAATGAAAAAAATTTTCCTTTTAATTGGTTTTTTTCTTTTAATTGTTTAAATTTTATTGAATTTTTTTAAATTATTTAATTTTGTTTTACTTAATTTTTTTTAATGTTCCTTTATTTACATTACTTTTCTATTTCATTTTATTTTATTTTATTTCTTTTCACTTTATATTATTTTGTTTTGTTTTATTTAATATTATTGTACTTTACTTTATATTAGTTCATTTTAAAATAATTTATTTTATTTTTCTTTATTTTATTATATTTTGTTTTAATTTATTTATTCCGGTTTTTTTAAATTTATTACTTTGGTTTTTTTATTTACTTTATTTAAGTAATTATAAATTATTTCATTATATTTTATTTTATTTTATTTTATTTTATTTTATTTTATTTTATTTTATTTTATTTTATTTTATTTTATTTCTCTTTATTTTATTTTATTTTATTTTATTTTATTTTATTTTATTTTATTTTATTTTTTGGTTTTCCTTATTTTATTTTATTTTATTTTGTTTTAATTTTTTTATTTCAATTTTTTTTTGATTACTTTTAATTTATTTTAATTTTAGATTTTACTTTGTTTTATTTTATTTTATTTTATTTTAATTATTTTAGTTTATTTTATTTCATATTAATTTTTTTACTTTAATTTATTGTTTTTTATTTTGTTTCCTTTTTAATATTTTTTTTTTTTTTTTTTGATTTGACGTTGCCTCTAACTTAAGAGCAGTATACCATTCGAAGTTCATATGACTGCACAAATTTTCTTAACTATGAACTTAAGCGGTTTCCTTTATGTGAAGTTTGCTCATTACTTAAATCCAGTCCTTAAGTAGTGAGCAACCATAAAAAAGGAGTTGTATAATAAGTCTTTCTTTATATTAAAGTATATATGTTTAGCCTTGTCGGACACCACCACGATGTCTGTTCTGTGTGGTGGTGATTAGTTCGTAGCTTTGTTCATTTATTTAGATGCAAAATGAACTGATTTCAAAGGTGCAGAGGAGCGTTCGATTTATGTTTCTTCGGAGTAATCTGATTCAGGATAAATTGGTAGCAATCGCAATTGCCCACCATCTTAACGAACACACCAGCTTTCAAAAAAAAAAATAGTGCTGCCGTTTTTTCTGAAGTAACTAAGAAACTGTAAACGAACTGAACGATGTAAACAAAAATAAATAAAAGAATTACCCAGTACGGCAACTTTACTATGAATCAGCCAACAGCTGCGAAAAATTCTGACAATTCATTGACTTTCTTTCATTATTTTTCATTGGAAAAAATTTTAGCTCTGGGTTGAAAATATCTGTGTGAATATTGTAAAATTGTGTTTTTTGTATTATTCACTACTACGCAGTTAAAAAAAGTTGCGGTCGTGGACCAATAATTTTATAGAATACAACTGGCAAGTGATTGCATCAAATGAATGTCGATTCCTTCCAGCAGTCGCTAAATCAATCACTCCAAGCCCTCACAATAAAATTCGAACAATTTGTGGGCGTGGCAGTGCAGACAGTGACTTTAATACAACGAGAATTCGCAGAGACAACACGTAACTGGAGTAGTCCTATCGAGTTTACACCGTTGCAAGTGACGCTGTTAAAAGTACTGCTGCTGCTTCTACTGGGCACTGCAGGACTAATCGCATACTCGTGGCGTGTTTACGGCAAAGTAATTACAGAGAAATTCGTACGTCCAAGTAAGCTGAGACACTTTTCAATTGAGTTTTCGCCTTGCAGCTTTTTTCTTTTTGTTAACGCATACTAATTATAAAATTTGCATTTATACCTTACTTTTGTTAGATGCTTGGCCGAGGTTTTCTTCTTTTTTGTAGTGTGCGTCCTCTCATAGCATTTTTGTGGAATTTCATTTTACTAATTACACCCTTTTAAATATATCAACAGGTACACTTAAGGAAATTGAAGAGCTTAAATTATCAGTGGCAAAATTAAAATTACCTAAAGAACACTCACCACGAATCTAGGGTAACTGCAGATTGTATAATAACCGAAGAAATGTCGAAAATAAAGAAATTCTTTTCACGTAAGAAGGAGGAAGCGGCGTTTAAGGTAACTGGCGACAATCAGCTTTGCAATTAAGTCAAATATGAAATATCTTATTTTCAATTAATGCTTCTAGCTTAAGCTTGGCGGCGGCATGGGTCAAGGAAGAGCTTTAAACGCTGCTGCACCGCCACCGAACAGCTCAAGCTCGAAGTCTGGAAATGCTTATGTGCCACCAAAGCGCCAGGAAATGAGTTCGGAAGCGCGTCAAGCCGCCGCTGCGGCTTTAGCACGTATAGAGAAAAAGGAGACTAAAGATTTTAATACTTCGTTAGCAGCTATCAAAGCGCAAGCCAAACGCGAACTCGAAGCGGAACAGAAACTAAAATCGGAAGAGCAAAGTGCCACTTCGGCTTCGTCCACATCGATTCGAAAGAATCTGGCATGTGAAGGCGTGTTCTTTCGCTGTGCTTTGATAAGCGATGAAATCTTGCCACGAAAAGAATGGAAAGCCAAGATAAAAGAGTTTCTTTATCAACAACTAGAATCGGAACAAGCACTGACTGCTTGCCTAATTATTTGTAACTGTAATACACGTGAAAAGGTATATATTTTGTGAATTTGCATTAATTTTCGATTTTCTTAATGAATTGATTTGTTCTTTTTCGTAGGCTGATGACTGCATACAAACGCTTACAAAATATCTTGAAAACATACATAATCATCCTGATGAAGAGAAATACTATAAAATTAGAATGACAAATAAGTATGTTTTCGTTTGCTTGCGTACAAATATCTTTAAATACATCCTTGAATTATTACAGAATTTTCAGCGAGAAAGTGCGTTATGTAGAGGGTGCGCTTGATTTCTTGCTTGGCGCTGGCTTCCGTGAGATTGAAATCGATGGTGAGCCCTTCCTGCTATGGTCTAAGGAAAACGTTGAGAAAGATTTCGACATTCCTACATTGTTGGATGCATTAAAAAATGCCGAAATTATACCATTGGATTTAGATAGAAATATTAAAGTGTTAATGCCGTCACAGGCACGTAATGTTGAGCTGCCAGATGATTTCTATCGCATTTCACCAGAGGAAATCAAACGTGAGCAACAACTACGCACCGAAGCGATTGAAAGTGCGCAAGTATTACGTACGAAGGCAATGCGTGAGCGGGAAGAGCAACGTAATTTGCGTTTATATCGTTTTGCATTAGTTCGCGTTAAGTTCCCCAACGGAATTTACATACAGGTGAGGACGCTTTGATATTTCGTTGCGAAACTTATACAAAAAAACTTAATTTTTCACTCTGCACAGGGTACCTTTAATGTTTACGAAAAACTAAGAGATATATTTGAATTCGTACAGTCGTGTCTTATTGACGAAAACTTAGATTTCAATTTAGTAGTCACCAGCGGAGCTAAATTTACCGACGATGATATGGAAAAGACTTTATATGACTTGCGGTAATGGAAAAGTGTTTATTTTTTTTATTGAAACTAAATTTAAAAAAATATTCATACCATACTTGCTTTATACATTTTCAGACTCATTCCAAATATTGTGCTGCTTTTTGCAATTCCCGGCGCAACCGCCTCCTTGGCAGCTGATACGAACTTTTTAAAAGAAGAAATGCTAATGCTTATACAGAAGATGTAAACTTTGCCAGCTGCGTGTGCAACATTTTTTAAGTTAAATTGATTATACATTTATTATGCTTTTATATTAGTTTCAATTTAATTTATTTTTTATGAATATAAAAAGATCTTTATTCCTTATATGAAAAGAAATATTATATATGTTTACACATTACCGTATCTCATTATGGACATTTTTCTTAATGCAAACATGTTATTTGAAACACAATCATTAATATTGTAATCTTTTTGCAAGAGTTCCACTATTATTGTTAAACATCACAAAATTTAATAAACAAATATCTTTCTGGATTAGTCCAAAAAAAATTTGTGTATGTTTGTTTGTATGTGTCTCAGTGTGCCTGCCTGCAGCCACGTCCGTCCATCTCAATCAGTACCTATAGCGAAAATATTTGGGTTATATATATCGGTCGATGCCGAACCAGAGCCAGCAACATGTTGATTGAGATATAAATCTTTTGTTTATTACAAATGGGCAACTTGGCAGCTCTATTTTCAATTTATTCTCTGTATGGCTCAGCTGTTTACTGTCAATTGAAAACGTAAAAACAAACGATTTGAGGACTACTTTTAGCGCTTTTACTGAAATGGACATTAAAATTAAAATGTAAGTAGAAATATTTCGATGGCTGCCTTAATGTTGAAATTAATTATTTCCTTAGACTTGTAGCTGGTGATGTGCGCGGTCGTTTTCGTCAACTCTTTCAGCGTGTAGAGAGTATAAACAAAAAAGCGGGACCCTTTGAAATATTACTATGTGTTGGTGAGTTTTTTGGCACAGTAGAGCAAAGCGATGAATTGATCGCCTTTAAAAATGGCAATAAACACGGTTAGTATAATTGAAAGTGTGGAAAATTAGCCTTGAATACATTCGAAACACTTTATTTACAGTGCCTGTGCCTACGTATATACTCGGCCCTTGCTCAAAGGAAACAGCGCAATTCTACAATAATATACAGGATGGTGAAATTTGTAGTAATTTAACGTATTTGGGTAAGAGAAGAAACGAGTTGTTTTGAATAAAACACAGTAATAAGCTTACTATTGATTCCTACCTTTAATGTAAAGTAATATATACATATATCCTACCTTTTACCAGAGTAAAACATCAATGACGACTTAATTTTGATTTTCATACAGGTAAACGTGGTTTATATACTCTAAGCTCTGGTGTAAAAATTGTTTATTTAAGTGGTCTTGAGAAGCCCGAAAAATTCAAAACTACAGATGACGATGAAAATATATATTTTGATAAAGATGATATATTATCGATACGTAACTCCTGTATAGTTAGTAAAAGTTCTGCCTCTGATTATAAAGGTGTTGATGTGCTGCTCACCTCACAGTGGCCATATGGTATGATGGAAGAGAATGTAAGTGAACTCTCTAAATTAAAAAAAAAAACATCCTTTTTAACTTATATTTTCAAATTTGTTTAATAGCAAAATGCCTCAAAGTTGATCTCATTTTTGTGTAAGGAAATCAAACCACGTTATCATTTTTGTGGTCTCAACAGCAAATACTATGAACCGGCGCCGTTTAGGTAGTAACACAGATTGAATAAATGAAACATATTCATAATTATAAACTGTCTCATCTTCCCTACAGAATACCTGCGGATCAACTTACTCAGTTAGAACTGTGCACAAGATTTATCTCTTTAGCTGATGTGGGTAATGCTGCTAAAGAGAAATATATTTATGCTTTAAGTTTGACGCCAGTGGAGAAAATGCGTGTGCTAGAACTTATACAAAAGACGACAAATGAAATCAAATGTCCATTTGTTGGCATGAATTTTCACGAATTCACTGGACAAGGCGAGGTAGTAATGAACAACGGCGAAAATTATATATGTATTTTACAATTAAACAAATTTCTAAAACCATTTGAAACAATCTCTCTTGTCGCACAGCAATCGGACAACAAACAATATTTCTATGATATGCAAGGTGGCGGTGAAGATAATCGTAAGCGTGGTGGCGCCAGAGGTCAACGGCATGACAAGCGTCCAAGAATTATGAATATTGATCAAGGTATTTCCAGCGAATTTTTTAATTATGACTAAATATTTGCATAACTCATTGTTTACCACCATCTTCATTAGAAAAATGTTGGTTCTGCTTATCCTCACCGGAAGTTGAAAAGCATTTAGTGATTTCAATTGGCGATAATTTCTATTTGGCTTTAGCTAAGGGACCAATCAATGAATTTCACGTGCTCATTATGTCCATAACGCATATTTCGTCAGCTTCGTTGCTCGCTGAAGACGATTGGAAGGAACTTGTGAAATTTAAGAAGGCATTACGTGATTTCTTTCGTTCACAGGGACAGGTGGTTTGCTTTACTGAACGCCACTATAAATCATCTCATTTACAAATTAACGCATTAGGCATTGACGAAGGTTATGCCTGGAAAATTAAACATGCTTTTGAGGTATGCAAAAGTCTTCCATTTGTGTATTTTTGTTGTTGTTGTTTTGTAGTGAAGTAATATTTAACCCTTTCTAGGACAAATCTGAAGAATTCAATTTGCAATTGGAAACATTGCCTGCTCTTACATCATCGCAGATGTTGCCACAACAGGGAGCGTATTTCGTTGCAGAGCTTCCTGATGAGAGCACATTATTAACGCGCCAAATGAAACATTTTCCATTGCATTTTGCACGGTAACATACGAGATATGATACTTATGCTTTTGTTCTTTCCCGAAATTATATTTCTCTATTTTTATCATTTCAGTGACGTATTTTGCTCCGAAAATTTACTTAATTGTGAGGAGAAAGTGGATTGGAAGGATTGCAAGTTGGATAAGGAGGAAGAAATTGAAATGGTAAAGAGTTTTCGAAAAAAATTTCAAAAGTACGATTTTACGCTTTAGTTTTTCTCCTTTTTTTGTGGATTAAAAGGGTTATTTAATAAAAAAAAATTAATAGAGCAATTTCATTTTATTATATGAGAAGTACATACATTTCTATATAATACAACACATTAAACATCCGTTTACGAGGAGTGAGAAAGCAAGAGTATGCATAACTTACGAGTTTGTCTTGGAAAAGGCTGGTGAGAAAAAAATATAAGAACCAGCATCAAATCAAGAAAAATGCCAGTCTTAAAATCCAATAAGGAATCAATTTTGAAAAGTAAAGTCGTCTCCCGACGAAAAAAATGAAATTCTTCAAATCGCTCTTCATTCTTATTCTGGGATTTGGTACAGCAGTATGGAAGATAGCAACGTTCGAGGAGTTTTCAAGAGAAATGTTTTTCGGAAGGTTTATGGTCTTTGCGCATTTGCAACGGTGAATACCACACATGATGAATGATAAGTGAAAATAATAAAAAAACTGCGGCTAGCTACGTCATGTCGTCCGTAAGTGCGTTAACACTTCAGCTTTGAAAGTTTTCGATGCCGTATTCACTGGTGGAAGCGGTTTGGACTCACTTAGTAGATCCAAAAACAACTATTGCACTGTAGTTGATTCGACTATAGGCGCTTAAAGCCAATTAGGAACATGACATATCTACGTCATCTGTAATTTTTGAATTCTCTATTATAAAGAAAAGGTTTTCCAACGCTACTGCTATGCAATGGATTACTTTGTGTCAAGGGCACTTAAAGACCACTAATATTTATTATTTTATTAATCTTATATAAAATCAACGTTACAATTTTTCTTTAAAATTTCCAAGAGAGCTAAACGTGGGACCCCATCTGGAGCCTGTTGAATGTGCTTCTTAATTTTTCTTACCATTTCTTCTTCATATTTGTTGTAGATGCTAGGTAAATTCAATTCTTCGTAAAGTTTTTTAACACGCGCAACCTTCTGGGGATCTGAAATCATCAGCAGTTATAAATACATACATATGTACATATATATATATTTTTATTTATTAACCAACCGCTTACCATTTTTCCCATAACACTCTTCCATTATCGCCTTCTGCTGTGGGTCAGCCAATTGCATGCACTTTACCGCTAGCCATGAATATTTGTTGGTCTGTATGTCAAAGCTCTCCTTACCAGTGACAGCAGAGTCAGCAAAACAATCGAGGAAATCGTTTTTTGGTTGATAATAGCAACCAATCTCTTGTGAAATAGCCTTACATTCATCAAATACCTTCTTATCCTTTACCCTAAAGATTTGTTAAACTCTTTTTACTTACATTTTATTTATTTGTATATTTATTTCTTAGCTTACCCCGCCAATTTTAGGCCCAGACTTACTGGTAAATGAAAGAAGGTGTTGGCACTTTTATTCATAACAAGCGTTTCGTAGCTTTCCATATTGAAGGTGCTTACGTGTTTTGATGTAAGTATCATATCCATATTCTGTCCACACATGCAATTAAAGATGTTTTCATGAAATAATTCAACAAGGTCCTTATAACAATCCAAATGGCGGAAATGTTTTTTGAGCAATATGAAAATTCCGTTCTCAATCATAAAAACATCATTAATGGCATTCATTCCAACCCCATCCACTCTGAACCAACACAGTTGGCCGCGACGTTGGTAGCTGTTATCGATCAGGTCATCGTTAATAATGATCACTAAATGTAGCTGAGCATGGCACGCAAAAAAAAAAATTGATTTTCTTGGGGGAAACAAATTTTATAAAGCTCTACACTTACCAATTCTAGACACCACCCAAGTAAATATGCCAATCTCAAATTTTCCTCGGTGAGTTGAACGTCTTTGACGGAGTCTTTGTAAACTGAAACGACCATTAGACCATTTCTCGTACTGCCTACAGACATAGTGTACTCCAGCGCCTGTTTAAGGAAGGGAAAATTTGTGAGAGGTCAATATTTTATGTATTGAAAGATATTTCTCTGCAACCTTTTTGTACCATTCAGCTGCCTCTGTGCTTTTGTACTGTTCAGCTGCCTCGCCGAGTTCGCGAATGACCTCTTGGTTTGGTGAAAAAAATTAAATAATTTATATATAAATATTTACTTAGTACCTCATTTCATTAATTGATTACCTGGATAAAGATTCATATAATCATGAATTTCTTTTTCTGGCAGTTTCCAATCTCCAGACTCTGTGCCCCAGTGGCTGTCCACTGTGTTGAAGGCCTAAGAAGTTATTCGAAATAAGTAGTGTCAAAACTAATATATCAGGAGCTCGGAAGTATAGTGTAAGTCCAGCGGAACTCAACCCTACTAAAAATCTTGCAATTGCGAGAGGTGTCTTTATATGATTTGATTGATTTCCTGAATTGTGTTTACCTATTTTCAAGGATAAGCCATACAAGCCATACCAACTGGAACCAGGCTTGTTTGTTGTATTATAAATCACATTAATCGAGTGAGGTCTAATGTAACTTAAGTTAATTTAGTGGAAATTGTATCCTGCTCATATTCTTAATTCGCTATTCCCAAATCAGCGGTCAGATCACATTCTAAAAGTTAACTACATATATATCTGACAACAATAAATAAACAAGGCTACAAAGGTTTGAGCTTTTCTCCACATTTCTGAGTCGGTTTCAAAGATTCGGTTCAACGGTGTTTTATTTTACATTATTATTATATTTTTTTATATTTTGTTTTATGTTATTTAATTTAATTTAATTTCATTTTATTTCATTTTGTTTTATATCATTTTTATTTATTAATTTTTATTAAATTTTTTTCAATTTTTTATACTTTAATTTACGTTTAGTTTATATAATTTAATTTAATTTAGTTTTGGTGTTTATAATTTGATTTTTTTTTTAATTTATTAAATTTTGTTTACTGTTTTTTGTTTATTTTTATATTATGTGAGTTTTATTAATGCTAAGTTTATTTTACTTTGTTTTGTTCTAATTCAATATATTTTTATTTTTATTTTTATTTTTATTTTTATTTTTATTTATATTTTCTTTAAATTTTTTTTTTGGTTTTATTTTAATATAGTTCATATTCTTTTATTTTATTTAATTTAATTTTACTTTAATTTATATTATTTTATTTTGACTTTTTTTATTTTTTATTTTTTAGTTTATCTTACTTCGTTTGTTTTATTTTATTTTTTTTTTTTTACTTCATTTTATTTTATTTATTCTTTTTTATTTATATATATAATTGGCGCTGAGTAACCGCTGGTGGTGTTGCGTCTTGATGTTTGTCCAACAAATAGAGAGACCTACAGTTTACACTAATTTTTTTTTTAAATGAGGATCTTTATTTACTGTCCGAAATACACTCGGAGGGGTTGACATTCCCTGCCGAGTGGCAACCGCATTTAGAAAAAATAAACTTAATTTTTTATTTAAATTAATTTTCTATAATTTTTCGATGATTGGTCGTACCAGGATTTGAACACCAGCTTTTCGAAAGGCAGTTTGCAATGCTATAAACTTGGCTACCGAGGCCGCCATTTACTTTACTTATGTTTTATTTAATTTTTTTGTTTTATTTTACTATGTTTTGATTCTTTTATTTTGTATTATATCTATTATTTTATTTTATTTTATTTTTTTTTATTTGCATTTATTTTTTTTATATAATTTTTATTATTAATTTTATTGCAATTTGTACTATTTTAATAATATATAAATAATTTTATTTTGTTTTTTTTTTTTTTTATATTTACTTACTTTTATTATTTAAGTTCTTTGTTTGGTTTTATTTTATATTATGTCATATTATTTTATTTTAATTTATATTAGTTAATTTATTTTTTTATTTTATTTTTATAAGCTTACTTAATTTAATTTTTTTTTTATAATTTTAATATGATTTTTTTATCTTATTATTTATTTTTTTATTTTAATTTAATAATTTTTTTTAATTCTTCCTTTTTTTAATGTAGTTAAATTTATTTATTTAATTTAATTGATTTCCTTTTATTTTACCGTTTTTCATTGGATTTACTTTTACGCAAATTAAATAATCATTAAAAAATTGATTAGACCGTGAAGTAATTACTTGTGAAAACATCCTATGAATTGTGACAACTCTAAATACATCAGAAACCAGATGATAAAAAGAGGTCTACTCGGTTCATTTTGTTTCCTTTCCGAAAGATCACTGACCTTGGACCCTCAATATTAAATGATTACACATATAATAATCAGTGATGTCCAATACCTGCGCTATCTCCGGACAGCTTCATCAGTTGCAGAATTTCATAGACTTTCTGGTGAGTGGCACACCCAAGGAGCTGAAAATTTCCGAAAAGAAGTTGAACAATACACTCCTGGGTCCGGTCATGTATTCTCATCGTAAGCCACAAACATTTTTAGTGGAAAATCCCACAATGTAAGACTTGAAGTATCAGCTTATAAAGAAGTGTTAGTTTGACACAATCGGTATAGTGTTGCCCGAAATGAGAGTATCAAAGAAGGGTATGTAAGAACGAAAAAGGATATCATGAACGGAACAACCCTACAGCCTTTTTAATTGCAGTGAAAATGTCACACCAGCCAGCAGTTGGGTTACAGGCTGAACTATTCAAACATAAGGGCAAAGAGCTGACCAGGGCATACATACATCAGCTTCTTTGTAAAATTCGATAGGACAAAAGCTTATCCGTCGATTGTACTTCGCTGTATAGACCAAGTGGAGAAGGACCTTGCTTCGGTAAAAAAAAGAGAGTTATTGTTCTCAAATAATATTATATTCGCAATTAAAACTTTAAAAAATATATCGACTCATTCTCGTTATGGTTTTCTATAAGCGTAAATAATTTTAATTATTATTAATTTAATAAGTAATGGCACGTGTGAGTTTGGTTTTATTATATACATAGGTATATATTATGTAATAGCAATACTTTTTGCCGATACGACCACTGTCAACGTGTTAAGGACTCGCTGCTCAGCTGGTTGGTGATCTCGTAAGATTGAAATTTGTCCAAGAATCTCATTGGATGTGACAAGCACAGAAATCAGCCATATAAAGTAACGCAAATTTTTTATTGATGACCGTAATGGGATTCACAACGAACGTCTCGCGACAATCCGCATCCAGCCTAAGTGCTGATTTGCAGCCACGTCGAAAAAAATACTAAAAAGACAGAGCCGACGAAAGGCTAGAACGATGTGACCAAAGACAGATAGAAAGCACATTGTCGATCACAGCGCATGCAGAGCGCGACAGATATCGACAGCTAAAGAGAGTAGCAAGACATATTTTCAAACAAGAAATATAAAGAGGCTGCCTGGGAACGAAATGAATGAGAAGCTGAACGATGTGAGTAATGCTCCATTAATCTTTGCAAAATTGCAACAACTTATTGGAGGTTACAAGACTTGGTTCATTCAGGAACCAATAAGGCACTCTTGGGGCTGATGTCAAGAACACACTGAAGCGATTGCCCTCTTAAACAATAATTAGGCAGTGTTAGACGAACGCGTACCGGCTGAAATATACAAATATGGCGTCCAGAAGTATTAGCTTCTTGGCAGAATATGCTCGGAGGAATGATTGACATTCCTTGCCATGGGACAACACTTACTCATTTTTAAAATATATGTGCATACATTGCACATAATGTAGTAAAAAAAATGTATCTTGTGAAGGCTTCCTGGTTAGTTTTGTACAACATTTAAATATGTAACTTTATAAGAGGGATTGTGTCTTAATTTATACCTTTTTATAACAGTGTTCTAGTATTGTGTAGAACACATCGTGCGGTATTTCGTTTGATGTTTGGCCTATGAGATCTATAACCTCATTATAGGCTTGATTCTCGTACATGGCGAACTTTTTAAGAAGATCCATATCGTCGTACAGCTGTCTTACTCTGGCAACTTTCTCGGGATCTGAAATCATAAGGTAAGTAAAGGTCTCAGGATTATAATGTAATACACAAAAATAAAAGTTCAGAAGTGGAATAATGAGAAGCAGTCTGTTTAGTCAAAGTTGAGTACTATGATTAGATATTATACTTATTATTGTTATTTATTTTTCTATTCACATACTTATTACTATACACTTAACTCAGCAGTATATGGTATGGACGGTTCAATTGTATATATTGTATAGCAGCCGAAACAGCAGAGTGATTATACCTGAATTTGAGTCCTGATCCGGCCAATTGTAAAAAGAACTTGTTCCAATAAAATATTAAGTTCATTTTTCTAATTGCGGTCTCCCCTTGGTAGGTAATGTCAAGCCAACCGAGTAAAGTTCTGACATGAAATAAAATCTTCCCGATGCTCCACTGTGTGGAAGGTAAAAAAATGTCCAGAAATGTCGATAAAATAATGGAAGTTGTCAAGTCTGATCGTCTGGAACATTCTTCCTATTGAAGAAGAAACAGTTTGGGACCAATTGAAAAAGGGTGGATACACAAGGAGTAAACAAGAAAGCCTCCATTTACCAAGTTATCCACAAGCCAGAATTGAGGACCAGGAAGGTTTTGTTATGAGTATGGTGGGCTCGGCAAAGAAATATCCATTATGAGCTGCTCCGAACTCTTAATTTGGACCTATACTGTCATCAATTGGGCCGTCGAAAGGAAGCAATCGTTCAGAAGCGCCCAGATTTCGCTAACTTGAATTGAATTGTATTTCACCAGGACTACGCCAGATCATACAAATCGATAGTGATTAGCCAGAGAGATTCTTATGCATTCATCTTATAGACCAGACCTCGCGCGGCAAATATAGCCTTTAATTGATTATCAATATACTAATCTCAAGCAATCCTGGGAAGACTACAGCTTTACTTACCCTCTTTTCCATAGCATTCAAGCATAATAGCTTTTTGCTCGGGGTTGGCAAGCTCCAAACATTTCACCGCAAACCAAGTGCATAAATTATTTTTGATGTCACTACCAATTTCACCAGTCTCATCAGGATCGCCGAAACAATTGAGGTAATCGTTGTGAGCTTGACACAGAGTTGAAATTTTTAGCAGTAAATTTTTGCTTTGATCAAAAGTTTTTGGATTTTTCACGCTGAAAATGTATAAAGATTATCAATTATTTATCAATCATCCAACCGCATTATTGCATGCATACCCAGCTAAATGCAGAGCCGATGCAACAGGTAAATATAGCAAATGACTGTTGATTTTATCACTCACAATTGTATTATACAATGTGGCATTGAAGGTGTCAACACTCTGCTTGGTATGAAGTAGATTCATAGATTGACCGACAGTCGCTTTAAATATGGCACTCTGAAACAACTCTAGCAGGTCAACGTAGTTGTCGAGATGCGAGAAATGCTTGCGCAAGAGCTCAAATATTCCACTCTCTAGCATAAGTATATTGTTAATGGTCCCTCCACCATTACCCTGTATTTTATTCCAGCTCTGTCGACCGGGACGCGTAGTACTTTGGTATTCTACCTCTTCAGCGAGTTTGATGGTTGAATGTAGCTTAAAAATGATGGCGAAAAATTGTAAGAAAAAAATTTTATAATTTACAAACCGTTGGAAACGCTTAAAGTTACCATTTCAATACACCAACCGAGATTTTCCGCCATTTTTAGGTTTTGCGCCGTTAACTGCTCCCTTTGGATGAGGCTTTTGTAGGTTAATACCGTTATAATTCCGTAAACCCGACCGTCAGCTGGCATATTGTATTCCAGGAGCTACAAATTTCCAATACTCAAAGTTGGTTAGAAAATAGTTGCCAGGGGAATGCCTATGAATATAATATTACCTTTGTACATAGTTCAGTCGGCACATGGCCATCGTAATGTTTTGATATTGTGGTGAGATCGTTTAAAACATCTTCAAATCATAAAATAAGGAACTTTATTAACAACTATTGTTTTTGCTGTTAAATTTACCTTTATATGTTGCTAAATAACTTTGGGTATCCGCCTTTAATTTGAGCACTGGTGGAATATCCAGTGTTGGTGTACAATCGGCCGTTGCAAAGGTACTGCAAAAAAATAACGGGAATAAAATATTTAAGAAAATACTGTTTAATCTTTCGGCAGGGCACGTCAAGCCCTCCGAGTGTGTTTCTGCCTTGAAATAAAAGCTCAACTGAAAAATTCAACGGTCGATTGTTGGAGCAACACCAAGATGCACAACACAAGTTGGAGGACGAGTTCAACCGAAAATCGATTTAGCAATGTAACAACTTAGAGAGCTACACAATTTGGCTACCTTAACTTAAGACACCTCTATGACGATACCTCAATAGCTAACTAATGAGACAATATCTAAAGGGAGCTTAAAGAAAATGTGTTTTTTTTTCAAAATTTCAAGTAAATCGAATTTTTCGTAAAGGCCACGCTCTGGATAAATTCATGCATTTTTTATATAAATCTTTCTAGGGAGCACGGACACAATCTTTCGGATCCTTACAAACGGGTATTCGATTTTTATATATGTATAAGACTGGATACCTTCCCTGCCTCTGTCGTCATCACAGAGGAGCTTTAACATGCCATTTTCACCTAAAAGTTCAATATATTAAATGAAGAGACACTCGACAATTTGTCCAGTGCGATGCGACCGTTATAAGATACTAAAGGTCACGAGTGGCAATCGTGATAAAAATAAAGGAGATTTCTAGGTTTAAATGTCTTTTTTCAGTATAAATTTTCTCGAAAGGCAGACTTGTATTATCATTACGTTCCACAGATTATGTTAGGCCGAACTGGCTCACCTATTGGGGATCACTTAGGCGATATTACATCCATCGCGTTCACAGAGACACTACATGAGACCAAGATGTACATTATTTATTGTGTGAATAACCTTTCGCAAATCCAAAGGATACCGCTCATCATATCATCTGGAAGCTGACCAGCGACAGAAGCATTGGTATGGACACTTTCATTTCGGTTCAAGTGACAGTAATCTCCATTTGTGGGACAGGGTTATTGGCAAGACCTCACGCGGTTTCGGTGTTAACACCAAATGTCTGCTTGTCGTTGCCTTCTAAGCTAACAAACATTATATTGTCTTCAGTCTTGTGGAGTAGACCAAGAAGTTATGTAGCGCTTTGAACACTATAACCGCGGCAGCTGACGGCACCTCTGCACTTTCGGTGACAAGGTTTTCCTTTGGAATTTGAATGATGGCAAGAAATAGTGCACTTGTACATGGACAATTGCTTCGTTGTTGCTTTGCGTTTCACTCCCAATCGTTGCTGATTATGCGGAAAGCCGAGCCAAGCGTAAAGCTGATACATGCGAAAAATGCTACTCTTTGTACACAGAATGGTGTCTATATCATCGGCATACTCCAGCACCTGTACACTAGTATAGAAGATTGTATCTTCTCTATCTAGCTCGGCAGCTCGTATATATTTTTCGGATTCGACATCTCCTACTAATTCATTTTACTATCATTTAGCATCCTAAGGAACTGTTTACTGTAGTACATAATACACATTCTCAGAGTAACAAAGCAGACCCGATGAGTCCATCCGCCATCGTGCACAACTCGTGTCGAACGGTCATCGGGTGTGTCTCAAGTTCGGTGAATGGGACCCACACGAAGCGGTCTCTGTTCCATATTTTTACTAGAAAATTGGGCACAATTTTGGTTAAATGAGCTCAGGATGATAATCCCTTTTGTTGAGACGTTACTATTTGGCTTGCTCTATGGGCGAAGGGAGTCATTGGTCTATATTTCTTCAAAAATGAAACCGACCATAATGTTTCAGTCTATGAGGAATACTATAGAGCCATGATTACTGACTTTTTCGTTCCCAAATGTGAGGATATTAATGTAGAGGACCTTTGCTGCCAAAAAAATGGCGCTACGAGCTATACAGCCGACGAAACAATCAATTTAGTGAAGGAAACCTTTGGTGAGTGCATTATTTCGAGTCGTTGAACTATATTTTTTATTTTTTTTTTTGGTTTTATGAAGTCTTGAAGGCTTGACTACGCATATAAGCCTGAGACTATTGACTCTTCGGAGGAGAATACTCGGCTCGTTACCGCTGACATACGGCCGTGATTGCTGCCGAAAGTGGTCGTAAATTGTGCCTCTAGGANCGAGTCCTGGTGTGAGAAAATATCGAAATTATTTTTTTAATTGCGGTTGCCCCTCGGTAAGGAATGTCGAGCCCTCAATCAAAATCAATCCTCCCCCTAACAACCCATCGTCCGTTCGGAGGCGGTTTAGAGTAAACTGCAGATCTCTCCAGCGGTTACAAAGCGCCATATATGAAGCTATTTTTGCTCTCTGGGATATGAACCAGAGACTGACCTATTCAAAAAACCATCTTTATGTTTCTACTGTCCGATCTATTTGAAAAATGTACCGATATATTCATGGTTAAATTTTCAGTTTGGTTAAATTTTTTGATGAAATGCCCAAAGTATTCCATGGTGTCATCGAAATGGACCCGGGACCTGGATCGAAATATAAATAATACTGTCTTTAGGTGAAAGGGATCACGGGCGGCTAGACAAAAATTAGTATGATTTGGATATAAGCATAGCTCGTGCGTTGGTATGTTCGTCTCGCGATGTTATTATTCTGAGGCTGATGTTTGAACCCCATCGGATTTTTTTTAAATAAACGGAGTCATGCTCGTATATCAGAAAGAATAGTTTTCCATTAGCGTAAATAATTTTTTTAAATACGGATACTGATCAAATTCACTTATAATCGAACGATTGTGTGAAGGGCAAATTCATATGCACGTATATACTACATACATACATATAAATGTGCATACATGCAAATAAGCAAGTGAAAATATTTTCTACTGCCACTAAATCTGCTACATATAATTATAGATTTAAATTTTGTTTTTGCTTTGACGCATATTTATTTGGTGGGAAAAAGTAGTGAATAAAACGTTTTTAAATAAAAATATGAAAAAATAAAATAAAAAAAAATTTCGTAATATAACTCGTAGTATTGTACTGGATGTGGTTATTTTGTTGTTACACATTTTTCATCGGACCACTTGTCCTCACTAATCTCGATTGACAGGCCTCCGACTTCGCTTCCGTGGATCACCGGACGTTAGTTATCTCTAAAGAAAGCTAACTGGCCCGGATTCACAGATTTCACCGAGAAGGTCATCAGTGCTCTCCCAACTCCAACTAATTCCACAGTCGTGGAACGTTCTTTCCGCAGGATTGTCGTTACCGCTGCCGCCCGCTTCATCCCGGGAGACCGAATTGCGTAGACCCGCCCAAGAAAACGACGGTACTAAATAATTAGTATCCTGACGAAATTTCATTCGTAATCCCCAGACCGGTCACCCCCTTTATGAGGGATAAAATGTCTAAGGCCAGCGAAAGCAGCCTTTTTCATCAAAGTCATCATGGTCTTTGACCTGGTCTTTGACCATTCAGGAAAATCCCGAGGTGCAGAAAATTGATAGGATGGTCCCAAAGGGAGTCATATCGGCCAATATCTCTCTAATATTTATTATTATATTAATCTTAAAATAGATCAGTGTTCTTTAAAATTTCCAAGAGAGCTAAACGTGGGACCCCATCTGGAGCNGACTTCGTTTCCGTGGATCACCGGACGTTAGTTATCTCTAAAGAAAGCTAACTGGCCCGGATTCACAGATTTCACCGAGAAGGTCATCAGTGCTCTCCCAACTCCAACTAAGGCCACAGACGTGGAACGTTCTTTCCACAGGATTATCGTTACCGCTGCCGCCCGCTTCATCCCGGGAGACCGAATTGCGTAGACCCGCCCAAGAAAACGACGGTACTAATTAGTATCCTGACGCAATTTCATTCGTAACCCCGAGGCCGGTAACCCCCTCAAGAAGGATAAAATGTCTAGGGCCAGCGAAAGCAGTATTTTTCATCAAAGTCATCATGGTCTTTGACCATTCAGGAAAATCCCGACGTGCGGAAAATTTATATGATGGTCCCAAAGGGAGTCATATCGGCCAATATCTCTCTTCTGCCCCGAAGCGAAGACTCTCGAGACCTTGCTGCTCCCAACCAGATTCTATAGTAGCACATTCCCGCTTCTACTCTGCAAGACAATTCAGGCTGCAACTAACAAAATCCTCGGCTACCCTATTCACCAGCTGCAAGTGGGAGTATAGGATCGAAGGCGATGTGAATGTCAATGGCGTCAAAATTCCGTCTATAAACAACCCAATATTACTGGGAGCCACATTCGGCAGCCTGCACTCTTTCCCTTCGATTACGACTGCAATTGTCGCGAAACTCCAGAGTCAAAAGACAGACCGAAAGACCGTTATAGGAAGCCTTCTGATATCGCCTGACCGAAGCATCTACGCTACTAATGTCAATACTTTACTGTGCAAGCAATTTTTACTACAGACATTGATTAGAAGCCAAACCTCCAACCAGTCACATCAGAAAGAGAGTACTCGACTAAGAGGACTGTCTTCAGCACCAACTACAACAACCGCTGGACAGGACGGCATATAGACAAGCATTAAATGTCATTCACCAAAAGTCCGTTAATACTTTCATGAACACTCTCTCTGAGAATGGTATTCTCGGATTCAAATCACCGCCTACAGTAGACGAAGAGCTCGAACTGCCTCAAGAGCTCCACGTTATTAAAGTCCTACTTCTTCATAATCAACTCAACACCTTTTTGCATATCCCGCTTAAATAAGCTTATTAATTCCTCTCTAGTCCGAGCCCATCGAAGCAGCTCATTTTCTGAACCATCCGTTAGATGATCAAAATCAAGCCTACAACAGCAGCAACAACAACAACAACAACATCAAAATTCGCGCTGTAGCGATGCCTATGCTAATTAGGAAGAAAAGCTGCTCACAACCTATGCTGCAATATATTCCTTTATGCCAAAGACATTAGAACGAATCTATCGAATGTAAAAGAACAGAAAGAAGTGCAGCTCGAGGTAGAGCGCACTAATATTTATTATTATATTAATCTTAAAATAGAACAGTGTTCTTTAAAATTTCCAAGAGAGCTGAACGTGGGACCCCATCTGGAGCTTGTTGAATGCGCTTCTTAATTTTTCTTACCATTTCTTCTTCATATTTGTTGTGGATGCTGGGTAAATTCAATTCTTCGTAAAGCTTTTTGACACGCGCAACCTTCTGGGGATCTGAAATCATCAGCAGTTATAAATACATACATATGTACATATATGTTTTTATTTATTAATCAACCGCTTACCATTTTTCCCATAACACTCCTCCATTATCGCCTTCTGCTGTGGGTCAGCCAATTGCATGCACTTTACCGCTAGCCATGAATATTTGTTGGTCTGTATGTCAATGCCAACTTTGCCAGTGACAGCAGGGTTGCCGAAGCAATCGAGGAAATCGTTTTTTACTTGACTGTAATGACCCATATCAAAGGTAATGGCTGCGCATTCATCGTATACCTGCTTATCCTCAACCCTAATGTTGAGATGTTAGTATTTGTTGAAACTCTGATTGCTTAAGTTATACATATACATATGTCCACAGCTTACCCCGCCAATCGCAAACCCAAGTGAATGGGCAAGTAAAAAAGGTGACAGGAAGTTTTAATCAACACTAGCGAATCGTAGCTTTCCATATTGAAGGTGCTTACGTGCTTTGTTTCAAAAATCATATCCATATTCTGTCCACACATACTGTTAAAGCAGTTTTCATGAAATAATTCAACAAGGTCCATATAACAATCCAAGTGACGGAAATGTTTTTTGAGTAACACGAACACGCCGTTCTCAGCCATAAAGGCATCATTAATGGCATTCAGTCCAACCCCATCCACTCTGAACCAACACGGTTGACCGCGACGTTTGTGGCTGTTATCGACCATGTCATCGGTGAGAAGGATTGTAACATGCAGCTGGGCATAAGACAAAAAAAAAATTGATTTTTTTGGGGGAAACAAATTTTATAAAGCTCTACACTTACCAATTCTAGACACCACCCAAGTAAATATGCCAATCTCAAATTTTCCTCGGTGAGTTGAACGTCTTTGACGGAGTCTTTGTAAACTGAAACGACCATTAGACCATTTCTCGTACTGCCTACAGACATAGTGTACTCCAGCGCCTGTTTAAGGAAGGGAAAATTTGTGAGAGGTCAATATTTTATGTATTGAAAGATATTTCTCTGCAACCTTTTTGTACCATTCAGCCGCCTCTTTGCTTTTGTACTGCTTTGCTGCCTCGGTGAGTTCGTGAATGACCTCTTGGTTTGGGAAAAAAAGTTAAACAATTTCACTTCAACATTTACTTACATCACCTCATTTTTATTCATTGATTACCTGGATAGAGATTCGTGTAATTACGAACGTCTTCTTGTGACACTTTCCACTCTCTGGACTCTGTGTTCTTGAGGCACTCTATTGTGTTGAAGGCCTAAGAAGTTAATTAAAATTAAAATACAAGAGAAAAACTCTTCAATTTAGAAGTGTTAAAATTAATACATCAAGAGCTCGGAAGTACATTGTAAGTCCAGCGGAATTTCCTACTAAAAATCTTGCAACTGCGAGAAGTGTCTTTGTAGGATTTGATTGATTTCCAAAATTGTGTTTACTTATTTTCAAGGACAAGCCATACAAGCCATACCAACGGAAACTAGGGAGAGAGGTCTACACATTCACAAAATGAAGTAAAAAATGTATCTTGTGAAGGCTTCCTGGTTAGTTTTGTGCAAAATTTAGATATGTAACTTTCTAAGAAGGATTGTGTCTTAATTTGTACCTTTTTATAACAGTGTTCTAGTATTGTGTAGAACACATCGTGCGGTATTTCGTTTGATGTTTGGCCTATGAGATCTATAACCTCATTATAGGCATGATTCTCGTACATGGCGAACTTTTTCAGAAGATCCATATCATCGTATAGCTGTTTTACTCTGGCAACTTTCTCGGGATCTGAAATCATAAGGTAAGTAAAGGTCTCAGTTTTATAATGTAATATACAAATCTAAAGGTTCAGAAGTGGAATGATGAGAAACAGTCTGTTTAGTTAAAGTTGAGAACTATGATTAGATATTATACTTATTATTGTTATTTATTTTTCTATTCACATACTTATTGATATGAATATCCTAGTTTCGCCCCGAGTACATTTCTACCAAAGGGGATAGCGGGATAAGTGTTGAACACTTAACTCAGCAGTATATGGTATGGACGGTTCAATTGTATATATTGTATAGCAGCCGAAACAGCAGTGATTAGACCTGAATTTGGGTCCTAATCCGGCCAATTGGAAAAAGAACTTGTTCCAATAAAATATTAAGTTAATTTTTCTAATTGCGGTCTCCCCTTGGTAGGTAATGTCAAGCCAACCGAGTAAAGTTCTGACATGAAATAAAATCTTCCCGATGCTCCTCTGTGTGAAAGGTCAAAATATGTGCAGGAATGTCGATAAAATAATGGAAATTGTCGAGTCTGATCGTCTGGAACACTCTTCCTATTGAACAAGAAACAGTTTGGGACCAATTGAAAAAGGGTGGATACACATATATGGAGCTCGATGTGTGGTTACCACATGAGTAAACAAGAAAGCTCCCATGAGTGGAGTTTTGATTGCGAATCGCAAAAAGATGGACTAATTACTAATGCGGATTGTGACTGGTGGATAACTTACAGCAACTTCAGGGGAAAACGGTCGTGGTCAAAAAGCAATGAGCCAGCCCAAGTTGTCCACAAACTAGGATTGAGGACCAGGAAGGTTTTGTAATGAGTTTGGTGGGCTCGGCAAAGAAATATGCTCTATGAGCTGCTCCTAACTCTTAATTTGGACCTATACTGTCAGTAATTGGGCCGTCGGAAGGAAGTAATCGTTCAGAAGTGCCCAGATTTTGCTAACTTGAATTGAATTGTATTTCACCAGGACTACGCCAGATCATACAAATCGATAGTGATTAGCCAGAGAGATTCATTTACATTCATCTTATAGACCAGACCTCGCACGGCAAATAGAGCCTTTCATTGATTATAAATTTACTAATCAAGTAATCCTTGCAAGATTACAGCTCCACTTACCCTCTTTTCCATAGCATTCAAGCATAATAGCCTTTTGCTCGGGGTTGGCAAGCTCCAAACATTTCACCGCAAACCAAGTGCATAAATTATTTTTGATGTCGCTACCAATTTCACCAGCCTCAGCAGGATCGCCGAAACAATTGAGGTAATCGTTGTGAGCTTGACACAGAGTTGAAATTTTTAGCAGTAAATTTTTGCTTTGATCAAAAGTTTTTGGATTTTTCACGCTGAAAATGTATAAAGATTATCAATTATTTATCAATCATCCAACCGCATCATTGCATGCATACCCAGCTAAATGCAGAGCCGATGCAACAGGTAAATATAGCAAATGACTGTTGATTTTATCACTCACAATTGTATTATACAATGGTATGAAGTAGATTCATAGATTGACCGACAGTCGCTTTAAATATGGCACTCTGAAACAACTCTAGCAGGTCAACGTAGTTGTCGAGATGCGAGAAATGCTTGCGCAAGAGCTCAAATATTCCACTCTCTAGCATAAGTATATTGTTAATGGTCCCTCCACCATTACCCTGTATTTTATTCCAGCTCTGTCGACCGGGACGCGTAGTACTTTGGTATTCTACCTCTTCAGCGAGTTTGATGGTTGAATGTAGCTTAAAAATGATGGCGAAAAATTGTAGGAAAAAAAATTTGATGATTTACAAAAAGAACGTTGTTATTTGGAAATGCTTAAAGTTACCATTTCAACACACCAACCGAGATTTTCCGCCATTTTTAGGTTTTGCGCCGTTAACTGCTCCCTTTGGATGAGGCTTTTGTAGGTTAATACCGTTATAATTCCATAAACCCGACCATCAGCTGGCATATTGTATTCCAGGAGCTACAAATTTTCCAATACTCAAAGTTGGTTAGAAAATAGTTGCCAGGGGAATGCCTATGAATATAATATTACCTTTGTACATAGTTCAGTCGGCACATGGCCATCGTAATGCTTTGATATTGTGGTGAGATCGTTTAAAACATCTTCAAATCATAAAATAAGGAACTTTATTAACAACTATTGTTTTTGCTGTTAAATTTACCTTTATATGTTGCTAAATAACTTTGGGTATCCGCCTTTATTTTGAGCACTGGTGGAATATCCAGTGTTGGTGTACAATCGGCCGTTGCAAAGGTACTGCAAAAAAAAAATCCTTAGTCAGTTTGGAGATGGCTTAGGATAAACTGTAGGTCTCTCCGCTTGTTGGAAAAACATCAAGACGCACTCCATTAATTGGGAGAGGAGTTTAGAAGTGCGTATCAAAAATCGCCCAAGACCACTGCTTGCCGTGCCCTTCCATGCTAACAATCGTCAAATTGTCTGCAGCTTTTGGGACAAGATCGTCCATCTCGGTGTTTCATCGTCACTGTCAATCCGCTGGCTGAGGAAGGGTACCTACGCTTACTGTAGTGTATAATACGCATTCTCTGAGATGTCGGTCAGTGCGCACCGAAGGCGTTATTGTTGTTTGGGAATAATGTATCGAAGAAGAGCCGAAAAGGTATATCGCGCAAAATAGTTGAAATTGTGCCCATCTACTTTATGGAAAAGTTTGTGGAGGAGTTTTGGTTTGCGATTATACAAATTATAGCTCGATTCAGAATTGGAGCCAAACGACCGACACCAAATTGGACAATTTTGGTTAAACGAGTACGGGATGATAATACTTATTGTTGAGATTGAGATTGTTTTTACTATTTGGCTTGCTCTATGGGCGAAGGGAGTCATTGGTCTANAAAAACATCAAGACGCACTCCATTAATTGGGAGAGGAGCTTAAAAGTGCGTATCAAAAATCGCCCAAGACCTCTGCTTGCTGGAATCTTGGTTTGCGATTATACAAATTATAACTCGATTCAGAATTGAAGCCAAACGACCGACACCAAATTGGACAATTTTGGTTAAATGAGTACGGGATGATAATCCTTGTTGTTGAGATTGAGATTGTTTTTACTATTTGGCTTGCTCTATGGGCGAAGGGAGTCATTGGTCTATATTTCTTCAAAAATGAAACCGACCATAATGTTTCCGTCTCTGAGGAATACTATAGAGCTATGATTAATGACTTTTTCATTCCCAAATGGGAGGATATTGATGTGGAAGACCTTTGCTGCCAATAAGATGGCGCTACGAGCTATACAGCCGACGAAACAATCAATTTAGTGAAGGAAACCTTTAGTGAGAGCATTATTTCGAGTCGTTGTACTATATTTTTTTTTTTTTTTTGGTTATATGAAGTCTTGAAGGCTTGACTACGCATATAAGTCGGGACTATTGACTCTTTGGAGGAGAATACTCGGATCGTTACTGCTGACACACGGCCGTTATTGCCGCGGTAAGTGGTCGTACATTGTGCCTCTAGGATGGAAGTTACTCCAACCAGTCGCGGTCATCACTTGCCCAAAATCATTTTTAAAAGATTAAGACAAACACTTGTCTTTATAAGAAAGTTAAATTCTCGATCACAGTATTTAATTATATGCGATTTAGTTCTTCTGGAAATCCAAATGCCACAGTCTACCCATTCTTCAATATGTGCCTTAGCACTTCTTCTTCTTCTTTTTATTTTTATTGAAAAATTCCACAATCCTTCTAAGCATTCTACACATACACTCGCACTCACCTACTGGATCGTCCCAACACATAAAAATATTTTTTATTTCCGCTAACGGCCTTTGCAAGCAGGGTTCGCTGACCTCTTTTCGTTCGCTGTTGAACGGTACTAGTGTGTCGAGTCGAAAGTGCACTGATTTTTCTTAACACAGGAATCATTTCCTCTAACTGATTAAGGACACTTTTCGATAAGTTTTTTAATGTAGTTTTGCGCTGAGATCGATGCGAGGAGTGAATATGTCTTCGCGAACGAAGAGTATAGGAAAATAGTGCAGAGAAGTAGTAAATGAAAATGTTAGAAATATCAATAAAAAATGTGAATTAATTTCACTTCGACTGGAACCAATGCATACGAGGGCGGAACAATAATTTATTTTATAAATATTTTTTTTTTACTTCAGAAACTTTGTAATCTGCATTCGGTGCTGACAATCAAGTTCGAAAACAACGAAACAGATTATTGTAGAAACAATGGATTTTTCGAAGCACGACAGGTTGGTCTTTGGGCTGTTACTTAACATGGATTCTACAATAGATAAAAAAGAATAAATAGAATAACGCAGAATACTGAAAATTTATCAGTTTTTCTCTGTGGTTCCTGGAAAGGTTTGTACGAAAGTGGACCACGGACCGAACTACTCCAAAAAACCACATTTATAGTTCGATCTTCTTTTTTTCAACTTTGGATAGCTACTCTTTTCTGCAGGAAATGGCCCAGGGTCTGAACTATTCGTAAAAAATCGTATGTATAGTTCGATTTAATTGAAATATATAAACAGGAAGGCGGTCACAATAGCCGCGTGACATTCGGCAGACCTAGGTCCGAGTCCTGGTGTGAGAAAATATCGAAATAAATTTTTTAATTACGGTTGCCCTTCGGTAGGGAATGTAGATCCCTCAATCAAAATCAATCCTCCCCCTAACAACCCATCCACCGCTTGTAGGCGGTTTAGAGTAAACTGCAGATCTCTCCAGCGGTTACAAAGCGCCATATATATATATATATATATGTACATATATGTATCACATGAAGCAATTTTTGCTCTCTGGGATATGAACCAGGGACTAACCTATTCAAAAAACCATCTTTATGTTTCTACTGTCCGATCTATTTGAAAAATGTACCGACATATTCATGGTTCAGTTTGGTTAAATTTTTTGATGAAATTCCCAAAGTATTCCATGGTGTCATCGAAATGGACCCGGTACCTGGATCGAAATATAAATAATACTGTTTTTACGTGAAAGGGATCACGGGCGGCTAGACAAAAATTAGTATGATTTGGATATAAGAATAGCTCGTGCGTTGGTATGTTCGTCTCGCGATGTTATTATTCTGAGGGTGATGTTTGAACCCCATCGGCTTTTTTTTAAATAAACGGAGTCATGCTCGTATATCAGAAAGAATAGTTTTCCATTAGCGTAAATAATTTTTTTAAATACGGATACTGATTAAATTCACTTATAATCGAACGATTGTGTGAAGGGCAAATTCATATGCACGTATATACTACATACATACATATAAATGTGCATACATGCAAATAAGNATGTTAGAAATATCAATAAAAAATGTGAATTAATTTCACTTCGACTGGAACCAATGCATACGAGGGCGGAACAATAATTTATTTTATAAATGTTTTTTTTTTTTTTTTTTTACTTTAGAAATTTTGTAATCTGCATTCGGTGCTGACAATCAAATTCGAAAACAACGAAACAGATTATTGTAGATACAATGGATTTTACGAAGTACAACAGGTTGGTCTTTCGGCTGTTACTTTTCTGGGTTCTAGATAAAAAAGAATAAAGAGAATAACGCAAAATACTGAAAATTTATCAGTTTGTCTCTGTGGTTCCTGGAAATGTTTGTACGAAAGTGGACCACGGACCGAACTACTCCAAAAAACAACATTTGTAGTACGATCTTTTTTTTTCAACTTTGGATAGCTACTCTTTTCTGCAGGAAATGGCCCAGGGTTTGAACTATTCGTAAAAAATCGTATGTATAGTTCGATTTAATTGAAATATATAAACAGAAAGGTGGCCACAATAGCCACGTGACATTCGGCAGACCTAGGTTCGAGTCCTGGTGTGAAAAAATATCGAAATATTTTTTTTTTAATTGCGGTTGCCCCTTGATAGGGAATGTCGAGCCCTCAATCAAAATCAATCCTCCCCCTAGTAAACTGCAGATCTCTTCAGCGGTTACAAAGCGCCATATATATATATGTATATATGTATCACATGAAGCTATTTTTGCTCTCTGGGATATGAACCAGAGACTGACCTATTCAAAGAACCATCTTTATGTTTCTACTGTCAGATCTATTTGAAAAATGTACCGACATATTCATGGTTAAATTTTCAGTTTGGTTAAATCTTTTGATAAAATGCCCAAAGTATTAAATGGTGTCATCGAAATGGACCCGATACCTGGATCGAAATATAAATAATACTGTCTTTATGTGAAAGGGATCACGGGCGGCTAGACAAAAATTAGTATGATTTGGATATAAGCATAGCTCGCGATGTTATTATTCTGAGGCTGATGTTTGAACCCCATCGGATTTTTTTTTTTAAATATACGGAGTCATGCTCGTATATCAGAAAGAATTGTTTTCCATTAGCGTAAATAATTTTTTGAGACACGGTTGCTGATTAAATTCACTCGTAACCGAACGATTGTGTGAAGGGCAAATACGTACTCGTGTGCATATATATTTACTAAGTATATGTTCTAAATTCTAAATAAATAAGCAATTTAATTTCATTCCAAGCCCGTGTGGCCGCCTACGTAAGGCTGCAGCTGGGAGCAAACTAAAAGATTTAACGTTTCAATAAGATGATTTCCAGAAAAATAAAAATAGTGTTTAGTTGAGTCCGTTTTACGTTGCTCGTGGAAAGGATATCTCAGGGCTCACCGAATCCAGAAACAGCGGCTGTGTTAGCTCGGTCATGTGGTCCAGGCTACTAAGGATACATCAGCTTTCACTGTTTTTGATGCAGTACCTGCAGGCGGTTATAGAGAAAGAGGAAGGCCTTCACTTCGTTGCTATGAAATACTTAGTATTTTCAATTGGTGCCAAACAATGAAAGGAAGGAAAGAATTTCGCGCTATTCTTATCGCTTAAGAGATGTCAGTGCCACTAAAAAATAGAAGATGAAGCTCTCTTTTGCATAATGCAAGCAGCAAGCCACATTACCCACAATAATTTGGTGATACGTGCTACACTGGAAGTGCTTCTGTACCTTATGTGCTTGACATGATCTTCGTCCCTCTTTTCATTGCCTCCAACACTCGTATGACCTGGAACCCAAGTGATATTTACCATGCTTTACTGCGGTAGTCTGTTAAAAGCCACCTTACATGTTCTCACGCATTTGGACTTTAGACACTTAATTGTCACACAAAAGCCTCACAGATATTTTTTGTCTCTTTCAGCTCAGAGGAGATATGCTGAAATCATTGAGCGTGTTGAAGCTATCACGGCTATTGGGGGATCACAGATTAACCCTGTCTCTGTGGCAGCCTCAAATTCCCATCCATCAGTGTAGATATGGATATTTTTACTGTTACCGTTGGACCCGCCTTCCGCCTATTCTTTGTCGCTAGCGTAAGATAAGTTCGAAGAATCTTTAATTACTTCAAGGTATGTAATGTAAACTCAGCCGTGTCGACTCCCTAAGGATTTAGTTGCATACACATGTAAGCTTGCCCACTACCAGGGGAGAATAAAATGAAATTATTTTGAATTTATTTCCGCATTTATTTAACTCCTCTCTTAGAGACATGATTAAGGATTTCCATAAACACATCGTACAGTTCTGGAACTGATGTTTGATCAATTTTCCTCTTGATTGTTTTATATTTCTCCTCTTCGAATTCGGCAAATACCCGCGGCATACCCATTTCTTCGTAGAGTGCACGAACGCGTGCAATTTTCTGTGGATCTGAAATCAGCAAAATGCAAATTAGAAATTCATATAATCAGTTCTGGTCGCATTTTTCCAAATATTACTATTTTGTTGTTATTATTTATAAAAAAAAATTAAAAATTAGTATTATTCTCTTTTCCAAAATTACCCTCTTGCCCATAGCATTCCTCCATAATAGCCCGCTGCTCTGGCGTTGCTAATTCCAAACATTTTACAACCAACCAAGAGCACTTATTGGCCTGTATGTCTGTGCCGATTTTGCCGGTGAAATCCGGATTGCCAAAGGAGTCGAGGTAATCATTAAGTATTTGTGCGTATTCTCCCAATTCAAAAGTTATAGCTTTACATTCATCAAATATTTTGTGGTCCTTGACACTAAAAGAAAAAAATTTTATTTAAATTCAAAAAAAAATATATTATTTTTCGACCTACCCCGCCAAAAGCAATCCCACTGCCGCGGGTAAGTAGAAAAAATTGCTCGATGATTTATTTCTTATTATCGAAAAACACACATCCATATCAAAAGTGCTCACGGGTCTTCTACTAATAATGCCATCCGTCGCTTGTCCGGATATATTCATAAACATGCATTCAAAGTAAACTTCGAACAAATCCGTATAGCAATCCAAATGACGAAAATGTTTTCGAAGCAGTTCAAAAATGCCATTCTCAAAGAGTAGTGCATCATTTACGGCATTGACACCAACACCATCCAGTTTATACCAACAAGTGCGGCCACGACGTGTAGTGCTTTTATCCGTCATATCATCGGTTAGGAAGAGAACGCAATGTGACTAAGAGGGTGAAAAGGGATTTATTTAATTAAAAAATTTTATTTTATGTTTTAGTTTATTACATTTTTCTTTGTTTTATTTAAATGCATTTTATAATAATGGCGGCCGCGCTAGCCGAGTGGTTAGCATTGCGTTCTGACATTCGGAAGGCTCGGGTTCATATCCCGGTGGCGCCAACATCCAAAAGTTTTGCAAAATTGATTTAAATAAAAAAAAAAAAAATTAAGCTAAATTTTCTAATTGCGGTCGCCCCTCGACAGTGAATGTCCCCCCTCTGAGTGTATTTCGGACATGAAAAAAAGGCTTCTCGTGAAAATACCATCAGCCGTTCGAAGGCGTCTTAGTATAAATTGCAGGTCTCTCCATTTGTTGGGATGACATCAAGATGCAAAACAAATTGGAGGAGGAGCTCGGCCGAAAATCGCTTCAGCGGTTAAAAAGCGCAAATTATATATATATATATATATATATATATATATTGTAATAATATTTTATGCGATACTTTTTTATTTTATTTTTTTATTTAATCTAATTTTATTTACTTATTTTCATAGAATATAATTTAAATTTTCTTAATTTCATTTATTTTAATGTTTTTGAAATTAGTTTCTTTTAATTTTTTATGTATTTAATTTTATTGAATTTAATTTTTTATTTTATTTTGCTTTATGTTGATTAAATTTTTTTTTTTTTAAATTTTATTTCGCTTAATTTATTTTAATTTAATTTTTTTTCAATTTTTTTTATATGTTTAAATAACACTTTACAACTGTTTAATTAATTGCATTTAATTTAATACAAAATAGCTTTGTAATATTTTCTTTTGTTAGTTTTATTTGGTTTTCGGTGATTTATTTAATTTATTTTATTTTAACTCTTATTTATTTAGAACCATTTTAATACTGTGTATTTTAGTATGTAATTTATATTCCGTTCCATCTTTATTTTGTGCTAATTTATGTTATTTCATTTAATTATTATACATTTTTATTTCAGCTTATATTTTAACTTTAAAACTTTACATTTTGTTTGTTTCAATATAATTTCTTTTACTTTTATTTATTTCTTATCTCAATGTATTTATTTTTTTCATTTTGCATTATTTTACATTTTATTATATTCTTTTTAATTTTACTTTATGCTGGGAGGATTTCAAGAAGGTGGTTTCATATTATTATTTACTACTAAATTTTGATCTATATTATTTTTTTTATTATATTTTTAGTTTAATTTCAACATTGGTGCAGTTTTTTTTCTTTAATCCACTATACAATCAGTTTTTTAATTTATGTCTAGCTTTGTTTAAATTTTTTAATTATTATGTTATTTTATTGTGTTACATTTTTCTTAAGAAATATTCATAATTCTTCTAATTAACTTAAATTATTTTGTTTTATTTTAATTAATTTCAGTTCTTTCATATTAATTTGACTTATATAATTAAATTAGTTTTCTTTGTGTTGAATAATTTTTTTTTATTAATCCTGGTTTTTACTTTGCTGGATTAATTTAACTTTATTTGGTATGAATTTATTTTATGTTAATTCTTTTCTATCTAATTTAATTCGTTACTAATTAATGAATTTAATTTTATTTTATATATTTTAATTTAATTTAATATTATTTAATTAAGTGTTAGTAATTAATATTTTTAAAATTTAATTAATTTAACTAAATTAGTATTCAGTAATTAATTTTATTTTAATTAATTCCATTTTTTTATTTTTTTATTTAATTTATTGTTAACCATTTTTAATTTGATTCTCTGCTATTTAATTGAATTGAATTTAATATTAATTAGTGAATTTTAATTAAGTATTATTCTATATTATTACTTATTGTTTAAGTTTATTTAGCTTAATGTATATATATATTATATCTATTTATTAGTTTTAATTTAATTAAATTTCCTTTTGTTTTATTTTATTTTGTTAAATATAATTTAAATTAATTTTGTATTAAGAAATTAATTTTATTTTAATTAATATCATTTTGCTTATGGTTTTCTTTATTTAATTTAATTTATTGTTAATTTAATTCTTTTCTATGTAATTGAATTGAATTTAATATTTATTAATTAATTTTAATTTAATTTAATTCTATTTTATTTTGTATTGTTTAATTTAATTACGTTTAAAATTAATTTATTAATTTTAATTTTTTATTTTATTTCAAATAGTTAAATATAATTTGGATTAATTTTGTATCAAAAAATTAGTTTTATTTTAATTAATATCATTTTGCTTATGGTTTTTATTATTTAATGTATTTTATTGTTAACCATTTTTAATTTAATTCTCTTCTATTTAATTGAATTGAATTTAATATTAATTAACGAATTTTAATTGATTTTAATTCCATTTTACCTTTTTATGGTTTAACTTAACTTTTATTATTAATTTTAATTTAATTACATTTCTAAGAAATTAATTTTCTTTTAATTGTTATCATTTTGTTTTTTATTGTTTTATTTAATTAAATTTATTGTTAACCATTTTTAATTTAATTCTTTTCTTTAGTTGAATTGTATTAATTGATCATATTTAAATATTTAAATATATAAATTTAGTTTAATATTAATTTATATATTTTAATTTAATTAAATTTTATTTGTTTTTAATTTTAATAAGTTAAATTTAATTTGAATTCATTTTATTTTAATTAATATCATTTTGCTTATGGTTTTCTTTATTTAATTTAATTTATTGTTAATTTAATTCTTTTCTATGTAATTGAATTGAATTTAATATTTATTAATTAATTTTAATTTAATTTAATTCTATTTTATTTTGTTTTGTTTGATTTAATTTAGTTTAAAATTAATTTATTAATTTTAATTTACTTAAATTTCTTTTTATTTTATTTCAAATAGTTAAATTTAATTTGCATGAATTTTGTATTAAAAAATTAGTTTTATTTTAATTAATATCATTTTGCTTATGGTTTTTTATTATTTAATCCAATTTATTGTTAACGATTTTTAATTTAATCTCTTCTATTTAATTGAATTGAATTTAATATTAATTGATGAATTTGAATTTAATTTAATTCCTTTTTACTTTTTTTTTGGTTTAACTTAATTTTTATTATTAATTTAAATTTATTAATTTTAATTTAATTCTATTCAATTTTTTCTAGTTTGAATTAATTTAGTATTAAGTAATCAATTTTATTTTAATTAATTCATATTTATTTTTTATTGTTTTATTAAATTTAATTTAGTATTAATTAATTAATTTAAATTTAATTCTCTTATATTTAATTTTGTTTAATTTAATATTAATTAATTAACTTTAATTGAATATAATTTGATTTCATTTTATTTAATTGTATTTAATTAGTATTCATTTATAATATTTAATTTAAATTTGTTTTAGTTAATTAAATTCAATAAAGTATTAATAAATTAATTTTAATTTAATTTAATTCTATTTAATGTTACGTTTTTTTATTTTTTTTCATTTTGTTAAACTTTTTTAGTAGTGTTTTTTTTTTAATTAATTTTTAATTTAATTTAGTTTAATTTAATATTATTCTATTTTCTTATTTAATTTTTGTTTTTAGATATAATGTATAATTTATTTTATTTCTTAGTTTTCGAATATAATACCCACCAGTTCAACGCACCAGGCAAGAATTCGTGCTAATTTTAACTTTTCTGGTGTAAGTTCTTCGCCTTTCACGTAGCTCTTGTATGCTAAAACTGTGATTAGACCATTTTTCTTATTTGTTAGCGGTAAATTATACTCCAGAGCCTGTGATATTGATTTTTAATTAGTATATTTCGAATACTATTTTTTGAATATTTTTTTTATTCTTACTTTTTTGTACCATTCGGCAAGATCGTGTGCTTCATATCTTCGAGTTGTTTCCACAAGGTCTTGCACAATATCTTTAAATAAATAATAATAATAATAGTATATTTAGGAATAAGCATATATGAGTAATAAATTTAGAAATGTAGAGTTCATGTGAGACTTCGTGGATGAGTTCTTACATGCTGTAAAATATTTGCTTTTGTATCATGAGTGTGAATGAGAATCTCTATGTCTCTCTCTCTCTTTTGCAAATCTATCTTAAGTCTCTGAAAAAGTCTAGTAAAACATCACAGCGTCAGGCAATGATTTTGAGAAGCTAACGGCCTTCAAAACAGCTACAATGTTTAAAGATCAAAGTTTAGATTTAGAAGGGGGATTCTATTGGTTTGCTTTATAACTGAAGTTGGTGAAAACTACGCAGTGAAAGAGGATCCCACCGGACCTTATAATTCACCCTGCCTGATAAGTCTATTAAATCCACAATTCCATTTTTCTGATGTACATACATATGACTGAGTTTACCTGGAAATACTGACATTAGTCCACGAATCTCCTCCTCTGACATCGTCAATTTAGCAGTGCTTGGCGCAGATTCAATGTCCAAGGTGGAAAAGGAGCTGAATAGTAGATATTATAGAAAATTATGATAATACAAACAACCAGGCCAGGCAAAAACAAATTATGAATTATGATAATTGTTTATAACTTACCGTTCTATCGTTTCAAAAGTGTATTTAGAGTTCGCATGGATTGGATTGGCAGTGCATGGTATTCCAACATTTTTTGTTAGACGACGGTGCGGCGGGGTTTTAAAGAGCTTGCCGATGAGTGTAGGATTCAGCGACCGTTTGGATATATAAGAAAACATTTTCGCTGTGTTTTGAAGCTAGAAGCTAATAAAACATTTTATTTTTACTTATGCATTAATAACTATGATATGCGTCTTGGTGTTTTTTCAACAAATGGAAGAAACTTCGCCTCCGATGACAGCTATTTACCAGGAATCTTTATATCATGCCTGTGGCGTTGATATACCCTGCCGAAGGGAGAATGCAAATCAGAAAACAGGAAGGACTATTGCTTGCAAATGGATCACTGACAAGAAATGTGGTCTAAAACCCTGTGATAAAATATAATAATAAAGTGAAGTGACACACTAGATCAAACCCATGCAGCGGTGTCAGGGTGTTGTCATCAAGATTCGAAAAAATTTCTTTCAGGAGCAAACTAAATATAGTTCAAAGATCTGCAGTTATCCTCATAACATGTTGTCTATCATTGACTTTTCAAATAAAATAGGAATTTTACTCAATTTTCTGCTTCTAAAATTGTACTCAAGGAAACACTTCTCCAGCCTGCGAATAGCAGTGAAAATGGAGTAGCCGGAGATGGTGAACCCGAAATGAAAACATGCTCGACGAAACTTAAGTGTGCTCTGCCCAATCCATAAAATAAACGATCCTACAGTCTGCGCAAATTATTGTGGGAGAAGCCTCCTTAATATCGCCTATAAGGTTCTATCGAGCGTATTGTGTGAAAGACTGAAGCCCACCGTACACAATTTGATTGGACCTTATCCCTGTGGCTTTAGACCTGGTAAGTCAACCATTGACCAGATATTCACCATGCGCCAAATCTTGGAAAAGGCCTCTGAAAACATGATCGACACCCACCACCGATTTTAAAGATGTCGCCATGTCTGAATTTGGTATAACCGCAAAACTTATACGGCTGTGTAAACTGACGCTACACCAGAAGCGCGGTCAGAATTGGGAAGGACCTCTCCGAGCCGTTCTATACCAAACGAGTTTTCTGACAGGGTGACTCCTTATCGTGTGATTTTTTTTTTAACTTATTGCTGGAAAAAATAATACGAGCTGCATAGCTGAATAGAGAAGGTATAATCTTCTACAAGAGTGTACAGCTGCTGTTGCACGACGATAATGTCGACATTATTGGCCTCAACAACCACACCATGAGTTCTGCTTTCTCGTGAATAAGGCGAAATATCTACTGTCATCACACAAACAGTTATCGCATTTGCGACTTGGCTCATACGTCACAGTCAAACCTTTGAAGTTGTAGATCATTTTCTCTATCTCATCAATATCAATCATAATGTTAGCCTGCAAATCCAAAGCAGAATCACTCTTGCCAACAGGTGCTACTTTGGACTGAGTAGGCAATTGAAGTAAAGTCCTCTCCCGAATGAAAACCAAACTGTCCCTCATCTTTCCCTGCTATATGGTGCGGAAGCGTTGACGATGAAAACATCTGATGAGTCGGCGTTAAGAGTTTTCGAGAGTAAACGTAAGATTGCGTAAGATTTACGGGCCTCAACGAGTTGGTAGCGGATGGAATGATGAGTTGTGTGAGATATACGGCAACATTGATATAGTTCAGCGAATCCAGCGCTGAAAATTGCAGTAGAAGTACCGAGGCAGCTAGATTTTGCCACTTTCAGCACGTGCTTTGACAACTTCCCTTCCACAAGAATTCCAAAAACCCAACTGTCTTCGATCAGAGAGCCATAGCATTAAAAAATTAATACTAGCATGAGACTACCAAATCAACTCAAAAAAGATCATAAAATGAACTTAAATACTTTTAACAGACTTTCAAAGAGATGCAACATAGCCGTGATCTTGGTGCCTGCGCACAGGAACATTCCAAGCAATTGCATGACAGACGATCCAGCGAGAGTAAGAATCCTTCCAAACATAATAATCCATGCAGGGGATTCAAGCGCACCTTGGTCTACGGTAAAGAACATGCTAAAACTGGTCTTTACCAACAACCGAACATTAGATGACTGCCTGAGCTCGTTGCCCGCGATCTCCTCATTTATTTTATATTAAAATCACATTTGTCTTCATGTATGTAGTTTTGACATTACACTTGCCTTTGATTCTCAATACCAGCCGGTTAATGGACAATTTAACTTGATTTTGGTTTAACAAAATTAATTTTATTGAATTACGCATGCGAAATGCACCAGAGCCGAAACTAAACTGAGCTGTGCACTGGTGAGAACGACCGATTTATGCTAAGTTGAAGCTTTCATAACTCTTCCACTAATGTTTCATTTACACAAATGAACTGGGCGACATTGCACCGTTTGTTGTTATTATTATTTATTTTTTTTTTTCTTGAAAGCCCAAATGCATTCACGCAGATTTTATTACAACAATGTTTGTGTATGCACGTGCTGGGTGTGGTGAATCACGTCAGACTCACACTTTTAAAAAAAAGTCTTAATGAAACTCCTTTAAGTCGGTTTCAAGTTGTAGAAGCTTCTATTTTCGGAGACAAAACTCAGATGAAAAATCGAATACTGCAACGAATGCATTCACATCTGAACTGTTTTTAATCAGACGGACTGCATGAGTAAGCCACTTTATTCGCTGAGCTATGAGTTGAGTTGAGTTGATGCGACTGCATCCATTATGATACCGCTGTGAGACTACTGTCATCACTTTCTCAAATGTTTGAACCATTTCGTATGCCTTATAAAAGCAACGAGGATGAAGCCAGCTCAGCGAGACTGTCGAAAAAGTGTTTACCGAGGAACTTGTCTCGCGCAGATACCAATGCTGGATAGTGACAGAGGTAGTGTACAATAGACTCTTCCTCTTTTTCGTATCTATATACAGCTACAGCAAAAATCCTTGGAATGGTTGCCCATTCTTGTCCCTTGAAGGCCCACTAAACAGTGGCCTGTTATTATGCCTATTGTTATGTTAATAGAGAGCCGGTCTAGAAGTGTAAGTTGTGTCGATTTTTTAGCGTCCAAATTTGATCATACCTATCTGGATACGTTACACGTGATCCCATGCAGCCATCTTGAGTCTGTACCCGCCGTGGATTGAAAGGAAGATAGGTTCATTCTCTCGCAAGATGTCACTGTGTCCGGGTACCCACATCACATCAGCGTTGTACTTAGTCGAGCGCTTGTTCATATTGCTTCTACTTTTTATAGCCACTTTTAATGTGGTACTGCTACGTTGTAGAGATCTGACGGCAGCTTGACTGTTGGAATTTATTGTAACTATTTGTTCTGGTGCGGAAGATTTAGGTAGCCACTCGGCGGCTTCCATGATTGCCAATAATTTCGCCTGGAAGACGTTACTGACTGCGCTCCAGATCGCTTGTAATACGGAAAGTTACAGGCCCAGAGTAAGAAATTTGAAAATAGTTAGCAGCGCTTTTGAAGGAGTTGGCGGCAGTGCTCCTTTTACCAGAATAGCAGTCGACTCTTGAACCCTCTCTAATTTGCCCCTGAAAGTAATTTTTTTCCAGGGCCAGCCAGCATACAGTGCTGTCGCAGAGTAGAAGTGGTCTAACTTCCGTTGAATAAATTCAGCACAAGATATTCGGTCGTAGACCCCGGATCTTTTCTATCGCCGTTTTGCAATGCATAGTGCCTTCCTTGACCCTTCTGCAGAGCGCCGGTTCCGATTGGGTTTGCTATTTAAGGTTATCCCGAACTATAGACATGTCGCTGTATATCTCGTGAAGCACAAAGTTGCATAATCTGCGGTACTCGCCATTGGCCATGCCGCATGATGTTGTCATCGTCACAAAAGTACGAAGTTGTTTACAACTTCGTTGCTATGACTTTTAACAGCGACGTGTGAGCGCAGACCCAAATGCGCTGTTTGTTTGATGAGAGGAGATATTTCCTCTTGAACCCGTTCACTCATTCACTACCAAACCCTTACGCTTCGTTACTTTATTCAGTCTGGAGAAAGAAGATCTCATTACGCATGACATATCAGCGAATTAAAATACGACCGCTTCTAAACAGGTGATCCGGATGGATAGGAATACGTTCGCTTTAAAAACTGTCCCTGCAGGGCCCGCCATTGGAAGCAGAGGAAGATGAAGACCTCCACCACGTTGGAATGACCAGGTAGAGAAGGGCCTGACTGAACTTGGTTTTCCAATGGGTTCAAAACAGCGAAAAGAAAAAACGGCAAAAAGAAGAAAAGGCGCAAAATTGGTAATTTGGCTATAATCGCATAGACACTAGTATAGTAAGCAAGTACTGGTCCGAGTCCTAGTCCGATCAAGATCCAAAATTATAGAAAATTTATTTCTCCAATTGCCCTCGCCTCTCGGTAGGGAATGTAAAGTCTTCCAAGTGTATTTGCGACAGGAAAGTCAAAACCATTTGCTGGAAAAACATCAAGACCGATAGTGGAGGAGGGTCTCGACCGAAAATCGCATAAGCTATTACATAGCGCTATTTTTATATGTAAATGGTGAACATTTCCTCAGTTATATTTCAGGTTGTCTTCGGTTTTGTGGGAAGAAAACACAATAATTTTTGAACATCAATCAAGTCAACATCTATAGGAGAGAAGGGTACGGACCGACGCGATTATATCAAGCTCAGACGTAAGAGTTAGGCCCAAACAATCAAATCTTCCGTCCTCTAATATAACTTACTTAAGCTATGCACCTTCATAATGGAGTACTCGTGTAATTTACACAAGGTTTTATTAGCTCATGTGTACACGAGAAAACCACTGACGACTTGAGGCATTCCCATCCATCTAAAGGCCGGATCTATCACTACCTTAATATATCTTCAGCAGATTTGTTGATAATTTTAAGAAGGGAAAATACAAAGAAATAGAGAAAACTTCATTTGGTTTTATTTGATTTCTCTCCGAGAGAGTTGAGTTAAAATTTCAGAGAAAACATCATGTGGTACAGCACTACTTGACTGTTGAATGAGCTTTTTGATGCGCCCAATCGCTTCTTTTTCAAATTGTGTGTATATACTAGGCAAATCCAATACTTTGTAGAGCTCTTTAACACGCAAAATCTTCTCAGCATCTGAAATGCAGAAAAGAAATTGTTCGATAGAAAAATCCTTTAAATATTTTCACCCACCATTCTGGCCGTAACACTCCACCATAATGGCCTGTTGGTCCATACTTGCAAGTTCCAGGCATTTCACTGCCAACCAAGTGCATTTGTTGGCTTCAATATCCGTGCCGATCTTACCCGTCAAGGTAGGGTCGCCAAAACAATCTAGATAATCGTTTTGTACTTGCCCCAAATGACCCAATTCAAAGGCAATAGCTTCGCACTCACTAAAGATCTGTTTCTGGTTTTCTGTGATTCTTGAAGACATAATTTTGAAACATATAATGTTTATAACATAAAAAATAGAAAACATGAAAACAATTTTTTTTTTCAAGAAACATTTCTTTACCCCGCCAAATGCAAAGCCCCTGCTATGGGCAAAGTGAAGAAGTGACAGGATGTTTTATTAGTAACCAACGCTTTGTAAGTCTCCATATCGAAAGTGCTAACACTCTTTCGGCAAGCAACCATATCTGCCGATTGACCATTGAAACAGTTAAAGGTGCTTTGATGAAACAATTCCAGCAGCTCAGCGTAGCAATCCAGTTGCCGAAAATACTTGCTAAGTAAAACATAAATACCATTTTCAATTATGAATGCATCGTTTATGGCATTTACTCCTACACCATCTGTTTTGTACCAGCAGAGCTCTCCACGACGTGTTGTGCTGTTATCGGTTATGTCATCGGTGATGAGGAAGACACAGTGTAGCTGGCAGTAATAAATACCTGGAGTTAGTTGTGTGTGTGCGTATGTCTCTCTCTCTCTCTCTCTCTCTCTCTCTCTCTCTCTNTCTCTCTCTCTCTTTCTCTCTCCCTCTCTCACTCCCCCTCTCTCTCTCTGTCTCTCTCTCTCTTTGTCTCGAAGCCTTTCGAACTTACCAACTCGATGCACCAGCCGAGTGTGTGCGCTAATCTCAATCCTTTCTCAGTAAATTCGTTATTATTCAAAAAGCTTTTGTAAAATAATACAGCTAAGAGACCATTTTTTGCATTGGACAATGACAAATTGTATTGTAGAGCCTGAGTTGTGTAAGGGAAAAAATTGGTTATTTGCCGGTTTTGAAAAATCTTTGGTGTCTCATATTTTGCATAAAACCTTTTTGTACCAAATGGCAGCCGCTTTGTTATTGTAGTTCTCGGCTGTAGTCGTTAGATCGTGCAGTATAACTATAAAAATCGAAGTTATTATTTCGTTGGATTAATCAATTATTTTGATTATGGCTAAATTTATAGATTAATCACAATCATTGGCCAGTTAAACTTAGTAATTCCCATGAACAAATTTTAAAAATATATTTTAGATTATTTTTAGACTTTAATTGATTATTTATTGGTTAATTAAGTGAGCTTTCAAGTTAGCTTTAACTATTATATTGATTGATTAATTAAACTTCATTAATGTAGTAAATAGTCATCCCAAGTACCTGGATAAACAGCCATAAAATCATGCAGCTCTTTTTCGTACATTGTTGGATGAGCAGATGGTATTGCAGTTTTTAGAAACGAGATTTGGTAAATTGGCTTAACAGGAAAGCATAAGGAAAGAAAAATATTTTCTTTTAGATCTTCTAGATTTTATTTTATTACATTTCGTTTATTTTTTTATTTTATTTCATCAAATTTTTTTTGTTTATCTATGTATAATATAAATATTAATTTTGAACTCATTATATTTATTTTTCTCTTAAAATTAATTAATTTTATATATAATTCTATATATATTAAACTAAAAAATTAAATTAAAGAAATAAATATTAAATAATAAATAAAAAAATATACATAATTTAAAGTAAAGTCGAATTTTACTTTAAATTATGTATATTTTTTTATTTATTATTTAATATTTATTTCATTAATTTCATTTAATTTTTTAATTTAATATATTTGTATTTTGATTTATTTGAATTTATTGCGCTCTTTTAAATTTTTCAGTCGTATTAATAATTTTATAATTTATTTTTTCCATATTTATTTGCATTATATTATTTTATTTTAATAAATTTGTTTTCAATTTAATCTAATTTTTTTAGTTCATTTTATTCTTTTTATGTATTTTATTTTAATTCACAATTCATTTAAGCTAAATTTAAATTAAGTTATTTTGTGTTGCTTACATTTTTTCATATTTAATGTTATTATTTTTTTTTTGTTTAATTTTATTTTAATCTTATCTCAATTTCTTTTAATTTTCTCATAACTTATTTATTATAACTTAATATGTTTTATTTAATTTTTTATTTTATTTTTTATATTCTTTAAATCTACTTCATTTTATTTATATTAATTCATTTTAATTTATTTTGTTTATATGTTTAGAATTTAGTTTACTATATTTTTATTTTATTTTATATTTTTCATTTATTTTAAAATATTTTTTAATTATTTTTTTTCTTTATGTTATACAAATATACTTTTCTCATTGCATTATATTTTATTTTGTTTTGCATTACTTAATTTAATATATATATAAACTTTTTTTAAAATTGTTTTATTCATATTATTTTCTGGCTCATATTCTCAATTTCCCTTCTTATTAATTTTTATACTATTTCAATTTCAGAATTTTTTTTGGTACGTTTAATTTTAGTATTTTATTATTTTTAAATTTTATTTAAATCAATTTAATTTAAAATAATTTTATTTTAGTAACTTCTTTTTTCTTTTTATTTTATTATGACTTTTTTAATTATATTATACTTAATTTTTATTTTATTTTTTATATTCTTTAAATCTACTTCATTTTATTTATATTAATTCATTTTAATTTATTTTGTTTATATGTTTAGAATTTAGTTTACTATATTTTTATTTTATTTTATATTTTATATTTAGTTTAAAATATTTTTTATTTTTTTTTTCTTTATGTTATACAAATATACTTTTCTCATTGCATTATATTTTATTTTGTTTTATTTTATTTTGTTTTGCATTACTTAATTTAATATTTATTTTATTTAAACTTGTCTTGTTCGTTTTATTTTCTGGCTCATTTTCTCAATTTAACTTCTTATTCATTTTTATACTATTATAATTTAATTAAAAAAATTTTTTTTGGTACGTTTAATTCTAGTTTTTTTTATTATTGTTAATATTAATTTAAATCAATTTTATTTAAAATAATTTTATTTTAGTCACTTCTTCGTTTTTCCTATCTTATTTATACTTTATTTTGTATCAGTTGATTTTACTATGTTTAATTTAATTTTTGTTTTAATGTTTATTCTTTATTTTTTTACATTTTAATTTATTTTATTTTTAGAAACTTGAAATTTTTAATATGCTTTATTTTATATTAGTTTAAATTATTTTCCAGCATTTTATTTGTTTTTTGATTTTATTTTTTTTTTTTTAATTTATTATTCACTTTGCTATATTTAAGGTGGTTTAGTTTTATTAATTTCTTTTAATTTTTTTTTTAATTTTTATTCAAAAATTTTTTGGAAATTTAAATTGATTTAATTATTTATTTTATGAGATTTTACTTTTGCTTATTTCACTTCATATTATATTATTTATTTGCTTTACTTTAAAATCAAACTTATTTACATAAATTGGCACGTTCAACGTAGTTATACGAGTATATACTATATATGTAAGTATGAAGCTTCTAAAATGATTTCACACCGCACGTGTTTTACTCTGGATTAGCAAAATACAACTGTGATTTGGCTCTCAGAATTTCGTCAATTTAAAATCACAAAACTCGTTCTAGAGCAAACGATGCACTTCAGCGCTGCCACTTACTCGTATATACATATGTCATGTTTTCAAATACGTCACTTTCAATTATGTGCTATATTTCACAAAAGTGAGTACCGAAAAACACATAGAAACATTCAGTCCATACCATAAGCTTCATCGAACGCCGTTTTGCGATTTTTGATTTAATAATTTCATTAAACAAAAAATCGCTTGTTAACTGGAAATTTTTGTAAATTTGTACGACGCATATCCAGATAGTACACTGAATTTGCGTGGGTTTTAAAAAATTTATATCTAAACAAAATACTTTGGTGCAGATACCAAGTTCTTGATGTCTTCCTCGAAGTAGTTTATCCTTTTCCTTCATTACCCAGAAATCACCACGTTGTGAAGAAATTGTGTAAGATATGCTGATCAATTTTCGAGACTCTAGAAACCAATATGAGTATCAAGTTACACTCCTCAATCTTGAGAGTAAATTCCCAGTATATTTAGGATACAATATTATAGTGAAGAAGGCTCTTAAAGGACGATAGGACGATTACTGCTGGCCTTTGGAAATACATTTTCACCTGAAATATAAAAGAAAGCTCATAGAAGTCAAGGTTTATAGAACAGAAGGTTACCAGAGCGAAATCATATCTTTAATGATGAAGTTGTTTCAAGCTTTTGGGAAATGGATAACCCGAATCTTGTGAAAAATTAGTGTTAAAAAATTCGAAATTATTGTTGACAGAAATTTGAACAAACAAATTAAACAAGCAAGGGAATTATTTAATAATAATAAAAATTATAAAATTTAATAATAAAATTTTTTAAACTGAAAACTTGAAGTTTTGTTATTTAGGAAACGTGAGTTAATTGGATAGTTAAATAGTATTTCTAGTATATATTAGGTCAAGTAAAATGTTCGTTCGGTTTTTATCTAAGAGATGGCGTTATTGTNACGGACGAAGCCTTCTACGAGAGGGGTATAATGAAGTTGGCATCTCGTTGGCAACAAGTTTACAAAAATTTTGAAAAATCAATAAAAATCCGAACGAACTTTTTTACTAGACCTAATATTAATAACACATATTGCTGTAGAAAAAATGGTGCTTACGTATTAACGTCGCGGCGGCAGTAGCTTTGTGCAAAGCTCTCGTAAATGTACATTTGGTGCCCTCGGCCTAGAACCTGGCCTGATGAACAAAGCTGCAAAGGCTAATTTGTATTTTCTTCTGTATAAGACAATGTTTCCCATATTTATTTTTATTACGTTCATATAAATATGAAATATTACAAAAAAAAACCCTTTTTTATGATATAAGTACCAAGTCTCGTCCCCTGCATTTATGATAAAGTTGGCTCAGTGGCGTCAACGGTTGTTGTAACCGTGCATTTCATAAGCTTTGTCTGGAAGGCATTTTTGGAATTATAATTTCTGGTTTTGACATTTACTGCGAGGAATTTTAAGTTTTTTCAAAACAAAACTGACATTGTAAATTTATCTGCTACTTTGTTGTTTATTTTGAAAGAAAAAGTTGTATTGCTACTGCCAAACCGGCGGCGCTATAGTGCAGTAGTACCGGAGCTCTAACTTAGATTCAGACATGAAAAGGGCTCACAACGTAAATACTATGAAAAGAGAGGTCGTTCTGTACTCTTCAAGAGATCCAAAAGGTGCTTGTTGAGTTAAATTCTCGTAGAATTGCCGGTTTGTATACCTGGGATTCAAAAAGTTCGCCTTTTGTACGGGCTGAGAATCATTCGATATTATTTACGTACCTATGGGCAGAAAGCGAAGTTGTGCTAAGCACCTCCCCCACTAGTATAGAGTGTTATGTCTAAAACGCCCTTCGAGGTACGGCCGTTGGTTCTCCCTCAAGCTAAATATAAATTACTTACTAATATTTTAAAAATTTTAGTAAGGACTTACCCCTTACGTTGGTATCTGCACTCTCTTCAATCTCTCGTTCCTCCCTGACTTGCGTTGATATCAACTATGTTTGGTTTCTGGAGGCAAAGCTCCACGCTGCCTTTGCCCCGCTCCATCCGCACGAACCTAGCGTTTAGTGTATTTTTGACCGGCTTATTTATTTGTGCGATGTTGTTTTGGCTACCATTCTTCTTACAGGAGTTGGCGACCTTAAAGACCCTCTTCTTAATCTTGATCTTTATCGGCACGTCTGGATTGTATTAGTGCAAAAACCGATATGGATCCTCAGGTTTTACAGTAAGGAGTATAAGCACCTTTGTTTTCGGTATGCTTAGTATGAAGTTGCGGTGTACAATCTCCAAGACGGTGTCTTACCAGAGGCCTTAAAGCGTCGCTACAGCTTCATTTACCGACAGTAGAGATTGATCGTTCTTGAACTTTGTGATATCCCCCCTTTCAGCCACCCTATACCATTGAAAGTTAGTATGGGCGTGGTTAGGTCTCCATCCATTAGTGAAAACAGCGCATCCAGCAAACATAAGCTCTGCTGATCTCCAGGTTACCTTATACAGTCAATAAGCCCCACGATAATAAGTCTCCTGACTATCTCTTCGCCAGTTGACGCTGCTTTTCTTACTGTGTTGTGCACTAGGCCCTTTTCTTGATGCCAAGCAAGCAGCCCGCGGATTTCGGTAAGCGTTTCCCAGAGCCTGCTGCACTGTGCGTAAGAATCACACTAACGGTGACGCTTAAAAGAAAGAGGAGATCACTGCGGCAAAATCCGCTTTAAGATTGATGACCTCAGGTTATTTCACCCCTGCAACCTTCGGCAACAGCTAGATATGCAGGATGATCGAGAACAAAACAAATTACATGCCCACACGCTTCATCTGCAAAAGAATATTTAAAGCTCTTTTGAAGAAGGGTGAGTGGCACAGGAAGAGAGGTATATTGCGATAAGTACTGCAGTATTTCGCTATAAGGAAAACCACTGGGGTATCTCTGAAACTATACAAAAATTATGAATGGGCAATAAGGCAATAATCTCACATGATATTGAGTCAGAAAATGGTTTTATATAATCGTTAAGTTACGTTGCCCAATTTAATTTTTCTCCACCATTTTCGCCTCTTAGGGGTACAATTTCGGAAAATCCTTTTTCATCGGAGGCCTACGACACACAACTCTCTTCACACCCTTACATAAGTGGTTTGGACTGGGTGTTGTCTGTCAGTCATGTAGGACAAACTGCCAATATATCTCCTACCTTTCTGCCCTTTGATCCACTTTAAATTGTTTCCCAGACGTCAGCTCGATGAGGAGATTTTAGATTTAATTTAAGATATTATTTAGAGCCCCATACCAACTTTAAGCTGGGTGCGAGTTATTGTACTCTCGTATATCGAAATTGACCAGTATAAAATATATTTTTAATATTTTTTATCTCTATTTCTTTATTAGTGTTATTTAATTTCAGCTTTACGATTTTGTTCTAGAATTTTCAAGAGAGCTTCACGTGGCACATCAACTGGAGCCTGTTGAATGCGCTTCTTAATTTTTCTTACCATTTCTTCTTCATATTTATTGTAGATGCTAGGTAAATTCAATTCTTCGTAAAGTTTTTTGACACGCGCAACCTTCTGGGGATCTGAAATCATCAGCAGTTATAAATACATACATATGTACATATGATATATATATTTATATTTATTAACCAACCGTTTACCATTTTTCCCATAACACTCCTCCATTATCGCCTTCTGCTGTGGGTAAGCCAATTGCATGCACTTTACCGCTAGCCATGAATATTTGTTGGTCTGTATGTCAATGCCAACTTTGCCAGTGACAGCAGGGTTGCCGAAGCAATCGAGAAAATCATTTTGTACTTGATTGTAATGACCCATATCAAAGGTAATGGCTGCGCATTCATCGTATACCTGCTTATCCTCAACCCTAATTTTGAGATGTTAGTATTTGTTGAAGCTTTGGTTACTTAAGTTATACATATATGTCCACAGCTTACCCCGCCAATCGCAAACCCAAGTGAATGGGCAAATAAAAAGAGTAACTGGAAGTTTTATTCATCACAAGCGTTTCGTAGCTTTCCATATTGAAGGTGCTTACGTGTTTTGTTGTAAGTATCATATCCATATTCTGTCCACACATACAGTTAAAGATATTTTCATGAAATAATTCAACAAGGTCCATATAACAATCCAAGTGACGGAAATGTTTTTTGAGTAACACGAACACGCCGTTCTCAGCCATAAAGGCATCATTAATGGCATTCAGTCCAACCCCATCCACTCTGAACCAACACGGTTGACCGCGACGTTGGTAGCTGTTATCGATCATGTCATCGGTGATAATGATTGTTAGGTGTAGCTGGAAAATACCGATACTTATTTTTATAACAAAATAGTTGTTCATAACACTTACCAATTCTAGACACCAGCCAAGTAAATATGCCAATTTTAAATTTTCCTCGGTGAGTTGAACGCCTTTGGCATAGTTTTTATATATTGAAACTACCATTAAACCATTTTTTCCACTTGATAATGACAAATTGTACTCCAGCGCCTTTTAAATGCAAGAAGAGGTCATGAAAATATTTTCAATATTTTAAGTGTTGAAAAGCAATTTTTTCCAACCTTTTTGTAGCATTCTGCAGCCTCCTTGCTTTTGTATACCGCAGCAGCTGTTATTAGTTCATGCAGCACTTCTATACGAAACAATTTTCATAGAAATTTTATTTATTATTTTTAATTTACTCAACGTAATTTTTGGTCATACCTGACCTTGATAGATATCCATGAATTTACGAATTTCTGCGTGTGTCTCCATAGCATCTGACTCTACGTGGGCCTCCATTAATAAACTCTGGAATGTTTATTATATTATATCTCTCATATATCTAAATCTAAATTTATAGAAATCGGGTCAAATAACGAGATGAGTTGATTTAGCCATGTTCGAGTGTTGGTCTATTTATACGCACACTACTTCCTTAGTTTTAGAGATTTTTCAAAATTTTAAATTGCACAGATGCACTGGTATTGGATGCATAAGTTCGTGCCCGATTTCAAGTGCAAACTAAAATTGAAATTTTTTGAAGAAAGCGCTTTTATTAATCAATTATGTATTCGCCATCATGTTCGGCAATCCACTCCCAACATTCAACCAATTAACGGTTGCCTGATTCAAAGAAATCGCGCGGTTTCTCGTTGAAAAATATGTCAAGGTGATGACGTCTTCCACATTTTTAAATTGTTTTCCATTCAAATTGTTCTGCAGCGATCGAAACAAATGATAATCAGAAGGTGCAATGTCGGGTGAATATGGGAGATGCGGCATGATTTCCCAATTCATCTCCTTCAGTTTGGCCAGGGTCGGTTTTGCAACATGTGGCCTGGCGTTGTCATGATGGAAAAGAACTCCTTTGCGATTGGCCAAAATCGGACGTTTTTCATCAATTGCTTTCTTCAATTCGACCAATTGCTGACAATACTTGTTGGCAGTGATCGTTTCTCCAGCTGGCAAGAGCTCAAAATAGATCACGCCTCGGATATCCCACCAAATGCACAGCAGTACCTTCATCGGATGCAATCCACCTTTCGACATCGGTTCCGCCCCTTCGTGTGCCTGTTTCCATGTTCTTTTGCGTTGAACATTGTTGTACAGGATCCATTTTTCATCACCAGTCACGAGCCGATCCAAAAAAGGTTCGTTTTTGATCCGTCGAAGCAAAGAAATTGCTGTTGACATACGGTCCACTTTGTTTTTTTCACTCAACTGATGTGGCACCCATGTATCGAGCTTCAAAGTGTACCCAACCTTTTTTAAACGACGAAACGCAGTTGATTTGTTGACGTTCAATTCACTGGCAACCTCTTCCGTCGAAATACGTGAGTTATTCGCAACTAAAGTCCTTAGAACATCGTCATCAAGCTCAGAAGGCCGTCCACTGCGAGGTTGATCTTCGAGGTTAAAATCTCCAGAACGAAATTTCGCGAACCATTTCTTTACTGTGCGGAGTGCTGGAGCACGGTCCAAATAAACTTCGCGAATATCTTTAGTTGCAGCGCCTACTGTTTTTCCTTTGCGGAATTCGTATAACATAATATGACGCATATGATCTTTTTCGTTGTCCATCTTCCATGCGTCTTTTCACTAAGCAACTCAAATCAAAATGAAGTTATTTTATGCTTGATTTACAGTTCGGACTGTCACCTTTCCAACGATATATAATATGTATATATTTCTTTCACGAGCGCCACTCTCAAACGATTCGAACGACATCCAGCGGAATCGCGCACGAACTTATGCACTCATCCAATATATTTATTAAAATTGCTATTTGCCAGAGACATCCAGATCGGCATGCTATAGCATATATGGCATCGATTTATGAGATTTGAGATTTTTGAGTATAAATTTTCCAAAAAAAGCATGTAAGAGAGTAAAACTTGATATTTTGCTCGCATATGATGGGTATTGGTGCTGAAAATGATTGAAATCGGACAACTATAACTATATAGCTTTGATACACCGATTTCTTCAGAAATTTGGATCGATCGATTAGAATTGGTCAAAATTTGTATTTATCGATACATTTGCGCTAAGAACAGAAACAGAAAGACTGCTCTTATCTCTTAGATCTGGACCAGAGGCACATTTATTCGAAAAGAAATTGTATTTATAGTTCCTTTTACTATGATTTTGTTCTTCTTTTTTGGGAAGAGGATTAATATATATATATGATATGCCGGAAACGGACTAGAGATTGGTATTAAGTTCGATTTACTCGATATATAATTAATACGTTCCTCATGCGAAAGAGATCAATCAAAATCAATGGATTGACAAAAATTATAATAAAAGTGTAATTTGAACATGAGCTCGATGTACATACGAGGTGTGTTCAAAAAATATCGCGAATTTTGTGTTTTTTTTTTCAAAAATTATTTATTTATTCATGAATATCTTTTTTGTCCCCTTCAAAGTAATCCCCATGAGATATTATAGACTGGTGCCAACGGTTTTTCCAATCTTCGAAGCACTTAAAAAAATCATTGTTTTTTTCTTGTTCAGCTCCTCCTTCGATGCCGTCTTTTTCTCGTCAATCGTAGCGTAACATCGTCCGTTCATGGGCCTCTTCAGTTAAGGAACAAGAAAAAGTCACAGGGGGCCAGATCTGGAGAATACGGTGGCTGCGGCATGATTAGTTTGTTGTTTTTGGCCATAAAAGTCGCGCGCAAGCCACGATCTGTGAGCGTTATCGTGGTGCAAAAGCCAATTTTTCTTCTTCCACAAATCCGGGCGTTTCTGGCAGATTGCTTCGCGCAAATTGCGCATAACTTTCCGCATAATATTCCTTATTGACCGTTCTACCCTGTGGCAATACCATTTTCTCCACTTCATTAATTTTTTCGTCTGTTGTTGAAGTGCTCGGGCGTCCGGCATGCTCTTCGTCGTTCCCATCTTCGCGGCCTTCTGAGAACATTTTGTACCACCGATAAACGTTGCTTCGGTTCAAGCTTCTTCGTATGCCACAGTCAACATTCGGAATGCATCCGCGAACTTAATTTCGTTTTTCACACAAAATTTGATACAGGTTCTTTGATCCATTTTTTTGAAAAGGTAAAAATCGAAAACCATCCAAAACACGTGAAAGCAAAGCAGCTGTCAACAATTATGTGAACATTCAAAATGGCCGAGCTTGTCGGCATAAGTGACAGACATGAGTATCAACATAACGCCATAAAAAATCGAAATTCGATTATACGTAGCCCGCGAAAATTCAACAATCGCGATAATTTTTGAACACACCTTGTAGGTTTAAAAAATGTTCGCTGCGCAATTTTGTTATTCTACGGATGCGTGTTCTAAGCTATAACGTATAAGAATACGTTCAAAATATAGCTTGCATACACCGATTTATTTGGAAATTCCATCAAATAAGCATCTGAGCATTCTACGCACGTTTATACAAATAAACATTGCCACAGAAAATCAATCGAAATCAGAGGACTATATCATATATCTCCCATACAAACGATTTGTTCAGATATGAGATTTTGGTTAAAAAATACGTCGAAGAAGCATCTAAAAATTTTGGTGTTCTACACCACAAAACCTAACCAGATCTAAGACCTATAATCAATTTTTCTGTTATAAGAATTGATATTTAACCCTAAAATGAAATACCATAAATTTGATGTCATGAAAGGTATAAAGACTGGCTCTATTTTATTATACTATTATTTTTCTTTTCAAATTGTTTGGCTTTCGATTACGCTATGTCTTAATGTCCGCAGCTGTATAAGCAGCACGAAAATATCATTCAGGTTTCATTCAGGAAGAACCTCTTCGAGTCGTTCGATACTATACGAGGTGTCCGGTGTTTTGTTATTGTGCAACTTTTTTAATTTATTGCTGGAGAAGGAGAGAGTCCTTTGCCCATGGGCAACGGCGAATACCGAATTATTTATATAAAATTTAATTGATTTTAGTTTGTACCATTTTTATTCTTATATGGCGGCCTAAATATCACTAGAATAATCATTCGGCTGGCTGCAGATGGCCAAGGTTCGAGTCTTGGCTTTTAGTTTTTATCTCATTTTATCGAATTCAAGTTAATTTTATTTCATTTTCTTTCATATTTTTATTTAGTCTTTTTTATTTAATTTTCAATTTCAATTTTATTTTTTATAAATTTTTTTTTTAGATTTTTTTGATAATAATTTTATTAAATGCTATTTTATATGATTTAATTTAATTTTTTTATATATTGTTTAATTTAATTTTTGCTTTTTTATTCGATTTTAATTTTCTTTAATTTAATTTAATACTATTTTATTTCAATTTGTGGTGTGTTTTTTAATTTAATTTTTTTTTTTTTAAATGTTAACGTTTATTTGCATTATTTAATATCATTCTTAATTATTTGCAATTAAATAGTATAATCTAAATTTTTTCCCTCATTATTTATATTTTGACTTCAATTTTTCACACCAATTTTTTCGCTTGCATTTCATGGCTGGCGAATTAACACACACTAATTAATCAAAATTGAAATACTTGATAATAATTTAATAATTTACCACAAATTAGCTTCTGCTTGCAATTTTTTCTCCTTCGGAGCAACACACAAGTGAAGTACTCGACAGGCAAAGTAGAACTGCGTTGCGGACTAAAATTTCTGTATCTTTAAAATAAAAAAAGTACAAATTTCACACAAGTTTTTTAGCATCAAGAAAGCAGCATTTCCTTTACGCAAGTTTATTGATTACTCAAGCATAAAAAAAAATTTTAATGTATACAGTGGCATTCGTATTTATGACAACCTAGATTTATGTTTAAATTTCAAAAGGTTTGTTGCTTAAGTCTTTTGTTTTTTGGGACAAGGGGACTATATTTTCTTTTGAACACAAAAATATAAGGTTGTCAAATATCTTCCGCTTTTTTGCTCTTCATTCAATGCTTTATAAAAAGTGTTACAGTGATCGGATTTAGTTAAAATATGCGCCGTTTTGTTCGATGATCTGTTTCCATCTAGACGGCAACTTCATAATACCTTCCTCGTAGAAGCCCTCCTCCTTATTTGCGAAGAATTCGGACAGCCACTTTTCACAAGCCTCTTTTGAGTTCAACTTCACACCACCAAGGGCATTCGCCAGCAAAACCTTCCTGGCCGACAATCCCGGCTTGGCCACTGTTTGGGACGATTCACCGGCCTTCGACCACGACCGTTTTCGCTTGATATTGTCGTATGTGATCCATTTTTCGTCGCCAGTCACCATCCGCTTCAAGAATGGGTCGAGTTCGTTCCGTTTCAGCAGCATATCGCAGGCGTTGATTCGGTCCAGAAGGTTTTTTTGCGTCAAATTATGCGGCACCCAAACATCAAACTTTTTTTTGTATCCAGCCTTCTGCAGATGGTTCAAAATGGTTTGGTGACTAACTCCCATCTCCTGGGCGATGTCACGAGATGCCATATGCCGGTCTAACTCGATGTATTCCATGATTTGATCGGTATTTGTCGTCACAGGTCTTCCGCCGGCTGGCTTATCCATGGTGTCGTTTTCACCGGCTCTGAATCGTCGAAACCATTCCTCCGCGGTTCGAAGTGATAGAGTACCATCCCCCAAAACACCATTAATCTCACGGAACGTTTCTCTAGCGGATTTGCCTTTAACGAAGGAAAACTTTAAAATAACGCGAATTTCGGCGTTAGTGAACTCCATGTTTACACGTCTATAACTGTTGAATGCAATATCCAAACTAATCATGCGTTGCTTTGTAGGTTATGTCAAGACCTTTCAAATTATGTATTGTGTTGCCAGATGTAGCGCTTTGTACATAGCCGCGAAATTCAAAAGACAAAAAAGCGGAAGGGAGATATAATAGTGATTTTACCGAAATCTTCGATTTGAAAAGTCACAGAAACACGATGGTCTTCTAAACTCTAAATTTATCATAAATTTAGTTTTGACAAAGATTTTAGATCAGATAATTTTCAGTAAAATTTTTAAAATATTTCTCCCCCTAAGAGCCAACATTCCTGAAATAACCGTATTTCTACAAATTTTCGCGCGACACGAAGCACAGCATAGACCGCTGATTGTGGCGACCTCAAACTTGGCGGGTTTGTTCTGTATATAATGTAGGCATCCAGCCAAAAACCATAATCGGAAATTTTATCACTAAAAGTTTTAATTTGGGTGAATCCAAAATTTGTTAAATTCAGATTTAATTTTTTAAGCTTGGCTAATTTTATGACGTGCAGTGTAAGCCTGCATCCGTTCGCATTTTTATGAGCGCTTAAGAGAGCAGTAAAAACTTCTGCAGTTAATTGATCATAAACTTTGGATAACTTGCACTTCTTGCTTTTAAAGATGAATTAAGCCTTTTTCTGTATGCCTTTGCTGCTTGGTTTAAGGGAAAAAGCTAAGCGACAGTCGGACATTGAATATGATAAAATAATATAAAACTCTAATGGTTTGTGCAGTTGATTTCACTTGCGGTGGAAATGTTAAGTTAAAATATGAAAATAAATATTTCATTTCAATGCTTGACGGCTTAGATGGACCAGAAAGTGGATATTTTTTACTTATAACGATAAGGGTTAATCACTCAACTCAGCGGTGTGATAGCGCAAGTCTAAGGTGGACACCAGCAAAGAGCAAATACGCTACCGATCGCCTGCTTTGCAGGAGGCGCTGCGTTCCGGACCCAGACAAGTTTACTATCTAAGATTATTCCTAGGTTGTTAACCGCAGTATAAAGAGCGATATCGATGCTTTTGGGTTATTATGGCTTAAAGCAGACGATTTGTACCTTCTTGTTAAGAGTACTAGTTTGGTCCTTGAAGAATTTACACCCATATATATCCTACTATGTCAAAAACTCAAATCAAGCAGCTGAAAATTTCATGATCCAGACACTGTAAAGATACTGTAAGAACCGCTGGGGAAGGCCAATTACCAAAAGTTGTCGATAAAATAATGGATGAGCTGTTTCAACTGCCCAAAAGCTAGACATATCATAAAAAATAGTTTGGAACCATTTAAAAAATGCTGGATACGCAAGAAGCTCGATGCAGGGATGCCCAGATAAATACCTCATGTAACAAATTTCCATCTTGGAATCGTAACAAAATCGACCCATTTCTGAAGCAGAGAAATGAATTACCGGAGAGACGAACAGGACGGTTTTGTTGTGTGCATGGTGTGATTGACTTTGGGATCATTCTGTTGCTGTGCTGTCAGCAATTGGAACTTCTGAGGGAAACTATTGCTCAGAAGCGCCCAGTTTATACCAAAAGGAGGGGAATTGTTTTTTTTTTTGATGACAACGTCAGACTGCACACATAGACAGTGACTCGCCAGAAGTCCCGAGAGCTTGGTATGGAGGTTCTTATGCATCCACCTTATAGTCATGACCTCGCAACAAAAGTTTGCTATCTGTTTCTGGCTAAGGCGAATAACTTTGCTATTGAAGAATTGCCCTCAAGAGTATTCTGCGACAATCGGTTTTCCCAACTGTTTGCCAATAGGGACAAGGGGTGCCATTAGAGAGGCAAAACAACAAAAAGTATTCGAGCAAAATGGTATATATTTGATATAATTCGGTTAATACTTATTACGGTAAATAATTTTATGCAAAAATAATAGTTGACTTGTTTGTTTGCTTCCAGTGATTTCCGAGACTACAAGGCCAAGCGTGGAAAGTGGACCGTAAAAATTGTATTTATGGCTCGTTTTACTTGAAATACTTTTTTTATGGGAAGTGAACCAATACCTTTGAAAAAAATACATATTCTTGATAAGGTTTTGTTAAATACTATTGTTTACCTAGAATAGACCCTTGAGGAGTTTTTTTTATTTTTTGGCAGTAATGCCCTCGGAGAAGTCGACCATTTCTGCCAAGAGGCGACCAAAAATTTGAAAAATTAATTTTCTACAACAGGGATCGAACCCGGGTTCGTCATGCTAAACACTTTGCTATTTCAGGTTTAATAAAAAATAATAATATTTTCCATTAGATGATGCTTAGGTAGGGGTCTTTATCGTTCTTAATCATACCAAAGCCTCAGCTATCTAATATATTATATATAGATCAAGTAAAAAGTTCGTGCGGTTTTTTTTATTGATTTAAAAAAAAAAATATGATAACTTTGTGTATATTTGTCCGATTTAAGACAAATATGCGCCGTTTTATTCGTCAACTTGTTGGAATCGCCATCTTCATTATAGCTCTGTCGTAGAAGGCTGCGTCCCTATCGGCATTAAGCGCTATTAGGACCTCCCATCCGAGCTCCTGGAGCTTTTCGCGCGTCACCAATGACGTGTGTGGCCTGGCTTTGTCCTGAGTGAACACAATTCGGCCTCTATTGATCAAAGATGGCCTCTTCTGGATGAGTGCTGCCTTCAAGCGGTCCATTTGTTGGCAGTAGTTGGCCGAATTGAGCGGTTGGCCATAGGGGAGCAGCTCGTAGTAGATGATTCTTTGCAAACTCCACCAAACACGCCTTCCTGGCGGTCAATCCGGTCTTGGCCACCGTCTTCCACGTGGTTTGATATCGACCTTTTGCGCTCGATTTTGTTGTAAGTGACCCATTTTTTATCGCCAGTCACAATCCACTTCAGAAACTTGTCGATTTTGTTACGATTTAGCACCGATTCCCAGATGGAAGTTCGGTCCATCATGTTTTTTTGCGTTAGTTCGTGTGACACCCGAACATTGAGCTTCTTTTTGAATCCAAGGTTATGCAAATGGTTCCAAAAGGTTTTCTGGCTTATGTTTAGTTCCTCAGCAATTAAAAAAGTGCTGACGTGACGGTCTGTTTCCAATATTTCCATGATTTTATCGCAATTCTCGACGACAGACCTTCCGACGCGTGTTGCAACACTGACATCGAAATTACCGGAACGGAACCTAGAAAGCCACTTTTGTGCGGGTCCAAAAAACTGTCAAAGGCAAACTTTTAGCGCGAATAAACACGTTTTCAGCGCCGTATACCGTAACCGAACGAACTTTTTACTTAACCTAATTTAATTTTTGTTTTTGTTTGATGCGGGAAATCTTAGCGATTTTTCTTACAATTCGACAATTTTTATTATTAAACTTTTTTTTATTAAAATTTATTTTTCTCCCCAAATCTTTTCATTTTATTTTTCATTTAATATCTCTTTGATTAATTTGATTAAGCATTTTCAATAGAGTTTTTCGTGGCGCACCATTACATGCTTGAAAAATCATTGTTTCGATGTTGTTGTAGGTTTCTTTTTCATATTTGGTATAAATCTCGATTAAATCCAATTCTTCGTAAAGCTCTTTAACGCGCGCCACTTCTTGGGGATCTGAAATATAAATTTAATAATTTACCGTTGTACGCATATACTTTTATATCACCAAGCAAATTTTTTCACTTTTGAACTGACCATTTTTCCCATAAAACTTTTCCATAATCGACCGCTGTCGCTCATCAGCTCTCTCCATGCACTTCACCGCCAGCCAAGTGCATTTATTGGCTTGTATATCTGTGCCCAGCTTACCGGTTTCATTTGGATCGCCAAAACAATCGAGAAAATCATTTTGCGCTTGACAAAAATTACCGAACTCAAATGTAATTCTCTCGCAATCATCGTATATTTGCTGTTCCCTAATACTAAATCGATGTGCGATTATCGGCTTAAGAAAATTAGATACAATCATTTTTCGCAAATATCCTTACCCCGCCAAATGCAGCGCCAGTGCTATAGGTAGGTAGAAAAAGTGACTGGAAGTTTTATTTCTCACAATCGATGTGTAGGCCTCCACACTGAAAGTGCTGACATTGCGTCGACTAATCAGCATGTCCAACGATTGACCGAGCATACATTTAAAGGTGTTCTGTTGAAATAACTCCAACAGTTGAACGTAACAATGCAAGTGGCGAAAATGCCGTCTCAGCAGCTCATAAATGCCATTCTCGAAGAGCAGTGCGTCATTAATGGCATTGAGACCAACATCGTCTCTGCGATGCCAACATAATTGATCGCGGCGTGTAGTGCTGTTATCGATTATGTCATCGGTAATGAGTATAGTGCAGTGTTGCTACAAAAAATGAGAAGAAAAAGAATGTAATTTTATAACTAGATATGCTTTAGAGAAAACTGTGTGCAATTGCACCTGTGAAGTTTCTTAGTATTTTTGATTGGGATTGGATCCCATGAAAAGAGGACACACTCGACATATTCGTCGATTTCAAAGCAGCCCTGAGTTGAGTTGAGTTCATGCGGCTGCTGGTCCACCCCAGGCCCATTGTGATACCGCTGAGGCTGCTGCCTTGATCTTCTCAAATGATCGAATCATTTCGTGTGTATGTCAAGGCTGAACAGTGGTAGAGGTAGTGCTCGATGGTCTCCTCCTCTTCTTCGTCCCTACAGCCGCGACAGAAATCGCTAGAGTCATTATACTAGTCGTTATGTTAATGGAGAGCCATTCCAGAAGGATAAGATGTTTCGATTTTTTCGCGTCCAACTTCAGTCATAGCTGTCTAGTCAAGTTAACCGTGATCTCATTCAACCATCGTAAGTCAGCTTCCCTGGTGAAGGCCAGTTTAAGCATAGACTTAGCCGTGGACAGAGATAAACCAGCATCATGTGCGTGTTTTATCGTAGAAAGAAGGGTTCCTTCCCTCGCTGGTTCTTGTACAATGTAATTGCTTGGGATGTCCCTGTATCCGGGTAACCAGATCGCGGTAATACTGTACTGCGTTGAGAGTGTTTCTAAAGTTCATGGCCACTTTTGACGTGGTACCGTTACATTGAAGGGATCTTATTGCAGCCTGACTATGGGAGTAGACTGTTACTGATTGTCCTCCTACCGTAGATTTGTGCAACTATTCCCCGGCCTTCATGATTGCGAAGAGTTCCGCCTGGAAAACGCTGCAATAATCCGGTATTCTCATGCTCATACTCACTGAGACCACGGAAAAATAAATTCGGCTACCCATCCTCCCATCGAACTTCTAGATGGCTATTGCTCCCAGGACGGGGGCGTTGGTGTTTTCCAACTGGCATCTGCTTGGGATTCTAGTTGCGAAAAGATTATCGAAGCCTACACTGGAGGGAGTGTAGTACAGCTCAATCGGCACTTCTGTAATAGATAATATTTTTGTATTTCCTATACTACAATTCTTCCAAAGTGAGGATATTATTGAAAGCCCCCTCAATATCGAGGAAAACACTTAGTGTATCCTCTTTCACGGCAAGTCCTTTTTCGATGCTCCCGACTATATCACGCAGGGCTGTATCAACAGACTTACCCTTGGAGTAAGCTTGTTGCTCCCTCGAGAGACTGTTTTGGAGGAAGATTTCAGTGTATATAGCTGTCCAGAAGCCTTTCCAAGATTTTTAAGAAAACAGAGGTAAGACTGAATTGTCGAAAATCTTTAGATTGACTTGGTTGGTTTTTCCTCCATATGGATTGTACTTTTCGTGTGAGCATTTCTTTGTAAATTTTACATAGAAATGGGGATAGGATGGCCTCCGCCCTCTGTTGTTCAGGGGGCAAGATTCCATTTGGTCCTGGAGATCTGTAGGGTTGGAAAGACATAATCGCCCATTTCACCCTTTTGTAGCAAACAATGCTGCTGATATCTAAGAATCGCTCACTTACTTCCCGTTAGGTTTGGTCGTGTCCTGGGGAACATACCGGAAAGTGGGTGCCCATGAGGATACCCAACATTTCTTCACAAGATGTCGTCCACTCACCATTTGGTTTTTTATTGCAGAGCTCTTGGAGAGGACTTTCCTATGTCTATTGCCTTCCGCAGCCCAAAAAGGAGTTACCTCTACACCTCTATGTCTGAATTCGGTATCACCGGAAAACTTATACCGTTATGTAAATGACCTTGAGCCATTCATACCAAAGGTTCAATTTATTGTTGGAGAGCTGAATAGAGAGGTACAATTTTCTATAAGATTTTACAGCTGCTGGCATACGCCTAAGATGTAGACATTATTGGCCGCAACAATCAAATCGTGAGTTCTACTTTCTTGAGACTGGATGAGGAAGCAAGGATATGGGTCTATTAGTTAGTGTGGGCAAAATGAAATATCCTCTGTCATCAAACAAGTAGTCATCGCATTCGCGACTTGGTCCCCACATCGCTGTAGAGAGTCACTCTTGTCAACAGGTGCTACTTTGGACTGAGCAGGAATTGAAAAGTAGAATCCTCTCTCGAGGACAAAAATCAAACTCTACAAATTGGTTATCGATCCCGTCCTGCGGAGGCATGGACGATGACAGTATCTAATGAGATGACGTAAGGAGTTTCCGAGAGAAAGATTTTCAGTACGATTTATGGTTCTTTATGAATTGCGAACGGCATGAAATCCGAACTGGCTTGCGTATTTGAAAGGTTTGTTTTTTGTTATAGTAAAATCTATAATATCCGGTGCTTTATACGGATCAGTTGGCCAAGAACCATTATAAAAATAACTTTAGTTATGTGTAATTGTCGAGCTTTTGGTAGTAAGTGTAATCCCCACCGGCAGTGAAAACATTTCCAAGAATACCAAGGAAATCATTTGAATGTTTGTCGTTCGTAAACCAATTTTGAGATTTTTTTTTAATTTTTTTGATTAAGCGCGATTTGATATAGTGTAAATAAAAGGTGAAAAAAAATTTCAAATTACATTTTCAAAAGCGAGAATTGGGGAAAACTTTACGCTTACCAATTCCAGACACCAGCCCAGTAAATGCGACAAACGTAAGTTTTCCGTAGTGAGTTGATTTCCACCACTAACCAACTCCTTGTATGCCAGCACAGTCATCAAACCATTTTTCTTACTGCTGACAGACAAATTGTAATGCAGAGCCTGCGAAATAATTTTAAAAAAATTTTAATTGAAAAATTCTGTTAAATTATCGGTATTTGTTACCTTTCTGAACCATTCTGCTGCAACCTTACTTTCGCCCCTCTCCGCTGCCTCGGTTAGTTCATTTAGTACATCTGAAAACACCGTTAGAAAAGTATTATTTTTTGAAATTGATTAATTTCCACCAGCTCGGTGAAAGGCTTGAGCACACTAGCTCTGTAGAAAGCCCCGAGTCAGGCCATACCTGTATAAGGGTTAGTAAATTCTTTGATTTCCTCATGCAATAAAGAGATTTGGCTCTGCTGTTCCAATGGTAATATTGTACTAAAATAAGAGAAAAATAATTATCATTATGGTATTCTAAATTTATTTGGCTTCTTAGCACCGAATTATTTCGAAAAAAATATCAGGTGTACAACTTAGCTTCCGCCGTTTTTTCCCCAAATTAAAAGCGTTATTGCGAAAAAGTACTTACAGATATATTATTCAAAGTATTGTCCTTCGCTAGCGACAACTTTCNCGGTTGTATTTTGTTATTTTATTTTTTTTTTTTTTTTGCTTTTTTATTGGATTTTTAAGTTTTGTGCATGTGCCTGTTTTATAGTATTTTAATTACATTTAATATTTTAGTACATTTTTGTTTTATTTTATTTAAAGTTTTATATTTTTCTTTTTATTATTAAATTATTTCGATTTCATTATGCTCTTTTTTATATTATTTTATTTTCCTTTTTATGTTTAGCTCATTTTATTTATTATACTTAATTTTAATTTTTTTTTTCAGTTTATTTTATATTGCATTTTTAATTAAATTTATTTTACTTTATTTTATACCAATTTATTTTATTTCAGTTTGTACCATTATTCTATATTAAATTTTTAACTTATTTGTTTTGTTTTTTTTTTAACAGTATTTGGTCGTATTTTAAAGAATTTTATTTTTAGTTATTTCTTTTCATTTATTTTTCAAATTAATTTTGATGTATTTACTTTAAATTATTTTATTACATTTTCTATTTTATTTTATTAATTTTTTTTATTTCATTTTAATATTAAGTGATTTATTTAATTTTTTATGTTATTTTTGTATTTTATATCAGTTTAATTTTATTTTTTATTTTATTTTTTCTAATTTTATTCTAATTGGTTTTTAAGTTTCTTTTTCTCTTATTTTATAGTATTTTAATTGTATTTAATATTTTATTACATTTTTGTTGTATTTTATTTTAAGTTATATATTTTGTTTTATATTATTAAATTATTTTCGATTTCATTTTTCTCTCTGAATTGTTTATTTTCATTGAATAATTTTTTTTTTTAATTTTTTGCTTTTTACTTTATATTTTTTTCTTAATTTCATTTGCTTTTAATTTATTTTATTTCATTTAAATTATTTTTTTTATTAGATCACTACACTTTAATTAATTTTAGTTAATATTTTTTACACTTTCTTAAATCCTCGTAATTTCTTACAGAGAACAATTTGTATACTTTCAACTTTAATCAGGCAACTATCGACTTGAAATCGGTCAAAGCCAAAATGAAACTGAGCTGCATACACGTAATTGGAACTAGACGTTCTGTGTTATATATTTGCATGTAGATTAATCAAATCACTCAAAGTGAGCGGCGTGTAATGTTGGCGCCAATTCATTTGCACTTCAACTATAATGAACTCAGATAACCAATTATGCGAGTTTCAATCATATTCGCTCCCAAAAGACCTGTGAGAAAGTCAATTCAAAATCAATAATTATTTTGACTTTATTTTATTATTTTCGCTATCTCAGATAATTGTGTTAAATTGCATGAATAAGTCGACTTTAATATTATTTTCCAAAAATAATGTTTCATATTAAATGGTTACTAAGCTTTCCAAGAGTCGGTTGGAAAGTAGTTTTCTTGGTGCTTAAATACGAAGATACGAGTACTTTGACTATGATTATCATGATCCAAAATAGTCTACTCTTAGAGATTAATACACAAGTTCCCAACCAACCGATTCATAAATTCGGCATCGAAGAGAGGAAATTCATATGAGTTTTCCAGCGTTGAGTTGGATGCGGCGGTTGGCATCTTTGTTTCGAAGTCAATGGCAACAGGCACGATTTCATTAGGGGTGTAGAATGAGTAATCATGTTCAGGTAAGATCTTAATTTGGTAGTAGGTCAAATAGCGAGGATAGGCATGACATGCGGTGGGGCATAAAATGCCTGGGAGTGGCAGCCCTTGGCCGTTTAAAAATCTGGGTCGATCCGATATAAAACCTCGACTTTCGCGTTAACTATTAGAAATTAGCCGCATCTCATGACAGTCGTGTCTTACCGTGGGTGAACATCTGGTTAATAAGATGTATGCTTAGCAACTAATTCAAGTTTATTTACGGCATTCAATACAGAAAGTCACACTAAAAGTTTTTACTCAGTTGAAACGTAGCAATATCAAGACTTTAAGATTTTGCCCTTATTACTAGGAACTTAAAAAATACCAAAGAGAGTTTACTTAACACATTACGCAAAGCCCAATTTAGAGTTTGATTATTTGTTTTTGTTCTAAAATGATTTTACTATCCCAGATATCATCTAACCTGAGCTTTTAAATTTTTCTTAAAAAGCCGCGATGCATGAGTATGAAAGCTTGAGAAGCTGGCCGAAGGGGGTTGACTAACAGAAGCTTTCAAGACGGGAGCAAATTCTTGTAGGACCGAACTTAGAGGTAATCTAGCTACTGATGCCTAGGCTGTGCTGAATTTATGGTGAGAAAGCTTCTCCAGCCTGCTGAATGGCAGAGAAAAAGAAACACCCAGAGATGTTGAATCCGATACATAATAGTTGCTGATAGAACAAATGTTTCATTGCGCGACTATGAAGAAGTTCGAATAACAATTGCCCATCTAAAAAAAAGTGGTAGGAGTCATGGGTCTCCGGGCCGCGGTATTCACAAACGGCTTGCATGGCCGCTTATAAAGTCCTATAGAGAGGATTAAAGCCTACCGCTATCAAACTAATGGAACCTTATCCTTGTTTCCTGTAAATTTAATATTGACCACATATTTACTATACACCAACTCTTGGAAAATACCCTTAAAATGATAATCGATTCGCACCAGCGCACTTCGTCGATTTCAAAACAGCCTTCGACAGCACGAATAGGAGATGCTTCTCTCCCGCTTGAATTTGGTGATTGAATTTAGTATTCCCGCAAAACTTACACAACTGTGTAACCTCCGTCGCTATCTGGAAATACCTCTCTGAGCCTTTTAAAACCAAACGAGGTTTCAGGTAAGGTGATTCCGATGATATTGACATTATTAGCCTCAACAGTCGTCCCGTGAGCTCTACTTCCTTCATACTGGATAAGAAAGAGAAACGCATCGACGTGACAATAAACTAGGGCAAGATGAAATATCTCCTTCACGTCAGCTTTGACAGTCGTCACGTTGAAGTTGTAGATAATTTTCTTGAGACCTGAGATCTAACAAAGAATCACTCCTGCTTAATAAGTGCTACTTTGGATTGATTAGGCAATTGAAACGTAAAGTCCTTTCTCGGCGAACAATCGACAAACTCTACAAGTCTCTTACATTTACGTCCTATCATGTGGTGCGACATCTGATGAGTCGACGTTGGGAGTTTTCGAGAGAAAGGTTTTGCATAAGATTTAGGGTCCTGTGCGAGTTGGGAACGGCGAATACCGCAGCCGATGGAATGATGAGCTGTATGAGATATACCGCAACATCGACATACATGTAGTTCAGCGAAACAAGAAAAAGAGGCCACGCTGGCTTAACACGTGATCCGGTTGGATAAGAATACTCCAGCTCAGCACTATGTCGGAAAGAACAAGTAGAGAACAACTAGATTTGTTATTGGTAAGGCGGAAAGCAGCAAAAAGTTGGAAGGAATGACGCGCTGCTGTTATCTTGGCTACAAACATGTAAGCGGTGTCTACACCAGAAAGTAGAAGATGTAAACAGATTAAAATAAGTCTTTTTTGCGAAGTTTGTTTTTACTTTTTTATTTAATCTCCCTAACATAAATTTGATTAAGCACTTCCAATAAAACATCCTTCGGCGCAGCATCTGATGTTTGTTGGATATTTCTCAAAATCCGATTGTATTTTTCTTCTTCATATTTGGCATGGAGGCTGGGCATATTCAATTCTTGGTAGACTTGCAAAACGCGTGCAACCTTTTCGGGGTCTGAAATGTGGAAAACATACATATATAATTAAAAATAAACAATAAAGTAACCAATAGTTCAAGGAGTTGGGCGACCGCAATTCGAAAAAATAATTTGCTAACATTTTTGAAGATTGGTCGAACCAGCACCCGAACCCAGGCCATTCGCAAGGTAGTACGCTCTGCTCGCCACACGGCTGTTAAGGCCGCAAGCCTATATTTATATTGAAGGTAATGAACACCTACCATTTTGCCCATAACACTCTGCCATGACAGCCTTCTGCTCTTCACTTGCATGCTCCATGCACTTCACCGCCAACCAGGAGCACTTATTCGATTGTATGTCTGAGCCAATTTTTCCAGTGATTTCCGGATTACCAAAAACGTCTAGAAAATCATTTTGTGCTTGGAAGTAGTTACCCAAATCATATATTATGGCTTCGGATTCTTTGAAAACTTCCGGATCCCTTACACTAAAAAGTGAAATTTAAAAAGAAAATTCTTTGATCAACCGAAAATCACACTCACCCCGCCAAATGTAGACCCAAGAAGATGGGCAAATAGAAGAAATGACAGGAAGTCTTATTCAACACAAGCGATTTGTAGGTGTTCATATTGAAGGTGGTGACATTCCTTTTAGTTAATAGTATATCTAAGGTCTGGCCGCATATGCATTTGAAAATGTTCTGCTGAAATAACTCCAACAAATCGGCATAGCAATCCAAATGACGGAAATGCTTATGGAGCAATTCGTAGAGGCCATTCTCAATTAGTAGTGCATCGTTTATGGCACTGAGACCCACACCGTCTAGGTGATGCCAACAAATCTTGCCGCGACGTGTCGTGCTTCGGTCCACTATGTCATCGGTGATTAATATGAAACAGATCATCTGCAGTATATACATACATATTATATAAGAATTAAAAAAAAAAAACACTAAAACGATATATTGGGTTGCCCAAAAAGTAATTGCGGATTTTTCATATAGTCGGCGTTGACAAATTTTTTCAACGGCTTGTGACTTGGATTGGAAGATTGTCGTATATTTTGAGCTGCTTCCAAGGAACCAAACGAATAATTTGGATGTTTACTGTCAACAATTGGACGAATTGAATACAGCCATCAAGGAGAAGCGACCAGAATTGGTCAATCGTAAAGGTGTCATATTCCACCAGGACAACGCTAGACCGCACACATCTTTGGTCACTCGCCAAAAACTGAGTGAGCTTGGCTGGGAACTTTTGATGCATCCACCATATAGCCCTGACCTTGCACCATCAGACTACCATTTATTTCGATCTTTGCAGAACTCCTTAAATGGTAAAACTTTCGGCAATGATGAGGCTATAAAATCGCACTTGGTTCAGTTTTTTGTAGATAAAAGCCAGAAGTTCTATGAGAACAAAATGGCAATTATATATTTGATTAAAGTTCATTCTAAGTTTATTAAAAATGCATTTACTTTCTTTTAAAAAATCTGCAATTACTTTTTGGGCAACCCAATACTTTTGTTGAGGACTTACCATTTCGAAACACCAACCGAGTATGCGCGCCAATTTTAAATTTTCCGCATTGAGCACTTCACTATTTGCCAAGCTTTTGTAGGTTAATACCGTTATGAGGCCATTCTTGTTATTTGTTAACGATAAATTATACTCTAGGGACTGTGAATGTATGATTTATGTTTGGGAATTTGTTGAAAAAGAAGAAAAATTTATTACCTTTCTGAACCATGCGGCAGCCTCTTCGCTTTTATATCTCTCAGCTATCTCCGTTAGCTCATTTAAAATATCTATAGATATGAAAATGTTTGAAAATAGTTATGAAAAGTCCACGCATATAGCAGTAAATACCTGGATACACTGCCATGAAATTGCTCATCTCTTCTTCCGACATCAATGCACGTCCGTTGTGTCGTTCCAGTGTTGATATTTCACTAATGAAATAAGACATGAAGGGATTAAAAAGTAAGCTAGAGCAAGTTAAGGCTTCAAGAATATACTCGAGGTAAGACATGCCACTTGTAGGACCCAGAGACAGGCGATCTACTGACGAATGCCCAGTGAAAATGAAACACCAGGAGATGGTGAGCCCAAAATTCCAATCAATGACGATAGAAGAGACATTCCACTACCTGACCATGCCGAAGTGCCAATAGCGATTTCCCGCTGAAAGAAAAACCAGGTAGCTTAGGCTAACGACCTACCGACAGAGCTTTTCAAACAAGGCGGCGAAGAGCTGACAAGGTACATGCATTAGTTTCTATGCAAAATATGATCGCTTGAAAGCTTGCGCCACAATTGAAACCTAAGTATACTCTGCCAGGGAATGTCCATTCCTCCGTGTGTATTTCGGATATGAAATAAAGGCTCCTCGTAAAAAAATCATCGGCCGTTCGGAGGCGGCTTAGGTCCCTCTATTTGTTGTAAAAACATCAAGACGCTAAACCACAAATTAAATATACAACTAAATTCTTATTTATCCTCACACCCAAAGTATATATGCCTCACAAGTGATGAGAGCCTTAATGGTAACAACAGCATCCCCTTTGCACACCCCCTACAAGCAACTCATCTAACACTTCTTTCCCCTTGATTCGAGCCCGTCGAAACAGCTGGTTTGCTGGGCATTGAGCAGCTTTACTTGAGTCTAAAGAAGGTGGAGCATACAAATACAACAATCATGACTTACCGTATTCTAGTTCCAAAATAGTTCTGTTGCGCCTTCGAACTAAACGTTTGTTTTGTGCTGTGCCTCCCAGGAGCCAATACATCTTGACGTAGAGACATTGCACGCTTTGTGTGAGTTTTTGATATTTGCTGGTTTACGCCGCCGCATTTTATAACGGTTGAACAAGCAATAGTTGCCTGTATTTGTGGGTAATTCCGTAGAAGTGAAAACATTTTTATTTTTGATTCTGAAAATTTAGAGAAGCGAAAAATTCGTCATTATTGAAAAACCCTGCTCGCCTAGTCGAGTCGAGTTTAAAGAACTACCAGACGGGGGGGTTATTCGATTTTAGTCGCCAGTATGAAAGAGAATGTTTCATCGAAGGTTAATTCTGTTCGGCATTCTCAGCCGAGGGGTGAACCCAGATATATTTCTTTTGGTACCCCCCAGTTTGCGATAAACGATGCCTACGCCAATCAGCGGAAGGATCACATATACCACAAAATGCTATCGGATTCAGTGATGAGACATGGGTTAGTTACAGATCGTGCTAATTTATTACCAAAATAATGGTTCGGACCTCCGCTGCGTCCAATTGGCCTCGATATTTCGAACAACCATAGATCCACTTACTCTAGTGGATAATACACATCCTTGATGAAATGCCATACAGTACGCAACGAAGACGCTATCGCTGCTGTAGAGCAGAGTATCGAGAAACACCCGAATTAGTCCATCCGCCATGGCGGGCAACAATTGGAGCTTTGTCCATCCACTTTATGGAAGTAGTGGCAGCAGGATCCTGCTTTGAGGGATTACAAGATCTAACTATCAAGCATGTCACAAGTTCGATGAATGGGCCTAAAACAAGATGATGTTCAGCGAAGGAGCTCACTTTTGGTTGATTGACTACCCTAATAAACAATATTGTCCTCAAAAAATATATTTTCTCCAAAAGCCACTGGGTAGCGGGAACCTTTATTCCATATTTATTCAAAGTAAGCCGGTCAATGGGGCACGCTATAGACTAGTTTATGGCTTTTTCGTGTCTGAATTGCAAGTGGTTGATGTGGACGACCTTTGCTGCCAAAAAGACGTCACTACAAGCTATACAGCCAACGCAATGAGCGAAATATCTCGCATCATTAACCTGTGGCGAGGCCGCCAAAATCGTAGTAGATAAACTCAAGACGATTGACACTTTGGAAGAAAATATGGGTACATTATTGCTAACCTTCAACTGCAATGGCTGGAAAAAGTACTCGAAAGTAGTCTAGGCAGGAATTTATTTGAGCCGGACTGGCCGGCCAATTACCCGAAATCATTTTTATAACATAATGCAAACCCTCACCGCTATAATAGGGCTGAATTATTGGTCATAATATTAATTTAGATTAGGTTAGGTTGTGGTGGTACCGATCTACCGCGTCGGATTCACAGGGGACTTACTTAGACCCATTGGAATGCCACAAAAACTTGACCTTCAAACTTCATTACCCTCATTATTTCGATGACTTTGAAGTCGGCTATCAAATCGGGTCGGGTCTCAAATTTCCAAAACCTAGCCCTGCTCAAAGCCGGACAGTGGCATATGAGAGGGGTCTTTGCAGCATCTACCAGACAGTGACCTGTCATAACTTCTATTACTTTGCAAATGTCCACTTTTTAAAGAAGTACATATCGTTATCTCTCCTTGCCCTCTTTCGGCCAGGTGTTCCTGGATTTTAGGAAGGTTGTAGGATAATTCCTTGTTGCGACTTGTTCACATATAAATTCCTTGAGAACCAGTTTGCAAATGGCTTACCAATACGTTCTTTATCGAGAAGAATCTGCTTGGTCGTACATTGCCTAGCAAGTTCATCCGCCTTACAGTTTCCTTCGATGTCCCTGATGTGACCAGGGTCACACGTGAGAGACAGTCTGTTCTCTTTGAGAGATCGGCAACAGTCCAGCGCTTATTTGAAATTTATCGTGAGCGAGCCCAGTGATTTTATTGCTGACTATTGCCGATTTGTTTTGCCACCTTCATAATAGGAGATATCTACGCCCGGAAAGCACTGCAATGATCAGATAGCCTGAAAGAGAGTTCCATCGAAGAGTTCACTGATAAGACATCTCCGTCAACTCTCTACTCAAGCTCCCTGTATATTTCCAGGCTGTAATTAGCTACCCATTCTTCCCAGCTGGGAGTTCGTATTCTAGTTGTAGTCATCACTTAATATTATTGGACCACATCGATCTGTACAACTTGGCATGAAATTGTATTTTTCCAATATTACCGACTGCCCCCCATAGCTGAGTAGTCCATTGATTTGACTCTCTTCGACAAAGTGCAGTCATTGCTTCCGATTGACATGTCACCAAGTCCAGTGCCAAGAAAATTAGTATTGCACTTAGACCTTCAGCTGATGTGTTCTTTAGTGTACACTGTGAATTGTGAAATTAGCATTTGAAGCTTTATGTATAGCTGGCCACCGCACAACTGCACCGTAAAGGTGCGTTGGACTTACTACTGAAACGTAGATCCAACGGCAAATGCTGGGGGTTAGATGGGGTCTCACTTGTATCCCTCTGGCATGTATAGAGAGTTCAGTGGCATTAAATCAAATACGTTTTACATCTGCTTAAAAGCCGAAGCACTAAATAAAGACACACACAATAACCGCCTGAGCGGTAGTAGCCATAGACAGTTCGAGAATCGTCACGCCGAGACTCGTAATCTCTTCTTCATGTCTTTTTCTCGAGAACAAGTGATAAGAATTCTGAGCACACTTTTACGGAGACTTAAAAACTCCATACGAACGACAGGCTCACCGTATTTTTTGTATAGTTGTTTTTTGGTTTATTAGCCGGCAAAAAATAGTAAAAAATATTTAAGTTCTTTCTTTTGCGATTTCACTTTAATCACTTTTATATTTCTTTATTCTTATTATTATTATTTTTTTTTGTTAACAAAAGTTTTAAAAAATTTTGAAATTTAAAAAATTCTATTTCTCCACTAGGCATCTGTAGAGCGCTGCTCACTGAATATAACTGCGTTGAGACACCGACGATTTTGCCGCTTTAAAATAAATAAAAAGTACGCTAATCGTTCAAAAAAAAAAAAATTGGAAAATGTAAATTTAAAATTAATAAAAATTTTAAATGAAAACATTCAATAAATATTTCTTCTTAATTAGATGATGACCTTAGATAAAAGCATTTTGCAATAAAATTCCAAAAAAAAAAAAACACACACACACACGCATGACAGTCAAGTTCGGGTGCATACTCACAGACGGCGTTAGAACGAGATTAAAATGAAATTATGCGAATTTTTATCAAAACAAAATGTTTATACATATATATATATATACATACCAGTGTGCATGAATGCAAATAATTGCGCTCAATACATAAATAAGATACTCTAATCACTCGCAAACTGTTTTCAATAATTTCCTTCATTGACGAGAGTAATAAATAAAAAAAATTATTAAATAAATAATTGATATTATTATAACCGTTAAGCATGTTTATTTGAACAGTTATACATCTAATAATGGGGAGTATTTCTACTTCTGGTTAAGCAGCTACATTTGCCAGACTATTTCTAATTTTCACACTGCTCGTTGGAAAGGTGAGCAACCTTTGCTCGCTGTGTGGCCACGGTTAAAAGAGTGGAAGCTCCTCCAATATATTTGTTTGAAGAGTTCGCTGAAATCTAGTTGCTACATCTGCACACCAGAGCTTGAGCTTTCGCTACGGACAGCTGAGAGATTTATATTTGATGGTAGAAACTAACCTGGAGGGCTTGGCCTTTCTGACCAAAATTTGATAGTAAAAAAAAAGGAACAATATTCTAAAAATTAAACAAAAAAATTAAATAGTTGTTGTAACGGCTATCTAACCCCGTTTAAGAGCAAACAAAACTAGTCCAAGTCAATGCGATCATCAAGGGGGAGCTACAGGGAGAGAGCTGATTCGAAGGTTTCGGCTCAGACTGAAATAGTGGTTGGATGCGTAGATTTTAGAGGGCATGTAAAGAGGTGGTTAGTGCCGTGTGGGGACTCATTATATGCAAGAGATACATTGGTTATGTCGAGTCTGGATAAGTAAGAATTAACTTAACTATTAATTTGGATCTTTCGAGGCTGCTCGACCTTTTCGTCTGCATTGAATTTCGAAAACACTGTTCGCTGGAAGTAAGTTCAAGCAAGCGTTGACGACCATTCGTCAAATGAGGTTTAAAGCCTGATGATTGGTGTTGTTGTTGTTGTTGTAATCGAAAAAATATTCCCCGAATTGGTTATCGAGCAATACTGCGGTAGTGAGTGTCTTTGGTTGGATAACCATCCGTGTCGTTTCTGTTCAAACACCCAAATCTCAATGACACTATTGAATTTAAGTTGTCCAATACGACAGACGTATCTTACCACAAGTAAATTCTTGAGCCCCTAACCTGCAGGGATTGTAGTTACACCGTCTTGTCCAGCGGTTCTTGAATGCATGTATATGGTGCTGAATGGAGCATGCGTAGTTTAGTACTCGCTTCGTGATATGCCTAGGTCACCACCTCAGCCTCAAGATAATATATATTGTGTGCTGTGTTTCCACCATCGAAACCGGTACTTCTTCGTGCTGCTAGTGAATAGAGTAGCCGAAGATCGCAGGTTATAGATGAAGTTGTCGTTACTTGACCTACCAGGATGAAGCGGTCGGCAACCGCAAGTGGGAAGAACACTGAAGATGTTCTCCGTAAATTCCGTGAAGCCAGGCCATTTAGCTTTATTAAAGTTAAAAAAAAACATTCACATCGGGAATCTCCTGTCAATCCAGACAATTATGAGCAAGTAATCGGATGCTAGCGTCAACATAGGACATCAAGCTTTCTCTTCAATTTGCGCTAATCACCAGAAACCAAACGGTTTTTTACTCTGAGTAGCGCACCTATATCAGGGTTATATCCGACTGGGCAACAAGTAACATGAGGATATGTATATATTGAATATTTCGTGTTGGACATGGCTTGACCGAATGGATATGCCCTAACAGGTATAATATTCCTGAGAGCAATGTCGCCGTCGATGAGCCAATACTGCCCGTGGTCTCGCTCGCGTACGATGTCTGTTCTATTCGGCTATTTCTTCTATTTTCCGCTGAAGTCCATTGCAATCACATTCAAGCAGTCTAATCTGTATCGGTGATTGGCGGCGGAGTTTCAATTAGTTTGTGGGTGAAAAAATTACTTCAAAAGGTTTAAAATTTTATTATTTATTTGTTTCATAATCACTCTTTGGTACATACAAATTAATAAAAAAAGAAAAAAAAAAACAGTAAAACAACGATGGCATAATAATATCGAATCGTTTCGATTTCGTATTTGAATGTTCATAATCTGAGATATGAAGATACGTTAAACAAGTGCATAGAGATAAATATACTTAAGGACATTCACATGCATAGTGTTTCGGAACAAAATATGTATACATATTTATAGCACAGAAGTTATAATAAAGTTCGTTGAGCTTTGTACATAACGGTAGCGTACGCTACGAAAGCAAATCTGTTATTATAAATTGACAAATTCTTATTTAGTTGCTTATTAAAAACTACTTGGCATACATTCTTCTAGTCTTTTCTTTCTTTAACGCCTCTTAGGATTGTCGTTGATGAAGTTTCTGTAGAGCTTGCAACAGTATTGCTTTTGGGACTCCCTTATGTGCTTGCTCAATTTGTGTTTTAATTTGATTAAATTTATCTTCTTGGAACTTTGCATAATAGCTGGCAAGATCCAGTTCCTCGTAGAGTTGCTTAACACGTGCTACTTTCTCAGGATCTGAAATGAGAAATGAAATTATAAGTATTCAAACATTTTTAACACATTATTCAAATAATTCTATTAAAAAGCCAAGAAACCAAAAATTAAATTGAATTAAATAAATGAAATTATGTTAAATTAATTAAAAAATTAAATAAATTTGATGAAATAATATATAAAAAAAATAATAAAAGTACATTAAATATTATAAAAGGAATAACATTTTATAATATAAATTAATATAAAATAAAAATAAAATGATAGATAAATATATCTATATATAAAAAATAAAATAAAATAAAATTGAATAAAATGAAATAAAACAAAATAATAATACATAAAATATAATAACGTTATATAAAATTAAGCAGTCGGAGGCCGCGGTAGCCGAGTGGTTGGCATTGCGTACTGTCATTCGTAAGACTTGGGTTGAAATCCTGGTCTCGTACTAACATCCTTTAATTTCAAAAAAAATTAAGTTAAATTTTCTAATAGAGGTCGCCCCTCGGCAGGGAACGACTGTATTTCTAACATGAAATAAGCTTCTCAAAAAAAAAAAACCATCAGCCGTACGAACATCAACACTCAAACAAACGAATTGGAGGCCGAAAACCGCTTCAGCTTGTTACAAAGCGCCAATTATAATAATAATTACAACTTAAAATAAATAATTTAATAATTAAAATAACATCAAATAACATAATCAAAAACCAATAGAATGAATAAAAAATCGTACAATAGAAATAAAATAAAATATATACAAAAAAATATATACATAAATTTAAAAAAAATGATAAAATTAAGAAAAATAAAAGAAAATAAAAAAACTAATATAATGAAGTAAAAAAAATATATTTATGCATGGGCCCGCGTTAGCCAACCATTCGGTAGGCAAGGGTACGACTTCTAGTCCGCTCAACAACAAATTTATAAAAAAAAATTTTAAATAAAAATTAGTAAAAACTGTAGGCTCGCCAAAACATCAAGAGCCAAACAAGCAAATTGGAGCTCGGCCGAAAATCGCTTCAGCGGGTTAAGAATGAATGTATTAGCTCGGTCCAATTTGCATGGTTCAATAATATTAAAAATATTATTATTTAACAGATAACAAATAAAATGTAATATTATATAATAATGTAAAAAAATAAACCAAAATGAAATAGATTAAAATTATAATTTAATATGCTTTATTATATAAATGAAAAAAGTGGAATGAAATAAAATAAAAGTAAATTAATTTATATAAAATGATATGATATAAAATAAAGCTATACAGATTAAAGTAAAATAAAATAAAGTAATTTATATTGAAATAAATTTAATTTACAAAAAGTCTAAATAAATGATAAATAAAAATCTCACCATTTTGTCCATAACATTCCTCCATAATGGCTCTTTGCTCTGGGTTAGCTTGTTCCATACATTTTACAGCTAACCACGAACACTTGTTGTCCTGTATATCAGTGCCAACTTTTCCAGTAACCTCTGGGTCACCGAAGCAATCAAGAAAATCATCTTGTATTTGGAAAAAATTACCCATCTCTAAAATGATCGCCCTACAATTGGCAAACACCTCACGATCTGTAACACTAAAAAGTGTAATAAATTGCAAAATTAAAAAAAATATTCATTTACATACCAATATTCGTTTTCTTAGTTTTAGTTCAACATCATATATAACACTTACCCAGCTAAATGTAAAGCAGCTGCAACTGGCAAATAGAAGGTGTAGAACGATGATTTATTTGCCACTATAGAATTGTATACGTCTATATTGAATTCGCTAACAGTTTTATTTGAATTTAGTATATCCAACGACTGACCCATAGTCGTAATGAAAGTTATTTGATGGAAGAGGTCGAGCAAATCGACATAACAGTCCAAGTGGCGAAAATGTTTATGGAACAAAACGTACATACCATTCTCAATCATAAGGGCATCATTGAGTGCAATGAGACCAACATTTTCCAATTTATACCAACACAATTGACCGCGTCGCGTAGTGCTGCCATCCATTACATCATCGGTGAGGAGGAAGAAGCTTTGCAGCTGTGAATATAAAGAAATTAGAGAGTAAATTTAAATTGGACGTGAGTTTTGCTTGTTTTAACAAATACGTGCGGCTAAATTTTCACCTTTAAGTGTATGTACATATGTACAGCGACTGTAATCACCAAATGGGTTACCTGTTGACCTAATCGGGGTTAGGTCGCCGAAAGGGTGACAGCCCTTGGCCGGATAAAATCCGGGTCAACTCCGGTATGTAGAACCGGTTGTCTTGAGAGTTCCCAGCATATCCAACATATGCCCTGTATGTGGAAAGTATCCGCACGACACTAAGCACCTCTTCACATACCCACTCAAAACCCTCTCCCCCTTTGGTCAAGCCCAATTAGATGACCTAGGCGACTTAGATTAATCACACCTTTCCCTAAGCGGGGTTAGCGAATCATCGCAACAACAACAACAACCGAGTGGGTTAGGGGCTCAAGAATTTTCCCGCTGTAAAGCATGCCTGTGCTGTTGTTATTGTAGCCCCATTACCAATGTTTTATTTCCTAAAGTAGTTTTTGGGAATTGTTACGGGAGTGACAGTCTTTATATACATATACATATAGACATATATACATATATATATGGCGCCTTTGTAATCGTTGAAGCGATTTTCGAGCTCCCCCTCCAATTCGTGCTTTTGCGTCTTGATGTTTTTCCAACAAATGGAGGGACCATCACTCCCGACACAAGGTGACTAAAGTCCAATAGTTCCCTTGACAGGCGGGCCTTTATACCGGAACGGCCCGGATTTGTTTCTCAAGAATCAAGCCAAGAACTATCATTCCCGCAAATAGTACTTTGGGGAATATATAAAATTTTTGTTTTTACAACAAAAACAACAACAACAACCGAGCGGGCAATATTAAGTACCGAAATAAAATCAAAGAGTGTATATACGAGTAAACATATAGTATTACGCACCATTTCTATACACCAACCGAGATAATGTGCCAATTTAAGATTCTCCGGCGTCTGTTGCTCAGCTTTAGCTGCCTGTTTGTACGTTGAAACGGCGAGAATACCACGATTCAGTTTACCACGCGGCACATTGTACTCCAGAGCCTATGAAAGTTAAAATAGCGTATCAAATTATATTGAAAATTTATAAAAGTATAAAACTTCATACCTTTGTAAACCATTCCGCAGCCTGTCGGGTCTCTAGAGAATTCGCTGCGTCAGTCAATTCATGTACAATTTCTGCAAAGAAAGAGGTATCCATTAGTGTTGTTAGAGTATTTGCGGATTTGCACTTTATTGTGGTCAAAAAAAAAAAAACAAAAAAAAATCACGTTTGAATGTGAAGACTGTTCGCAACCGAATAAGTCAGTTTTATAGTTAACTTGTGGTATTTAAGGTAACGCAATAATTGCACAAAAGTATGAAAATATGCAAAATGTCAAAAATTCAAATTCAAAAATATGAATACTTTTGTATGCCAGTATTTATCGGATGATTTACATATTCTAAGTACAAATTCAGTTCAGTTATGAACTGAAAATGCAAATGAAATGAAACATGTGTTGTTTTTCTTATTTTGAATTAATTAGCATATTTTTGTAAACGACAAAAGCTTTGTTCAACTATGGGTTGCTTGCAATTCGGCTCTATATTTAAATCAACCGTTATAATATAGCATTAAATCGCGCTAGATAACGAATTTTGTTTGTATTTTGTATTTAAAGGGCTTTCGGTAGTCAAAGCTTTGGAAACAAATTATGAAAATAATTATTTCTTTCAGGAATATTTTTGAACCAGTACTGACTGTCGCCAAATGTGTGTAAAATACTAAAATAGCAGAGTTTCAACTAAAGTTTAGCCCATCTGCTCTATGAAGAAACTACAAAATTTGAGTATTTTATTGCACATAACGTTAAAAATCGTAAGAGATATTTATTTTGAATTTCCATATATTCTCAATCGTTCGAATATTAAGTATTGGGTTATTTGATGTTTCGTTTCCAGCTTTACCTAACTTATTTTTCTGTAATTACATTCTTTAAAAAAGCTCACGTCATTGCCCTTGCTCCTGAACTTTCGTCGTGAGGTCATATTTTTGCGTTAAAACATATTTATTGATTTTTAGCGCATTTTTATCTTTCATACTCATTATAATAATTACCTGGAAACACCGCCAAAAAGTCTTTACTCTCATCTTTTGAACCCGTTGCACGAGCTGCTACCGACACATAATTATTTCTACATATTGAAAAGGGGCTAAAGAGAAACAAGCAGACGATTAGTATATTAAGTAAATTACACTTAAAATAATAAAATAAAAATCTTATAAACTTACATAGCTTAGGTAGAATTTAATAGCTACCGAAGGTGGAAATAAAAATGTTGGCAATTTTTCAAAGGAAGTAAAAGGGTCGCTAAGACAAGAAACATATACACAGTAAAAGGGAATTTTAAAAATAGCCGTACATCAAGAGTGGACAATATTAAAGCTGAGTTAAATATATTTATAATATCATTTTAGAGATATTTTATTAAATTTTTGTAACAAATAAACTGTATAATGTGTAATTCAGCGCAACATTTTGTAGAAATTTTTAGCCATGTGCATGAATATACATATATATTAATATTGCCATGAATAATGAAGGAAATTGTACCATAACTGTGTAACGAATTTTTTTTTAATAATTTTTTTTTTTATGAATATTCTCATGTTATGCATATTAAAAATATAGTTTTTCTAAAAATAAACGCAAAAATATTATTACAAAATATTAAAATAATTTTGTAATAAAAAATTAATAATTTTAATGATAAAAAAATAAAATAAAATTTCACACACAGTTATAATATTACAAATTTTAGTACATTTTTCAATACTTTCTGTTTGTACAGTTACACCATACTATTTATAATGTAAAATATTTTAAATGTGATTGGAATGCGTAGCTATCGAAATACAATAAAAACTTACATATGTATGTACATATTTATGTAAGCGTAGCTAGTTGTTAGGTGAACACAAAAAGGGCAAGTGCATTTGTCTTTCATTCACTGATTTCTTTCTTTTGTCATAAACACAAAAGTTCAAGATGAGTGTGCACATGCCGGTTTTGAAATTTACAGATGAGCAAACAAACCAAACAGATTTATTATTGTTTACACATCCGTAAATACACATGTACATATGTATGTTGATGTTGATATCCAGAAATAAAATAATAAGTGCTCGAATATGTGTATGAATATATATGTAAATATGCAAATTAGAATACTAAAGTAAACAAAAATGTCAGCGACCGGTTAATGGCAGTGCAAGTTTTGGATTATCACGAAAATAATAAAGGCATGAAATCCTTTCTTCCTTGATGCTTCTGAAAAAATTATAAATTTTCTCAGTGTAAGTCTCAAAAATATATTACATTATTTTAATATACTTAAGTTTATGTCATAAAAATTCGGAACAGCAACTTTCTCTGTTTTAAGGAGTGGTTGTTATGGTAGTAAATTTGGTAAATTATTATAAAAGCATCTTTGTTAAATGCTTACCGTTTCCAGCTAAGCGTTTTGCAATTTTTAATGCCAATAACAGGTAGCTGAGGATATTTCAAAAAGCATATAACTACGAGAATACCACAAAAAAGTGTTGACTTACATTTCTGAAATAAAAAGGAAAAATTTTGACCTCAAAAAAACTAAGCAGACATAACAGACAGACATCTTGCACTGAAAAAAAAAACCAAAATGTCACTGTTGTTGTTGTTGTAACTGCAAAAATATTCCACGAATTACTTTTTTGGAAATGTTGCGAGAGTGACAGTAGGTATATGACAGTAGGAGGTATAAAGACCCGACTGTAGCGGGATCTATTAGATTTTAGCCGCCTTTTAGGACTGGCATGCCTTGCCCGCAGGGAGAATATCAAAAAGAAATAAAGTATGCTTTGTACGACACAATTAGTTCAACTGTAGTCCCCGCTAATGAGAAATACTCATATTTTTATTTGCATTTTTGGATAAAGGATACATATGTACATATATGTCAAGTGCTGGTGAAGAAAACTTTCTGCTTAATTAAGTCACAAATCCCAGTTTAAAAGGATAAGAACGGTTCAACATTTACATATGTGTGCATGAAGTGAGCATTCAATTAAAAGTTTTATTTTATCACATATTTTTATAACTTCGTTTATATTATTTGCTGAATTTCCTTGAGCATTGCAAGGAAGATGACCCACTTACATTACATCCATATGTTATTATTAAGTACACTTACCGCTGGTATTTTTTCAACACTTGTTGTTGTGCCGTATTAACCGATATATGCTCATTATTTTTTATTGCAAAACTATAACGAAATATGCTACGAACGTTTTTAGTGGTATTATTGGCGTTGACTCCCAGGAATGCGCTCACATTCGATGGTAATTGGTTTAGTTTGTGTATGCGTGTGAACATGTTCCTTCTTTTTTCAATTACAATAGGCTTTTTCGAGAAATTAATAAAATAAAATCGTTTTTGCAACAAAACAACAACTTAGATATATATTTATAACAATACACTTTCTATTTACGTCAGTTATCAATTGCAACTAAACACTTTCGCCACAAATGCATTCAATTGTAGAACGAACAAGCAAAAGTTAAATAAGCACAAACAGCTGATTTTGACAATAATATATTGACGCCGTTGAGCGACGAAATGACGGCGTTAAATTCTTCTTATCACATAAATAAGGCTGCTACACACACGCAAGAATAAAGGGATCCCAAAATTAGTTTGTTTTAAGGAAAATGTATAGCTTTTGATTTTTCAGGCATAAAAAACTTAAAAGATTAAATTCTGTTGACGCCTTGGTGTTATTAAAAGATTGAGGTTAGATAATTTTTTTTTCAGTTTTACATCTCTTTATTTATCTGTATATCTACAAGCGAGTTTAATAGGTTTATTTTTAGCATATTAATTTTTTTTAAACTTAATATACATTAAGTTGATACACAGTTCAGCTGTGTATCACTACATTGTAAAAGGTGCAATACCTAGAGTTATATAAAAATACATACAGTACGTACTTTAAAAAATCTCCTTAAAAACTCATGAATATATTTTTCCACCGAATCGAAAACATATATATATATATATATAAGAGTTGTATAGTATACTAAGAAAAATAAAAATAAAATTGTTACAAGAATAAATTGTTTAAGGACACAAATAAGCAAGTTTTAATTGTTCTAAAGCAAAGTTTACGTAGACTGACTAGAGCAGAATAGTGATGAAGCCGTACGGCGACCAATAAATTAAATAAATACAATAGAAAATAAATTAAAACATAAATTCAGATGATGCTCTACGAAGGAAAACTTTGACACATTAAAATAACCTTAGTTAGTAAATATATATTGTATATATATGTACTGATAATAATTTAAATTTAGGTGATGCATGGAATGTATATACATTTTTACGCTAACTCTGGTTTAGAGATGGCAAAATGTAGCCTGATGCAAGTATGCATCACTTTCTTACAACTGACTTATTCAACAACCATTTTAGTCGTCGAAAAAGAGTATTTCCAATATACGTTTCTGAACGGTTTTACGTCTTTCTTTTGTCATTTTTAGCAATTCTGTTGTTACCAATTCACCCAGCAGATGTTCAGAGCTACGCGGTGGTGCAGGATTTTGTGGTACTTGGAATTTGTTGAGATGTGTCGGTTGTTGTGGCGTTGTAGGCGACTGTTGTTGATGAGGCAATTGATGATAAAGTTGAAAAAGGAAGTCGGCGTTGGCAGGAAACATGCCCTGTTGTTGATTGCTATGCCCCGAATTAGAACTGCGATGCGTTGCCGCTGCGGTGGAAGTTGAAGGTGCGCCATCGTAGTGATTATTTTGATTACCATTCAATATGGTTTGTGGCTGTAACAAGCCATGGCTATTGTCATCAGAATCATCGTCGCTGTCGTCAGGGTAGTGTTGTGCATTAGTCGAATTGGAAGTTTCATGGGCATCAGAATCATCGTCGCTGTCGTCAGGGTAGTGTTGTGCATTAGTCGAATTGGAAGTTTCATGGGCACCAGGTTGTTGTTGTTGTTGTTGCGTATGATTGCTGTTATGTGGCATGTTGTTGGCATTTGAATTTAGCTGTACACGGGGCTTTTTCGATTCGTGATAATTGGTAGATGAGTCCATCTCATCATTATTGGAATCACCAAATGCATGTGTAGACATATGATTAGATGATGAGGAATGTGCTGCAGCCTGCTGAGTACCACTGGTATGATCTATATAATAAAGGAAGAATTATTAGGAAAAAAATGGATTTTAAATTTTCATTAAACTTACTAGCACCACTCTGGTTACCGTTTACTCCATCTAATGGAGATGATAACGGTGATTTCATTGATGACGACGATGACGATATAGCCATGCCACCACCATTGCCATTATGTGTTACACCATTACCATTTGTCATGTGATGACTATCACGATAGTGCTCATTATAATTTTGAGAGGAATCCGCCATAGCGGCCGCAACAGCAGCAGCTTGTTGGTGTTGTAGCTGTGTTTGTGATATTTGCTGCAGCTGTTGTGAGGCTACTGCAGCGGCGAAATCACGAAACATTTGATCGGCTTCAATCTTGACATGTCCATTACCATTCTCTGTACCTGAAGCAGCTACCGCAGCTGAACTGAGTGCATTCATGGCATGTTGAGGATCCGGTTGATGGTAGTGATGTTGAGAGCTGCCGAAATGACCTAAATTTTTTAGAGATCCATTCGATTTGGAATCCATATTGAATTCACTATAATTGGAACTATTAACCGAGTGCGGTGATGTGAGAAAATTTGGCACATTCCTATAAGATTTGCGTGGTTGTATATGTTGGTCTAGGAATTTCATTTTTTCGAGATAGGGTCGCGAAAGGTGTTCATATACGGGTGGATCACCTTGTTTGCGCTGTGAAACATAACGTTCTCTCAAATATTTCCAACGTTTTTTACATGTTTCCACTAAAGGTATTGAAATATTGTTATGAAAAAATGTAAAATAAAAAAATATAAACATACACATACCATCTGTACGCAGCTTTATAGCAATTGTCTGCCAGGCTTCATCTTTAGTCTCATACTTCCCCCCCATGCCACCGGGGCCATTACTACCATTAAGATAATACTTTTGACGATTGAAAATAACACCATGTTGTGCGACTTCATCAATTAGCTGCTCGTCCATCATTTTCTGCGCGTTGAAATCAATTTTTGCCTATGTGTTGGATTTACGCAATTAAAACTTTAATCACTTATTTCACTTTGCTTTTTCTGTATCTCTGTATCTCGTACAGATACTTTAATTATCGCTTAATTAAATTTGATAATTAGAGGGCTGCGTAAGTGCCGATATCACATATTTCATTAAAGAATAAACGTTGAGGAATAGCTCTTGGTATAAAACTTGCATATATGCCAATTGCGAAGCTCTTTGGAATTTTTATGCACAAATTATTTTAATTTAATTAATTAAATTCTGCTGGTGTAATAAAAAAAAACAATTTAATTGGCTTGAATAAGCAACAGCAATTGAAAACTCTTCAGTTTGTTTGACAATGGAGAATGACATCTGTGGTTTTTCTACATTTCTCTTTCTCTCTGCTCTTCGTGAAAACCTCAGTACAGCATGACCCAAATGAAATAAAATAAATATGTATTTCAATTATTTAAGATAAGTAATTAAATAAAGATTTGTTAAACGTATTAATGAAAAGTTATATTACTAGATTAGAGTAAATTACTTTCTTCAAAATAAATTAATTGCAAAATTTTAGACTCAGTTTTAGAGAAAACAGGATTAAAGAAATTGTCACTGCTGTAAGAGAGCATCCATAAGCCACGTAGCTTAGTCAAGATAGTGCAAGGGTTGCGGGAGGCAGTATTAAAAATGGAACGATACCCGCATTAAAAACGCATTGAAATTATTAAAATTCATTATAAAAATGAAAACCCGGGAGACGGTTCGTAAAACAAAAGCATTTTTCGGTCGTAGGGAACTACCTTGGTGGACCGCAATATAGAAAGTGGTGAAAAAAATGGAGCTGCTGGGGCAAATTAGTGGTGTGAAAAATAAAACATGTGCACGTCTTTGGTTTGTCCGTCTCTCGTCGGTCCTTGGAATCGGGCATTCCTCAAACGACATTACACCGTATTTTGCTTAAAGACTTGGATCTTAGGGCTACAGCAGCTAATTAGGATAAAAAGGATAGGTTCCTGTGAGCGTAGTCGTTACAGCCATTGTTTCCATTATTAATGGCAAATCTTCCGCTTTTCATTGAAATAAACATCCGATCATTTAGCTTTAAGGAATGCCATTTTTCTTTGACTATCGAAATAAAGCCTCTTATTTGAAGAAACTTGAAAAGAAGTGTGAAACAAAATCACGTTTCCCTGTGCAGGGTAGGGGGGTTCACAAGAAAGGCCACTTTATGCTACATGAAGGGGTGGCAAGGTCCCGGGAGACCTAATATGTACATGACCACGTGACACCTGAGTCATATGGAGAAATCGAAACTAGGTGAGGTCATAGGAAAATTGATGTATGATTATTTATTTTTGGTTGTATTATTTATTTATTTTTGTATTTTTATCAATAAGAATCGCTTTGCATAAAATTAATTTAAAATAATACCATTTATTCTTTAAATCATACCTTAATTAATCGATCACAACTAATCTATACATAAATCATAGTCCTTAAATAAGGAACTTAATATTCCCTAACATTAACCCATCCACAACAACAACAATAAATACGTTTAAAATTACTACTACATTTTCTAATCCTCTTTACACTGTTTGAAGACTCATCGTCTTCTTAGATTTAGAGGGATCCCACTGAATCCCGACCACATGCTGATCGCCAAAGACTTTTTTATCTGAAATTGAAAAGAATTTTATGTTACGATTTGTACAAAAGGTAAACAAAGCATTGGAGACTCACCATATTTGTGCTGATGATCCTTACTGCAGTCTTTCGGGCAGTAAAGTACCGTCAAATCGAGATTACCAAATACCACCAACTCTAGCTTAGGTATATCCGTTGCGTGCATTGGAAATGCTGTAACGGTTTCAGAATTCTGGTTAGATTTTGCGGTTTGTGTTCTATACATTCTTTTGTATGTTTGTTGTGTTTCTTCTAGAGTGTTTTGTGCATTTCGTGTTATCCGCACATCATTCGATTTGATATCTAACAAATTGTCATGGAATTGTATGCCTAAACGTGTTGGTTGAGCGGTTGTGCCTTCGGGTGTTTCTAATTCTGTTTCCAGTGCTGTATTTTCTGTGGTAACAGTAAAGTTGGCTGTGGTAGGTGTGTGTACTGTTGTAGTGGGTCGTGCTGTGGTTGTGGTGAAATTATTCACATTGTGCTCACTAGAAATCTTTCTTGGTACAGCTGGTAATGACGGAGCCGCCAAACCGTCTGTTTGCGGTGCTTCGTTTGAGATGTAATTCTGGAATGAATCACTTATCCTTATAAGACCTGTACTCTTCTCTAGCGAGTGAGCGGGACTGTCTGCTTCGTCGGACTCCATTACATTCGCATCAGCCCGCTCGAAATCTTTTCCTAGAAGATCTTTGAGTTTTGTACGCGATTCTTTAACATTCGCTGCCGTTGGCGATTCAATAAGTGGACGCATATTTAGTTGATTATGCTGAAGCTGCCCAGCCGGTTGGTCTATGTGATCTGTATGTTCTTGTTTTTGCACCACTGTGCGCGGCGCAAGACTCGATGGTATTTCCTCGTTCGCTTCAAAAACACCAAGTACAGCATTTCGTATCGGCCTTAAGGTACTGGAAGCCGTTAAAATGTGATGTGCGCTCGTAGTTTCGTTGAGGTCCTTGCCGTTTTCGGTAGTTGCCACTTCAAATACCTTAGATACCTTTGGCTTTAAAGTTGTTATTGGTGTATTTAATGAGACGCTGTTTATGCTATGTGCGACTTGCTCTTCGTCCTTTCTGTTAACCTGCTCTCTCGGGCTATGTGTGCCGGTCTTTAGAATATTTTGCTTCTCTGTTACATGAGAATTTTGTTCAGAAATTACTGTGTTGCTTTCCTGCGTACTTTCGAGGCTCCTGTTAGTTTCAGTTGTTGTTATGTTCGTCTCTATTGATGTAGACGTCAACTGAGGCTTTGAGTTCTCGGCACTAAGCGCCTCTTTCGACTGAACATTCAGATCAGCTGTTTTCACTAAGTCAGGATTAGGGTGTCTAATTCCATCTTCGTTACTGGACTCAGCTGGCTTCTCAATTTCTCTTGTACTTGTGGTGGCTACAATCTGTGGCTTAACAGTTTTTACCACTGTTACAGATGATTTTTCTGTTGTGGTCAGGTTGGTTTCGCCAGTTGCTTGGAGCTCGTTCACGTGTTCGATCATCTCATCAACAGCATTGGCAGTGTGTCTCGCAAATTTGATTTTAGATGCTTTGGTTCGTTCTGTGCTGAGAGCCATTATTGTTTGAGGAGATTTTGTGTGCTGCGAACTATCGTCTGACGTTGAATGTTTATCAGGTTTTACCACTTCAGTATCTGTGCGTAACGCTAGCGCAGAGCTTTGTTGCTCTTCGGACGGTTGGTCTCCGTCTGTGTTCTCCTCGCTGGGAGCACTTCTAATATCTATTTGGAAATTCGATTCAGTCGTGGAAGGATGCAGTTCTGTAGTAGCTGCGGTACTACTTTCGGTAACTGATACCGTGGTTCGTTGGTGCTCTGTTGTGCTTTCAAGCCTTTCAATATCTTTGTTTTCGTTGATTTCACTTGGCGCTGTTGATGTTTCATTCTGTTCATTTATATTTTTTGTCGCCGGCGTTTTAAGGCTGGAGGATTCCACAACATTTTGGTTCAACGAGGAATTCTGTTTAGAGTTCTTAGTATTGGCTGATTTTGTAACACGAATTTGTTGAACAACTTGTTGAGTTTCATTTGAATTTTCGGCAGAATCTCTGATGAGATCATCAGTCGGCGAAATAACATTCTCTTTCAAGGACTTTGTGGAGCTTTCTGGAGATACAGGAGTTGTAGTCTGACTGAATGTTTTAAGTTGTGGTGGTAACTTGGTGGTTGCTGTGATTGTAATATCATTTGTACCCAACAAGAGTGTGGGCCTTGTGGGTCTTTTATCTGCTTCAAAACTGGAACCGGAACTCTGAACTGCGCTATTTTCTTTGAACTCCTGCTTATCATCTGCAGCTTTAGCGTCATTAGCATTGTTCTCAGGTGTAACTGTGAGCTCAGAAATAGACTTTATAGCAACATTCTTGTCAAGGCGCCCTCTTGTAGCGTTTTTTTCCGTTGCAGACTCTTCTTTCTCATTTGCTTGTTGATCGTCCATTTCTATTGGGTTTTCTTTGACTGCTTTCTGACTTACTTCGTGGTGAGTGCTTGTGAAATTGTCTGCCTTTGATGTTGTAGCCTCTGTTCTACTCTTTTTACTTTCCATGACTTTAGCGGAACTTTCAAATACGTCTTCCTTGGTCTTAACCGAGGATCTCTTCCGTTCTGGCGTTCGTACCTCAGCAGTTTCTAGTGGCATTTCGGAGTTCTCGCTAAACGCTGGCAGTGCTTGTCGTAATGTACGTAAAGTAGTTATCTCAATATGCTTTGGAGTTTTGGGCTTTGTAATCTGCGTTGTAGAAGACCCCGATTTCGTTGAGTGTATACCAAGAGCAGCTTCTTTCAAGCTTGTAGTGTGTGTCGCTGAAGGTTTTCCCTCATTTATAGCAGTTGTTGGGTCGTTGTACTCCAGTTCATCGTCATAATAAATAACATCACTACCAGCTCTGCTGTCTGGCGCTTCGCCCACATTGCCCTCAGCGTTTTTATTATCCAATTGTTTAGTTTTAGACATCTCTTCAATTGTTGATTTTGGAGTAGTATTGTTGGTACGACTATTCAGAGCTACAATTGGTTTTTCTGTTGATTCCTGTTCGTTTTTAACTTCGTTCGAAGATTTTTCTGATTTCAAATTTTCAGCTATTGCCGACACCGTCAAGTAGTCATCGTAATAAACGACGTTTTCAAATTCATCCGAATTGTAATCCAGTTTGTTGTTCGTATGATTATTCTCTTCGTAGTCATTTGCCGTTATCAAACCAGTTGAAAAACTCGATCTTATGTTTCTCATTTCACTCTCATCTAAAGTATTTGGTGCAGTGTTACGTGTATCTGGTGAACGTATTTCATTTTGTGTAAAGTCTGTGAAGAAGTTTCAAGGTGTTAGAGTTGGAGTGTAAATGAGTGTGGGAAAGTTTAAACAAATATTGGAAAAGTGGAATACAAAAGCTGTTAGTTCGTAGAGAAGCTCAGAAAACGTCAAAACTGATTCAGTAGTGAAATCAGGACAGAAACTAAGATTGTCTCAACAAGTAGAGGTAGAGAAAGAGAGAGAGGGGAGAGAGATAGGAAGAGAGAGAGAGAGAGATAAAATATAGTGATAGGAAGAGAGAGAGAGAGAGAGAGAGAGAGAGAGAGAGAGAGAGATAGAAGATAGAGATAGGAAGAGAGAGAGTTAGAGAGAGAAAATATAGAGATAGGTAGAGAGAGAGAGAGAGAAAATATAGAGATAGGAAGAGAGAGAGGGAGAAAATATAGAGGTAGGAAGAGAGAGAGAGAGAGAAAATATGGAGATAGGAAGAGAGAGAGAGAGAAAATATAGGGATAAGAAGAGAGCGAGAGAGTAAAAGAGAGAGAGAGGGGGAAAGAAAAAGAGAGAGGGATTAAGAGAGAGGAAGGAAGAGAGAGAGGGAAAGGGAAAGGCAGAAAGAGGGAGAGTATGAGACGAGGAAATAGGGATTGTGTGAACAGGAAAGAGAGAGTGTGAGAAGTGGTGAGATAGAGGAGCGGAGAGAGAGAGAGTTAGGGATGGGGTAAAATAGAAAGGGAAGAAGAAAGCGAGTTGTTTTCGAAGAAAAGTGAGGTATTGAACAGATTCTTAAACGGGAAGCCGCTTTGTGTAATATAAAAAGTACAAGTCTGGGTCTCATTTAGATAAAAAATAGCTACAGAATGTTTTAACAATTAAAGGAGGCCCACATTTGGAACTCAAGTTATCGAAGGGCTTCCCTTCAAGTTCGAAGTATTGCGAGTGCATTGCGGAAGTCAGTGGTTGAAACCAGCTTCTTTTTTCTCTCAGAACATAATTTAATTGCGCGGAACCAATTTTTGATTTGCAGCCGCCAAAAATAGAAATCTTCTGTAGTATCTGAATCCTCCAACCCAGTGCAAAATATAGTAGAAGGTTTTGAAAAGCAAGATCTAGGAATATTAACAGGAGCTATTCTTCAATAGCTCAGTACCTTCTTAGAGCTAAGAATAATTACTTATCGATGAGGACATGTTTATCATGAGAAACTTTAAACTATTAATACTAAACCGAATGTCATTGACCTTATCAAATTTTGAGCGTTCTTTCAACATACCTGGGGAGGAAATTGTTCCCCGAGATGAATCCGATTTAGTAGTGGTTAGCATGGTGGGAGTACTGGTCACTTCTATGGTATTTAATGAAGATTCGTCGACTGTTGTTGAAGAAGCTGCCGTAGATAATGCAGTTGACGCTGTTCCTGAGCTTGTTGCTTTAACGGTGCTTGTTTGTGGATCTATAGAGCTGATTGGTAGAGGATTCGCTTTCGTTGGGGAATGGGCAGGTAAGGTAGTTAATAGATTAAAGGTTGTTTGTGTCACAGTTGAGGTATCTGGTACTGTGGAAAGATCTGTTGGTATTGAAGTGTGTGAGGCATTTGACGGCCTGATTGGTGATTCAGCTATAGTAGACTCCGTAGAAGAGATTGTTTCGGCCAAGGTTGTGAAGAGAGCTGATGTAGATTGCAGTGGACTAGAAGTGAAATTCCCGGTAGTAGTTGCCAAGTCAGTGGCACTCGAGGGTGGTAAGCTTGCGGTGGCGCGTTTCGCAGGTAGAGAACTAATCGAATTAGATGAGAAAGGTGTAGACGCTGGCGTAGAAGAAGCTGTCAGTTCTGAGGTAAATGTTTCAGATTCAGTTGTTGATGCTGACGAATGCGGTAAAACCGTTGATGGTGTTGCACGGGAAGGTGGTGCTGTTGGTACAGCGGTAAACTTTGTATTGGCAAACGAATTTGTTGAAGAGTCTCTGGGTGACGATGTAATTGAAGCAAAGTCGTTCGGTGTTGATTTTTGTGCGAAAAAATCAGAAGACGAAGTAGGTATAGTTGATAATGATGAGGGATTAGATTCACTGGTTGGAGAGTCTCTTGTGGGTGCAAACGAATTCATGAAGGAGCCAAGTTGAATTGAAGAGAAATCCTGTTGAGACGTGGGTAGTGAGTTTGCAGTGTTTGAATTTGTTGGTAAAGATGTAACTAAAGAAGTTGACGTCCATTTGGAATCATCTACTGGACTTGTGCCTGTAGAAGGGGATGTTTCAGAGAAAGTGTTTATAGTGGGAGTTGCACCGATGAGCGAAGCGGAGCCAATCGTAGCGGCAGATGATATAGCTGCCGTATTAATCGCTGTTTCGCTATCTATTGTGGTCCACTTGGTGCTGGTTGACAAGTCAATCTCTTCGGAAGTTACATCGTTGTCCGATGTTGGTGAAGAGTTCTCGCCGGGCGTGGTACTTAAACTGATATCTACTGGAGGAGATGTTGACGAGGCAGGCTGTTCAGGCGTAGCGGGTTTAGATGGAATAAAACTGCTTGTGCGAGTAACTCTTGTTGTTGGTGCTAATGTTGTTGTTGGCAGAGTGTGTATTGGAGTTAAACGGCTCGTGGGTAGAGTTTTTGGCACAGTAGTAGATTGCGTCGGAGATCTTGTGACTTTAGTAGTTTGCGAGGACCAATCAGATATTTCGTTTTCAGTTGAGCCAATGCTGGCGCTCAAGGGATCTACGTAAAGCAAATAACAATACATAAATTAAGCAAAACTTACAATTGAGCGCAAAGAACAAACCCTCTTTGGAGCACGGCTCCGCATTTTCTGTTGGATAATCGCTTTCATCCAATGAGTCTACAGAGTAATGTGGTGGATAAATCACCGGAAGATGGGGTAAGGGCGGTGGTCTCGGATACACAAGCTCAGATAGTTGTATAGAATCGCAGGGTACTTCATGTTGCGGCCGACATGTTACTAATTTAGGATCGAAGAATTGTAGCTCGGGACATCTAAAAAAGGTAACATAAAATTAGAACCTTTGAGCTTCATTCCACACTGAATGTGCACAAACTTGAAACGTGTCTGTTGGTAGATCCCCTTCGGTTGCATAACACACGTGTAATACAGCGAACAATCGGTGGGCGTGCGGAAGGTGCCATCCTGTAGACATGGCGGGAATTTGTGCTCACAATCATGTGGTATATACGAACCGTGTGACGTAACCTCTGTTGGATTACACTTTGCGCCACAAATACATTTCTCGTCACGGGGTGAATAAACCGTATTGCGCGGACATGAGTATATACGCGGTTTCAACTGTGCGTCGCATCGATAGTAGACCGTACAGTCTGTTAAAATGGGAAAGCGACCGGGTTTCACGCAAACTGGCGTATACTCTTGTGCAGGATATGGACTGCATTGTCCTTTCGTTGCATCGAATGACTGCAGATTTTGACATTTTCCAAATATTACGCAATCGGGCTTACACACATAGTAGTATTGCTTCTGGTTGGGATGCGCTTTGACTCCTACAAAATTGCCGGAACAACGTTTGTGCTAAAGAGATAAAATATGTGTGATGATCCATTGAAATTTATCGATATTTTTTGCTATCAACTTACATGATCGACCAATACCGGCACTCCACCGCCTGGAAATGAACGCAAAATGCCACGTTTGCTGTCGTAAAATGTGCCAGTCGGCTCACGATGCTGTTAAACGTCAAGGGAATTAAGATGTATACGTATTATTTTAAAAAAGAATTAGTATTAAATTACATATTTATAAACTACACGTCTTTGAGCCAAGAAAAGTCTTTCGAAGTCTCATTGTTCGACTCGCCTAGCCATGCTCTGACAGAGGTCTCGGGAGTAGTGAAATGCCTACTTGCGAAAGGCCACAGCTCGTGTGCTTGATTTAAATAAAAAAATTAAGTTGATTCGAGTGTGTTTATGACATGTAATAAAGGTTCGGAGGCGGCTTAGTATGAACTCTAGGTCCTCAATTTGCTGGAAAAACATCAAGCCTAGAATTATATAAAATCTCAAGGTCGTTTATGGTACTTGACTTGTTTCATTTTATATTAGAGTGTGTCCGGGACTTCGGTCGCATGCAACTTTAAGATTTTTATCGGTTGAGGACTCACTTCCAGGAAAGAAAATGTCTCTATGAGTTCTCCTTGGTAAACCAACTCGAACCATTGAATCGGTCCTAGGCTCAAAAAAAACTTTGTTCCGGATGTTATTTAGGCAAAAAGCTTTCCATGTACCAAATCTTATGTAAATCCAACGATAAATAAATCAGCTTCACTTCGTGGAAGACAACGTGTTTCCCATTTCAGTTTAGGCCAACTTCATGTAAATTGAACGGTTTTAAAATAAATTCGATTTTTTACGTCATACGCAGAAGACACCCCCCAAGTTTCAGGTCTTTAGCTGTTTAAGCTGTGGGCTGATCCATCAGACATTCAGAATATAGCTCTTGTACATATAGAGGTTTTTATTTTATTTTACTTTAGTTAGATTTTAAAGAAACTAAGTTAATTTTATTTTATTTTATATTATTTTGTTTTATTTTATATTAATTTATTTTATTTAAATTTATTTGATTTTATTAACTTTGCTATATCCTATTATATTTCGTTTTTTTTTTTAATTAAACCTTTTTATTTTATTTTCTTGTATTTTGCCTTAAAAATTTTTACTTGTTTTAATTAAGTTTAATTTCATTTCATATTATTTCATTTAGTATATGTATATTTTATTTATTTTTAATGCAATTTAATTTATATTTTTTTTAATAAATTTAATTTACATTTTAATTAATTACTTACATTTTATTAATTACATTTTATTTGCTTTACTTCGCCTATTTAATTTTATTTTACTTTTTTTTATTTTATTTGAATTAATTTTCATTTCATTTTATTTTATTAAATTTTATTTTCCTTTGATTTACTTTATTTTATTTTAACTGATTTAATTTAATTTATTTAAAGCTATTTTATTTTTTTATTTGATTTTGTTTTATTTTATTCTAATTTAGTTTTATTTTTTATTAATTTTATTTTATTTTGTAATTTATTTTATTTCATCTCAATTTATATTTTCAATTTTATTTTAATTGAATTTATTATTCTTTTATTTTATATTTTAATAAAATTTAATTTAGTTTTAGTTATGTTAATTACATTTTGAATGAAAAACATTTTATTTTATTATATTTTTTTTTGCTTTGATTTACTTTATTTTATTTTATTTTAACTGATTTAAGTTAATTTTATTTAAAGTTATTTTTATTTTTTTATGATATTTTGTTTTATTTTATTTTAATTTTATTTAATTTAGTTATATAATTTATTAATTTATTTTTATTTTGCTATTTATTTTATTTTATTTTAATTGATTTTAATTTATTTTTATTTTGTTATCTGTTTTCATATTTATTTTTTTAATTTAATTTAATTTAGTTTAATTTTAGTTTTTTCATTTTATTTTATTTTAATCTATTTAAACTTATTTTCAAAGATTTTTTTCCAAGAAAATTATTGTTTAAACATTCAAATTCCCCTGTAAAGTTGAATAATATTTTTAAACCATTTCAAAACTCACCTGGTAAGCTTGAGCATTTTCATGATTAAAAAAAGTTGGATGCAGAGCCAAATGGCTATGGAATGCATGTGGAGGTCCTCGAGGTTGTAAATTGGCAGGCGGCACAGATCGTGGTAGAACGCAGGCCAAATTTGCGAAGAAGATAATTTTCAAGAGAAATTGCTGAATCGTATATATTTTTGTGACCATGATGACAATTCACGCACAATTAATTCGCACTCAGATATTTTTTTTTGTTTAATTTTCTTTAATTTTTACTTATTAGTAGTCAAAATGTTCGCTTATATTTTAAAAAAAATTTTTCAAAAAGTAGTTTTTATCAGTTTTAAAAACTATTTCAATTTATTTGTTTTAATATTTCCAATCATTTTGTTAATTAATAGTTCTTTTTCGTTAGAATCACGATGGTCGAAAATAAATTATCGTTAAATAAGAATTTTTGCTTCCGTTTCTCGCACAAATATTTATTTATTTTTTGCAATTTTTTCGTTATTTTTAAATTCTGTTAATCACATCCACGTTAGATAGTTGGTAGGTTTCGCTATTGCACAGACTAAACGCAGTAGTTCTCGCCTAGTGCAAAGTTCCCTTTCGAATGTTCTGCTCACATTTGCTGTGCCGCGCTTATAAAATGCATTTTTGCTCAGCTGCGATCGAGCTGCTTACATAATGCGCTCGCTACGTGTAAGCTGCGATTTCTTTGTGTGCTCTTTTAACTGTTCGTGTCGCCAAGACGTAGTTCTCTCACGGGTAGACCAACTGTTGGTTCTTTCAGTTGCCAAATATTGTGTTTTGAAGCGTTTGAGCCGATGATAAGCGTGTATTTTCTTTCACCGCCAATATTATGGCGTCACATGCGCTTCAGATTACTTTGGCTGCGTAACAGAAAGGTTGGTAGTAAGTCAAGTTCATGAGTCACTACAAGCTACGGAGCTAAAATTATTGCATTGGCTGGTGAATGGTGTACGTCAATGAGCAGATTTTCGCGGGAGGAGACCTCAGGATGGAATAGATTAGATAGGGAATATTATTTTACTTCCTCAAAAATTTACTTAGTTGGACTGGTTTTTATGAAGCTTTCGTTCGTTGATAAAAATCTGAAATTTCCGCCAAAAAATTCCGATATTTTCTCTCAATGTTGTGTTCGAATGTTCACCCAAATTTTTGAGCCGAACAGAGTTTGGAAAACTAAAAGTGGATTTTGAGACTATTTACCTGACTTTGAAATAACATACCAATCTATTCTCGTTCCTACGTTCCTCCATCGCTGGAAAAATGCCGAGACGCCGATAATTTTTATCAGAACTGCTATCGAGTTTCCGTCTTTATAAAATCAACATGAACTGATAGGCGTAGCCTGAGTTTTGTGACGAAAACAGATATGAAAAAAAAATTCCAACCGGATCTGTAATAGCTATCTTTAGAATATACCCCCAGTCGCCTGTTTAAGAAGAATTTTTAATAGAAATTTGCATTTTTAAATAAGAACAAATAAGTTTAAACCAATGACCTATATGAAGAATATAGTCAGATATAATAGGAAGAAAGCTGGGGGGCTTATATCACTCGAACGACAGGTCTTAGCTCAGCCGCGGTCCGCCTTGTTTCATGATCTATGTCAATGCTGTCTTACGGTGTCTATGGTGTTCTCTGTTTACTCGTTGGCCAAAGAATGGTGCGTTTTTAGCTAAACCTTCTAATCGAAAACTCCAAACGCCGTCTCATGAGATGTAGTCATCATCCACTTTTTAGCTAACTGGAATAGGTCTCTTTAATATTGCTTACGAGGTGCTATCGAGCATACCGTGAAAAACATTAGAGCTCACATTAATAAGCGCTGTGGGGTGTAGTGCTTACCTAGGAAATGCACCGTTGTCCGCATGCCAAATATTGAAGAGCACCCTTAAAAAGAATCGACACGCATAACATCAGAGGAACTAACCCTATGCCACTACGATCTCAATTTGGTATAAACCACAAAATTTATACGGGTGTTAAAATTCAGGCTCAGCAACACCGACCAAGCTTCGTTAAAATCGGGGATGACCTTTTCAAACTAAACGAGGTTTGAGACAAGATGGCACTTTATCGTGTGACTTCTTAAATTTAATGCTGGACAAAAAAGTGCCAGAGTGGCAGAGCTAAACAGTGATGGTGAAAGCTTCCATAAGAGCATCCAACCGCTAGCCTAGGCCGGTGGTGTTTATACCTTCCACCTCAAAAGAAGCAATCTCGTAGTAAAGGAAGACAAGATAAAATATCTGCCAACTTCAAACAAACGGTCAGCACAAGCGCGGCTTCATTCATATGTCTTTGTTGACAAACATAACTTTGAATTCGTAGATAACTTCGCCTATCTTGGAACCCGTATTAACAGCAACAACAATGTCAATTTTGAAATCCAACATAGAATCACTTTCGAGAACAGTTGCTGTTTTGAACTGAGTACTCTACAAGACGCCCGTCCTGCTATATGATACGGAGATGTGGCTAATGTCAACATATGATGAGTCGGCGTGGGCGGTTTCCAAGAGAAGAATTCTTCGTAAGAGCCAATGAAACGTTGAATTATACGAGATAAACGTGAACACTGATATAGTCATTTGGTCCGTGTGGAAAAGAATGCTTTAGTTTTGAAAGTTTTCGATGCAGTACCCGCCGTTGAAAGCAGTGGACAGGGAAGACCAACGCACCATTGGAAAGTTCAGCTGGTAAAGGCTCTGCTTCTGCTTAGTATTCGCAATTACCGTGAAAGAGTGAAGAGTAGGAATGCATGTCGTACTGTTGTTAATCGCTTAAGCGTTGTCTACGCCAGTAAAGAAGAAAAAAGAAGAGGAAGAAGAAAAAGTTCTGTGGGTACTTAATATTTTCTAATACATTTATTTTGTGATCAACATCCAAAAGTTATAGAAAATTAAGTTAAATAAAAAATTTAAGCTAAATCTACTAATTGCGGTCGCGCCTCGGCAGGGAATGTCCACCCCTCCGAGTGTATTTCGGACATGAATTTCGGAGGCAACTTAGTCTAAACTGTCGGTCCCTCCATTCGTTGAAAAAACCTCACGCCGCAAAACCACAAATTGAAGGAGGAGCACGGCTTCAGCGGTTACAAAGCGCCAATTATTATAATTTATTTATTTAACAGCGCCATAACTCGCCAATCTCTTTATTTACATAACTTCCAACAGCAAATAGCAAATGTTGAAATAAGAAACTTAGAAGTAATTAGTTGAAGAACTTCACGTTCTTGGCAAAATTTCAAATTTAAATTCATATCGCACGTTGGCCAAAGAAAAGGTAAAAAAAAATAATAAAAAATATTATTCTTTTGAAAAATATTTTCTTTTATGTAACAATTGGTTTGGTTATGTCATTTAATAGACAAATTAATTAATAGAAAGACATAATTATTTTGAAAATGTTCATAAAGTAAACAATTTATTTATGTGTTATATTAAGTATTTCCATTTTTATGAAACAATTTCCTAAAAGAAGAATAAGAAAACAATTTTGATTTCCGCAAACAACTCTTTCTGCGCACGGCAAAAAAAAATTGAATATTTTCTTTTTGTGGGAAGAAAGTAAACGACAAAAGTAAAATATTTTCAACTCTTGCGAAGGTCATTGCAAAATTCTTAGCGTTCTGCTACCGGTTTGCGTTTTTTTGTTTTTTTTCTGTTTTTTTTCTTTCAAAATACAAACCACACGCAAATAATGGCGCGTGCTAAGCGTAGCGGCTACTAAATTGTTTATTTGTTTATTGTTAATGAAAAGAAAATAAATACAATTATTTCCAAACCATTCACTTTCTACTTACTTCTGACAAAACTGGGAAAATCATGAAATTCACGTTTCACTTAACAGCGGCAGTAAAGTGAATATTCGATGGTGAATTAAGGCGGTAAGCCGTGTGCGTCAAATAAAAGCTAAATACGTGTATGTATGTATGTTTCTATAAATTTGTTATTGCACAACATCCATGCATACTACATATCTACATACGAGGAATGTATGAACACAACATTAGAGCAAGCATTGAATTTATTAAGATTAAGTACATTTGTGGTTAAAACAGTGAGATTTAGAACTTACTGACTGTGAGTGCCATTTATTATTAAATAATTAAAAAAAAAATTATTAAATAATTAAAAAAAAAAAATTATTAAATAATTAAAAAATTTTTTTTTAATATTTTACTGTTAACATAATAATATTCATAAGAAAAAGTAAGAAAAATTAATTGCTACTTTTATTGTTATGGCAATAATACCACGTGCAAAAAGATATACAAATATTGAAAAAACATATAATAAAAGTCAAAATCACAGATACAAACTGTATGAGCTTTTTATTTATTTATTTATTTATTTACTTTTTTTCTTAATACTTTACTAGTTTAGTATCATTTGAATAAGTTTATTCATTTATCGAAAAGTTTCTATGAGAAAATAATTTCTGAGCATCAATCATTTTGACCGAAAATCGCTTCAGCAGTTACAAAGCACCAAAAATATTATATATTATACATAATATATACATACATATATAATGTAAGCAAGACTTGCGATATTTTTAAAATGCATTTCAGACAGCGCAGACAGTAAAAAAGACTTTCGTACTGCATGAAAGTGAAAAAAGAAAAAACTAACAACTTTTCTGACATCGACTGATAGTAGAAATTATTTTTAAATTAAAAACTTCCTAACATGTGAGCATAATTTTGAAACTATTTTGAATATAAGCATATGGGTTTTCTATCGGTCTTTGTTGTGCTGGACTATTTTAGGAGCGCTTGATTGGTATCTACAATAATCAAAATTAAATTAATAAAAAAAAATAAAAATTTTTATAATTCCTCAAAAAAAAAAAACGCAGTTATATTATTTTGTTAAAACTTGCATACATGTGTGTGTATATATGTATGTACATGTATATAAATTTATGTGCGTTTGCCGACTTTTTATATTCGCATGTTTCGTCTGCTATTTTTTCAACTTTTTAAATGCAATTTTATTTGATTTCATTTTATTTAATTCAGCTGTTTTTTTTTTTCTTATTTTTATACCACTTAAGTGTTTACATATTTAATTTTATTTCATGCTATTTTCTTAATTAACATTTTTTATATCATTATTTTTTTCATCTTATTTTAACAAATATTTTTTTTAATTAATTTTCTTTTATTTTACTTGATTTTGTTTTATTATACTTTATATTGTTTTATATTATTTCAATTCATTTATTTTGTCAGGTTTTTTATTGTTTTATTAAATTTATTTTATTTTATATTTTTTATAAAATTAATTTTTTCACTTCATTTAATTTTAATCTTTTATATTATTTATTATCTTTATAAAATTTTGTTCTTTTGACATTATTTATTTATTTTTTATAAATTAATTTTATGCTATTTCATTTTATTGCTCTTCATCTTATTGGTAATTTTCATCTTTATTTTATAATTTATTCCATTTAGTTTTATTTGATTTTATTCTAGTTTCTTTTTTCCACCGTTTATGTGTATGAATTGGCTTAACAACTTTGGTCGGAAGTATGCAAGTACCAACAGAAGAAGGGAGAACCTATTAAATTCTTATTTTGTATGTAAATTTGTGCCTCAGTTTTTGATATATTCGTATCTAAATTGGTACACAGATGTACTGGTGCATTTAAGCGATTGGAGTTTTTCATAAATTAGCCAAAAGAAATCTCGGAGCGACCAATTTGGTATACTGCACACCTATGATAAACTACACATACATATGTACACGAATATGTCCTCCTACATAGAGATTTCTTTCGATATGTGGCTTTGGTCGAAATTCCGTCAAAAAAGCATTTAAGAGTGTGAATATATTCTTATTTTGAAATATATCACCGAAATAGTTTGCTCAAACGTGAGGTTTTTGGTTAAAAATCCATGGAAAAAGCATATAAATTTAATCCTAAAATAAAATATCGTAAATTTGATATGATCGAGAAAGGTATAAAGACTTTGGCATAATCAAGGACAGCACTTTTCTCTTGCTTTATTTAATTTTTCTTTTTCTTTTTTTTTCTTATATTATTATAATTTTTTCTTTTATATTTTGCATATATTTATTTTTTTTTACTATTTTTTAAATTTTGTTTTAATTTTATTTGTTTTATTATATTAAATACTGCTTGAGTTTATTTTTTATTAAGTTATTTTATTATTTTATAATATTTATTATTTATATGTATTTTGTTATATTATACTATATTATTTATATTATTTATATGCATTGTAATATTTATTTTTCCATTTCATTTAGGTTTAGATTTATTATGCTTTACGATATTTTGTTCCATTATTATTATACATACACTATATATATATTTTTTAATTTTTTAATACCGGTTATTATTTATTGTAATATTATATAAGTGATGCTTTGTAAACGCTTAGGGGGGTTTCGCCGAGCTCCCCTTTTAAATTGTGGTGTGCGCCTTGATGGTTTTCCACCAATGAAGGGACTTACAGCTGGATTTTCAGGAGGGCCGCTGGGCGACCATAATTAGAAAAAATATTTTTTTTTTTATAATTTTGGAGGTTGGTCGAGCTGGGACTCAATCTTAGGTCTTCAAAATGGTATTACGCAGTGCTAACCACTCGACTATTGCGGCAACTATTTTATTTTATTTTATTTCAATTAATTATTATTTTTCAACTACAATTACTTGTGTTGTATATTCAATTTAACTGGAGTTTATTTCATTGAATTTTATTTTATGATATTTTAGTTAATTTTGTTTCATTGAATTTTATTTTATAATATTTTAGTTAATTTTGTTTTATTATAATACATTTTATTTTCGTTTAATTATTTTATATTATTTTATTTAATATTAGCTTATTTCGTGTTTGTTATTTTATTATTTTATATTTAATTTTGTTTTATATTTTTATTGTAAACTATTTTTTATTTATTTTTTTTGTTTTTATAAATGGTTTTATTTAATTTAATTTACTTTTTTTAACTTTTTAATTTTTTTTTAATTTTTATTTTATTTTATTTTCTTATTTTTTGTATTTGCTTTATTTAATTATTTTTTTTTAATATTTTTTAATTTCGCTTTATTTTATTATGATTCGTTTTATTGAATTTAATTTATGTTATTTTATTTGTTGCATCTTATTTAATTTTATTATACTAAAATTTGGTTTTAAAAAAAGTTATTTTTTTTCATTTTAATGCTCAGATTTATAAATTTTATTGCTGCCGGAGTCCCAAAAATATTTTGAAGACAATAATAATAGAAAATTTACTTAAAATTATTTTTTATCGTACGTACTTACATACATAATCTCTTGTAAGTACACTAAATAGGTATATAAAATATTTAATATTTTTTCTTTAAATATTTATTCATATTACTTTTATTTTTTCTTCTTTATCATTAAGTTTTCAATTGCATTTGTTTTTTAATTTTTATCTTTTTTCTTGTATAAAAATCGATTATATTGATTTTTGGACGAGTGCTACTTTTTAGGTCTGCTTCTTGTTATTCAGATTTTCTAATCTTAAACAGCTTGACGATTTTCAGCTTCCTCTTCAGTGGTTAGACTGCGTAGCGATCTGAAACATTTTTGAAAATAAATAAAAAATAATATATATATATATATATATAAGCAATAACTGATTGAAACATTGATATATCTATATTATGTACAATAGAACAGTTTACATATAAATATATGTATGTTTTGCAAAAGAGTTTCGTATTATAAATGTGAACATGTGCAAATCCTTTCAATAACTGTTTATAAATTAGTACATATATGTATGTATGTATGCATAAAATGAAATTTGAATTTAAGAACTAAAAATACAAAAATAAAAATAAAAAAAAAATAAGCAAAATATTATATATATAGATAAATTTAAACAGGCTATTTGTAAACCTGCAATACATATATTTTTGAAGACACCTGCATATCAATCAATTATTATGCCCTCCACTTCTCGCCGTATACATTCCAAAATATCTGGTAAAATCAAAAATATGCATGAAAAATCATTAAACTGAAGTTCATCCGCCTCCATATTTGGCAAACAAAAATTTGATAAGCATTTGTTGCAATAAGTTTATGCGACAACTGATAAAATTTGAATAAATATTTTTTTTTTATTTTCATATAATTTTCATTTGAGCACATCTGCAAAACGCCCATAAAACAATAACAACAGCATTTTTCGCAAAAAACCCGATAACAAATCTGAAATAATTTCATGTCTCCTATTTAAAGTCGGAATTTTTTCCAGCTCACAATATTTGAATGCAATCAGTGCTTTGATGTTCGTGCCGGATACACAGAAGTGTGGTGATAAAAACGAATATTTGAAATAAAAACTTTTTTTTTTTAAATTATTTTCGTTAAAAAAGGTGGCGGTGATAATTGGAAATCTGATCTGAGTTCACCAGTGAAAATGCATTTTATTCGCACGTTGCTCATATTTCTCTTATTTGTATTTGTTATTGGTGTTTATGCTTTGCCACCTGAAAGTGAGTGAAAATCACATATTTAAAGTTGGAAAAAAATTTATAAAAATATATAAAAAAGTATAAAAAATTTATGATAAACTGCAGATAAAAACTGAGGAAAGTAGTGCTCTAGTCCATAGATAAAAATTCTCTGTTCGTTTGTGAAGATCCGCAAATCTCCAAAAGATTCCACGGTCGCTGGGAAGATTTATGCGAAAAATCCTTTTTGATCTTGATATGATTTTTGTTATGTGGCTTTTTTCATATACTACTTTTCTCCTGGTAGGGGACCAGGTATTGACATATTCAAAATAATTTTATTTACGGTTCCCTCTACTTGAAATTTGGTACATAAATGGTTTTTTGCTTTGGGAAGTGGATCGATCCATTTGGAAATATTTACATATTCATGTTTACTTTTAGATACATTTTTGGTTGATTTGCCTAAATGGAATACTTTTAATTCCTGGAAAGAGGCTAGAGACCTGGAGCCAAGTTCCGTTTAATCAAAATATAAATAATAAATTTTTTAATGGAAAGAGTTCCGCGCTTGATTGAAACCCGACAACAAAACTGCTGATTCAAACGTGGCCACGTTTCGTGCTGTAGGCGGATATTATGGTGCACATAATTGTCCAACATTTCTCACTCGGGGGGATGCGTTCGGGGTTCGAATACTTCCCAGTGCGCTCTTTGGCCTGGAGGTGGGATTTGACCTTACTTAACGTGATGATCGTATGATAACCGGCTTTTTTGACCTTCGATTGAAAAATACGACTTGAGTAATACGAGTATGGGGTTTCAGCAAGATGGTGACAAATGTTATGCAATCCGCTAGCGAGAAACTTCATCTTGGCGGCGTGAAATTTCATCTTGGTGATGTTAATGGGTCACCGATATCGTGCGATTTGAGACTGTTTGTGGGGCTACACAAAAGAGAGTGGCTATGTGAAAAATCCTTTAACTGATTGAATGCTTGTAACCAAACATTCCTCAAGTTATGACTGAGATACTGCCCAATATGTGTCAAAAAGTGGTTGAAAATTACCTCAAACGTAGCGAAGTTTGCAAAAAATTCCGAGATAAGGTAACGTGTGGCCAAGTCTGCTAGTATCGTCTTAAATGGCCTATCATTAAATTTGCATTTTTGGTTTAAAAAACAACTGATGCGATGAGGTTCAGTAGAGAGAAACCCCCTGCCTATAACGTATCGTAGGAAAGATACGAGCATTTGAAGAGAGAGAGACAAGACGCATTGACAGACAGAAACAGAGAGAGACTGAACTGCAGAGTATGGTCTAGCAAAATCCTTTCCGAGGATTGGAACCTGAGTGTGTTCAGGCCAAAGCAGGAGAACCCCGCCATGTTCGCCAGTTATCGTGGGATAAAATCATATCGGGGGTATTATTGTTCCAAAAACTAAAGCCCACCGTCAAAAAACTGTTTTGACCTTAACAGTTAACAGTTATAAGTTTATCTCAAGGGTTTTCCTATACGAAGTGTTATTTTGAATAGCGATCGTGACCGATAGATGTCACTTTTGAAGCTGTATACTTTTGGCATTTAAGGCTTATGAATATCAGTTAACACAAGAACTCATGCCTTCCGATCATCAACAACATCTTTTCTGATTGGGTCCTTGAATTCATGCATTTCACTGATCCGGAATTTCAGTAAAAAATCATTTCGACTTATGAGCCCCGTTTCCATCTCAATGTCTACGTCAATAAGGAAAACTGTTCCATCTGGGACTCGAAAACTTCAAGATTTATTGTTGAAAAGTCTCTTCATCCTCAACGTATAACTGTTTGGTGCGGCTCATGGCCCGTCTGGGTTATTGGGTCTAACCTTTCCGAAAATGAGGCTAGAGCAACAATTACCGTGAAAGGAATGCGCTATCGGGCGGTGGTTACTGATTTTTCACGGCCGGAATTTGATGGTAATGATCTGGACAAGGTTTACTTTCAACAAGACGACGCTATGGGCTATGGGCCACACAAGCTATGAAACCATTGATTTTTAAATGGAGAAGTTTCCGGACCTTGTTAGCTCTCAAAGAGGTGATCGCAATTGGCTGCCAAGATCTTGTGGTTTAACACCATGCGTCTTCTTCCTTCAGGGCTAAGTGAATGATAAAGTCTACACCAACAGTCGCACTTCGTTCCAAAATCTTAAAGACGAAATTCGTAAAGCTATTGACGGCATGCAGCGACCACTTTGTGATTTGGTATTGGAAAAATTCATAAAAAGGAGACGGTTCTGCAAGCGCCGACGTACGGCCATTTGACTTCTATTGTTTTCCATTATTAATGGCATAACTTCCGTTTGTCATTGAAATAATCATCCGATCATTTAGTTTGAAGAAATGTCATTTTTCTTTGAATATCGAAATAAAATCTCTTATTCGAAAATCCTGTGCATCAACTAACATATGCCTATCATACATATATATACATATATATGTCACCGAAACAGCGAAGACAATTCGTTAGGCAGGTCCACACTCACTTTAAAGGCATTATCATCTATGTATTTCAACCAGCCTCAGCCAGTACAGCCATCTATAGGAAAACGGCGGAAGCAAAGTTGTGCATCTGATATATATATATATATAAGTTTGTGTTTGTATTGAAATATTTTTAACTAATCTTTCTATTCTTTTTTCAGTTAATACTCTAACATTCAGTGGCGTTTGTGAGGAGAAGGGCGGTGATTGGTGTTCTTTGAAATGTCAAATTGCTGGTGGACGTGATGGATACTGTAATAAAGTGAAGATATGTTATTGTAGGCAAATGTGAAAATTTGTGTAAGAAAAAGATTCAAAAATTCAAATTGTTTCTCTAAATTTTTGTTTTTTTTTTGCAAAATTATAATTTTTTCTATGGGAAATTTCTAATAAATTAACCTCAAAATTTCGATCTCTGATATAACCTTTGACAATTGTATGAATATAAGTGTTTCCCAAAATTTTTATTTCAAATTAACTAAAACTAGGCACGTTTAAACATACATATGTGTATGTGTATGTATGTACTTGCATATATTTTGAGTTAGAGACGGAAGCGAACATTTTTGTGCATACGAAAATGTCATGAATATTGCCGAATTTTTGGCAAACCTGCATATGTATGTATGTATGTAAGAAATATGTATAAATTATTATTATTTTTTTTTTTACCAAAACGCAATTATTTTAGCTATGCGATGAAATTTATGTATGCACGTAAAATCAAAAAAAATTTAAATTTTATAAAAATAAAAATGTATACATATTTTTTTAAATTTTTTTGTGCAATAGAAAAATAAAAAATCACAATGCAAGTATGTATGAGTGTGGCTAAAAAAACTCAAATAAATAAAAAGAATAATTAAATAAATTTTTGTACAGCGCACCTGTGCATTTTTCTTTAAATTACCCACAGCTTTTTGGTTTCTCTGAACGCTATGTACATATGTACATATATGCATATATGTATACATATATGTGTGTATGAAATTTTGGTTTTTTTTTGTTGGCATGCGTATGATATATCTTGATGATGCTATGTACGTATGTATGTTTGTATGTATATGATTATATTCGTTTACTTTTGATTTAATTTCGCATTTTCCGCTCCAATAAAATTCAAATCTACGAACCTAGAACGTTCGAACAACGATGGATCAGTATAGATTGGTTCGCTAGGGTCCTCGAATTGATGATTTGTATTGGAATTATTGCGCATCGGATTGATGACCGGCAGTTGACACATGCGCGCTAAGTTGCTATTGAATTGAAATGAAAAAAAAAAAATTAAAAGAAAAAATAAATAAATTAAATTAAAAAAACAAATAAGGAAAAATGAAAAAAATCGTTGACAGTTGGCATCCCTATTAATTTAAATAGCTCAATTGGTCTACATGTTTTTTTCCTTTTTCTGGAAATTTTATATTTAAAAGCCTTCGTGTTTTTGATTCTTTTAGATCACCCGGTACTTGGTCACATAAATATTTTTCGAATCTGTGAAAAGAACGATTATCAAAAATATCAAGATCTGGTTTTGCAGCTAAAATGGCTTAGACTTTAGAATGTAGCTGATTTGAAGTCTTCAACGCTGGCGGCCGCGATAGCCGAGTGGTTAGCATTGCGTACTGTCAGTCGGAAGGCTCAGGTTCAAATCCCATCATCGTCCTAACAGCCAAAAAGTTATAGAAAATTAATTTAAATAAAAAAATAACTTAAATTTTCTAATTGCGGTTGCTCCTCGGCAAGGAATGTCCACTCCTCCGAGTGTATTTCTGAGATGAAATAAAGGCTCCTCGTAAAAAAACCATCAGCCGTTCGGAGGCGGCTTAGTATAAACTGTAGGTCCCTCCATCTGTTGGAAAAACATTAAGACGCAAAAACCACAAATTGGAGGAGGAGCTCGGCAGATAATCGTTTCAGCGGTTTATATATATATATATATATAATGCCGTTTCATCAGCTAAATTTATGTGGAAGCTTGAATGGACAGGGGGTTTAAGTCTCTGCTTAGATTTTTTTACGTGACGGGTTCCAGATACAACGTACAACGTGGTCACAAAGGAGCTTTTTGTACTTCAACGAGCGCAACCGATTGCTTCTAGATCGACGTCCATATGCCAACGCATTTCGTGCGTATAGACGCTTTCGTAAAACTCCAGCAAAACTTTATTGTGATTACATCAACCCGAATTAACTTTTCTTTGAAGTCATAACTCTATAAGGCTCCTTATGGGTTAGTTGTTAGTTAGTTTTATTCATGTCACCTGTGTGACGCTAGAGCAGAAATCGTATACAGCCCAACGATTAGCTCCATTCGGAAAAGTCGTCGGGAGTTATGAACATTTCCAGTGGGAGAAAAGAAAGAAACTGTTATTATTGAGCATGTCAAGCTTATGAAGCTGACAGACGGGGGCGGTATGTAAAAATTCGACGAGAGGACTCCGTGATATATGAAAGATTCCAATATTGTTGCATATTTAATAAAACAAACCCAAAGCAAATGAAGTTTAAGGAGGGCGCTTAATCAGTGGTAATACACTTCTCATAGATGGCGGAGCATAATCAATAACCAACGGATGCCGATCTCACATAATATCATATCAGCCGAAAGCTGGAAGTCGATAATGTAACAGCTCAAGCGAAGGTTCGAGGAGTCGGCAAAGTGTCTCCTTGGCTTTTTTGCAGAATATGATCGGCTAAAAGCATTAGTGACTCTTTGAAAGAGTAGAGGATTTACTGAATACACACAATAAGTGGATGCCTGATTTAATAAGCCTTGGTAAAAGCTCATAGCCCTCTTAAAAGCTCATATAACGTCTTATCTGATATCTGCGACATATTTTCATGCTTCTAATCAATCGGTAGCCGCAATAGTCTAGTGGTTAGCTTTGCGTACTGATATCCTGAAGAACAGTTGGTTCAACCAACATCTCAAATAATAGAAAATTAATTTTTCTAATTGTGGTCGCCTCTCAGGGAAGGGAATGTCATGCCCTTCGGGTATATTAAATTATATAAATATTATATATTATAATAAATCCGTCGGCCGTTCGGAGGCGGCTTAGTAGAAACTGTGGATCTCTGAATAGATTGGGAAAATATCAAGACGCACACCACAAGTAGGCAGTGAACGCAGTAAAAAATCGACTCGCTTGAGCAGCTGCAAAGTTCTAAACATATGCATATCAAGAACAGGCATGGAAAAAATTAGCACACCAACTCTTCGTTCGAAAGGTCTCTATACTGCTGTGTACGAATTTGATATCGCATGTAAAATATATAAACTTTGGAATGACGTCATCGAGACGTTGATTAACAAACGAATTTTGATACCTACGAAGTTCGGCGGAGCTAAGCCGAGAAGATTTATTGCGTATGTTAATGCTATTGATATCAGTGAACTAAAAGAGAACGGCTGGCCAAGGCACTTTGTCCGAAGGGATGCTACAGTTTTGATAGCTTTATTTCTACTAATTCAGTAGGCGCTGGTGGAATCAGAACAATTGAAGGTGTCCGATTCAATGATAAGAACAAATGGGAAAGAATCTAGCTTCGCTTGGAATCTCCTAGACGAGAAAAGTGAGCATCAGTGAACTTTCTTCCTCTCCTGAAAACTGAGCCTAAAATCTTTTGACAAGCTTTAGGCATTAAATTTTCTGTAGAAAGTGGTTTAGTTTTAATTTAAAAATTTTTAAAACTTAAAAACGAATTTTCCGACACTCCTTGATTTGTTATGAAATAAATTAAAATTTAGTTAAAAATTGAAAAACTTACCCAGTGGCAAAGGTTTTGTGCAAACTTCCGCCAAACATAGACATATTTGCCCGAAAGCCATTCGCCGTACGATTTGGCATTGCATTACCGCTACCGCTCGGCATTTGGCCGATCTCACTGAAACGTTCGTGTGTGCGTATCGAGGAATGACCGAGTGAGTGAATGGGTGAATGGCGATCGGCAATGCGATTCTTCGACATCGTGGCCCAGTAACGCCTAATAAAAAGGTAAGAAAAAATATTCCAATAAACTCAACTAAACATAAAGTGCTTTGAAGGAAAAAGGTGACATCGAAGTGTAACTAAAGATGATGCTTTGCTTCATTGTATCTTTAACCTAAAAGTAGACTTCTACATACCTGTAAGCGAGGCCGGAAAGCAAAGTGATGCTGAATAGTAGAATCATTAGTAATATGATAGCAGTTATAAGGCCGTGATACTCGGAGGGCGTCATGCACACGGTCTCAATGGGTGCAACGAGTTTGCGTGGATAAGTATCCTTTTCGATCTCCTCGCGCGTTTCGAATACCTTCACCAATGGGAAGAAACAAAAGCAAATGGTTTCAAAAATAAAGGCCGTTACTTTAGGAGCTAAACATTAAATGCTGCGCCAGGGTTTCCACTTATTGGTAAGACTTACCTCAATCATTTCGCGCACTTGCTCTGGTTCCTCCAACTCTTGAGCGGACTTGTCATCGCTTGTGGCTGCTAAAAAATTTTTAAATAATTTTTAGATCAATATATTTATAGCGCAGAAATTAAATCTATTTTTTGCCACTCACTTTTGTTAAAATCGCCCAGTGTGCCTGTCACTTTTGTGCTATTCACTTCCGACAAATCCTCGATTAAACGTTCCGCCACCGGCTCAGTATTTGTTTCCGCTTCAGCAATTTCAGTCGCATTCAACGAGCGCCTGCGCCGACCGAACGACGGCTCTTGTCGACCCGCTGCACCCGGGCAGTAAGCTGGCTGACAGCCATCGCGACAAGTACGTACGGTGGCTTCAAAGACAAGGAAATTGGATTCGGGTATTTTGAAGGCATTGAAACGTGCTTCCAAAGTGTCACCATCACGCAATTTATCCAATTCGGGGAAGACATACGGATCGACAGGGCAGCTGTTGAAGAGAAAATATTAATTTGATTTCTTCTAATAACTTTCAGCGTTGAACTCACCCAAATCTATCAATAAGTTGTATGCTCCTGCCCGAATATGGATCGCGTGCGACCACATTTGTTGCAAATATATCCGTTACATGATTGTAACCATCTTGCGCCTCCAATCGGAAGGTCAATGGATCACCAACTGCTATTGTCGTAGTCGGTCTGCCTTGGTAGAGTATCATTAGACGCACTTTGGAGCTTAGTGTATTCTCAGCCGGCAAGTATTCAATGGGTATGGGACTGCCAGATCTGTCGGAATCGGAAAGACTTCATACAGAAACACATTGTGGCATGGGTACAACAAAATCTTGGGTGTAAGGAAGGCAAAAGAGAGAACTAATAAGCAGTGTAGCGTATTCAACTGTACTCAGCAATGCCTCGACTTCCCTTGGCTTTTCTTACATCATTATTTTGTTGCTTTATGTCTACAACAACTTACTGGGATTAGTGAGAGCTAAATAAAATTAATATGGATTTGGGCCAGAGGCGACATGGTGGAGCGTTATGAACAACAATGAAACCACAGAGAATGGAAGAAAGTGTTTTTTTTTGTTTTGATTTTTAATTTTCTCTGCTTTCTGGCTTCATTGCTGTTTCAGTTTTGCTCCAAAATGTAGTGGGCCTTATGGATAGAACAGCGGCTAGCTTGGTAGATAAGAGAGAACTAATAGAAGCGATGCAGCTTGGCTTGAATCATAAGGGATTATTCTGGTTAAGAAAACACTAGAAATGCGTCAGATCACCTGTACGCCCGGTGGGCTGGTCAGGTTAGGTGAGGCTATACTGGCGGGCTGTACGCCTTAAATAGACCTGCTGGTCATTTCCAATGCCAGATGTCGGTTCAGTTAAGTTCGAGCTGAAGTAGTCGTCATATAGATCGTCAACGTATTTTACGAAATTTAAGAGAGTCTCAATATCTAATTTTGATACTCCATTTACTACTACCTAAGGCGAGTTGGAGATAAGGCCGCACAGAAGCAGGGAGTAGTATAAATTAATGTAAGTATAAGAAAATAATTTTGAGTATCAAATTTATGTGGACCAACTTCGAAGTATCCAATAAAGAAAGAATTAACTAAAACGGTCGACTTTGATTACTAAAATGTACGAGCTGAAATGTGAACCTGCTCTTCGTTTTCCAAAGAAATCCTTAGCATTGCATCCCAGGAGTTATTGAACGATGCATTTCTTTCTGCCATGCTCATTCACAATGTGAAGCTACTGTTAATGCTTGTCAGAGTTGCCAATGAAATTTTTCTTCTGAATTTTAGAAATTACTTGCAGAAGACCTTCAAGGAGATAAACATGCGATGAAGCCAATTTAAATTTAGCCTAAAAATTACAACGATGCTTGTTACTGTTGTACTGATGAATTATGTGAGAAAATAGTATATCCTGATTAATCGGGCTTAACTGTGCTCAGATGATGCATCATTTCGTATTTAGAGTCGAAGTATGTGAGATCCTTGGAGAGCTGTTGACAACTTCACCAGATGAACGTGAAGGCGAAGAAAATTGTCTTAACTGATTTGATCAGAGACCTTGATGTTTAGAAAAATCTTTTTCAGCTATAATAATAGAGCAAGCTATAAATAAACAAAGCTTTTACCTAGTAGTATAATGGTTCGGGCATGAAAAGTCAAAGACCAGTTTAAAATGTATTTTAAAAGATCTTTGTGATAAAGAAACATAAATTATATGCAGGCAGATAACGCAGGAGTATCAAAATGGAGAACTCGTCAACAGCATACTGAAGTACTTCGATCACCAAAAAGTGAGATGTAGCGATTTTAAAAAAAAATATTCTTTTCCCGTTAGGTCAACAAAGTGTGGTAATCGAGTGAACCATGGCAAATGGATGAAGAAATTTTAGTTTCTGAGAAAGAAAGTGCCTCATTTAGACATAAAATTGGAACTTAAGAAGTAATTAAATAAACATTTGAGTATTAAAAATTAAAAGCCCCATGAATGGCGTGCCCATTGTAGACAACGAGCTCGAGCTGCTTCGAGTGCCCCGCGGGACCTTAGCATAACTTAGGTCCGGTTAAACTCCTACTTATCCAGACTCGACCCCAGCATATGCGACGTATGCCCTGCATGTGGAGAGTCGCCGCACGACACTAATCTTAAACTAACTCGTCTAACCCCCCTCTCTATTTGGTTCAATCCCGTCGAAACAGCACGTTTCCTGGGCCTTCAACTAGATGATCTCGGCGACTTAGATTGATCAAACATTTACCTACGCGGGGTTAGCGAGACGCTACAAAAACAACAACAACAACACCACCAACAGCAACAACAACAACAACAACAACAAAAATTAACAGCTGTCATATTTAATAGCTCATAAATTCGACGTTTTTATAAATAATTTATTAATTCGTATTCCAAAACCCTTTCGTTGTAAAAAGACTTTTAGGAAATCAGAAGATGAAAGAAATACGACTTTGTGACTTGTTTGAAAAACTCTTCTTTGCAAGACGAGCATAAAAGTTTACTACAGTTTACTCAGTTGAGTAATTTTTCGGAAATTATTTTGATCTTATAGCAATGAACGTAGAAAACCTATAAAAAATGGGAGATAAATTTCAAGATCAAATGCGCATATACGGCAGCTCTTGTGTTATGCGTTTAATATAATAATAATTTTTCTTTTGACACTCCATTGTGAATGTTAAAAGTTGCGAGAAGAAGAAAAGAGTTTGTTAAAAATTGATTATTTTCTTTAAGCTACAATCTCATACAGGATTTGCTGATATGTTTTGATATTTTGATAAAATTGGGGGTGTTTCTTTAGACGAGTGTTTTTCAATGAGGCAATACTTGGTTGATATTCAGTACGGTTTGCCACTTCATAATGAACAGATTTACTCCAGGATATCGTTTGCAAATAGTGCGAATTTATTAGCTAAAATAATGTTTCGTTTCTTGCGGCGTCCAATATTCGACCGACACAATCGCACAGCCGAGTCGGTAATTCAAGCAACCGTGGACTGACCTCACACAATGTTTATTCTAATGGATAATGCGAAAGGTTCTAGGTTTTGCGGGCTTACAGAATCCAACTGGGGCAAGAATTGAAGCGGAACGACTAGGAAGTGCGTCGCGGTTAGGCGAATGGGCTCAAAACGGGTTAGCCACCGAAACCAATTTTCCAAAGAAAATTTTATTCAGCGATGAAGCGTCTTTTGTGGTTGAATTGGTAAGGTAATAAACAAAGATGTATCATTTATAGTGAAGATAAACCAGAAGCCATTGTTGAAACACCGTAACAACCACAAAAAGTCACTATTTGGTTTGCTCTACGGACGAAGGAGTCATTGGTCTATATTTCTTCAAAAATTAAACCAGGCATAATGTTACAGTCAATGGGGAATATCACAGAAACATGATTGATGAATTTTCAGAATTTATGTGAACGGCATTTGTTTCCAACCACGCGGTGCTACATTTGCTACAACAGCCAGCGAAAGAATTGATTTCTTTGAAGGAAACTTTTGGTTGATGCAATATATCGTGGCGTGGGGCTATGGTGTGGCCTCCAGGATGGTGTGATTGAACCCCGCTTACCATTTCTTTGGGGTTCTATGAAGTCTTTAAAATAAAGTTATATTCTTGGTCCCAACACAGTGTTCAAAAACACCCCTTAGAAGTCCAAAAACACTAGTAAAAAAAAAAATCGAATGAGTCAAATTAGCGAAATGTTCAACTTTTACCACCGGACTTTTGGTCTCACTTTGTTTATAAACGATTTGACATTTGGCCCAGGAGATTGAAAGCACTCAAGCTTTGAAAGAATTCGATGCAGTACCCGGTGGTGTAGGCTGAAGGAGTAAAATACTGCATTGAATGGATCAGGTGAAGAGTGACCTGGCGACCAGAGCTTTAGCAGCACCGAAAACCACTGACTTAAAATTCTATCTGAATTAAGCTTCTTGAAATTAAAATCTGAGCACTACAAGGCCGACACATTAGACGTTGCTTTGTTGGGCTCTTAAAGTGATAAAAACACTTACTGTTTCGCACATCTTGTTAGAAGCCCGTCTCAGGGGCTGTTTCGCAAAAGGAGCGAACCGAATTGCAAGCCAGAATAACCCCGTTAATGTACATATATTTTCGCATCTAACTTAATGAACTACGGAGATAGTAGCTTTACAAACAAACATGCATCTCCTACACACTACATACATATCTACTAAGCTACACTATGCAAAAACTACAAGCCATGCACTTCACAAACGCCTACAAGTATACAATGCATTTGTAAGCTTACCAAAAACAAACAGTTTCAATTCATTTGTCTTACCCTGCACCAATATAACCGGAAGTAACGACCGCTTCGCCTGGTCCACGGAAGACGCAAGTCAAGTTATACCGTTTATCGCGACTGGTTTGCACATTGTCAGAGAATTGCACAACCACAATGTTGGTCAGCGTGTCGCCGTACTGTGATCAAGAGGAAGAAGAAGCAGAATATAAATGCATTGTTGTTACAAAAATGTACAGTTATGACAAGGCAGGGTAATTTTGTGTGCAAAGAGAGGAAAATATAGAATAAAAAATATACTCTTTGTGTGCCGCAGTCCGGATAGCCTTGTGGACCGCTGATGCGTAACACATTCGCAGTGCCGCCATTGCCGCGGAAGAAACAACGATCGTAATAGCCATAGGTATAGATGCGTCCGAGGAAGCCCTCCGGTGTACGTATAGTGAATTCCATGCCCTCTTCGTTACAGGTTTGCGTAACTGGAATTGTATTTTAAAAATATATTCAAATGGAATTTTAGCGATTCTCTGCCTCTCTCTCTCTCTCTGTGATACCCACCATCCATGCACTCGCCATCGCTGCGACCCAAACTGCGTTCGTAATAATCATAATTGGCCGCGTCAAAATAGTTCGGATCGTGCACATCCAGCTCACGTGAGTCGCGATCGCTCAGCTCACAGTTGGGTAGATCGCGTTCATCATAATTTGTAGCTGCCGCATCTCTGCGGAAGAGAGGTAGAAACCAAATTTCATATAATTCCAAAAAGAGTTCCTTGCAACACTCACCTGTAATTGAAGCTACGGCATACGAATTCGCGCGACTCAATACACTCCCGCTCGCATTGGATGAGGGAGGGCACGACTAGTGATCTTCGTACATAGTGTCGACGCATTTTATGGCGCGCCGCAATCTGCTTGAAATTGTCGGTTTCCTCACAACGCGTCACCTGTGGACGTGGCGGACCTGCAGGAGCAACTGGTCCCAGACCACCAAGCCCACCACCGCCATAAGAATGTAATGGTGGTGGTAGAGGACGGTTGTCGTTGAGTGGTGGTGGCGCTGCACCATGGCCATATGGACGATTGAAGGGACTTTCATAGTGAGGATAACCGCTACCACCTCCGCCTCCGCTAAATGGACGTCTGCCGATCGGACCTTCATATTCACGATCGTAACCGCCATAACGATCACCATAGCGTTCCTCATAGTCCACATCATAGTAGTGGGGTGGTGGGGGTGGACGGTCATAACCTTAATAAAGAAAGACAAAGAAATATTTACCACGTATTCGGCATAGCCCGCAAGGCACTCACAGTTAATTACACAAAGACTTTGCTAGTTTATTAATACTTTCTAGTAAATGACATGAGCTCACCTGGTCTGACGCCAGAGCTACTGCCACTGCTACCATATCGATTACCATATTTATATATATCGACTGGATAGCGATCTGTACCTACCGGAAATCGATTGGGCGATGAGGGATATTTACTTATCGTTGTGGGTGGCACTAAAGGCGCGGGTGGGAATCGTTTGGCGGACTCTGGCTCCGGCCTACGCGCGCTATGTATTAGATCATCTGGTGGATAACGTCCATCTGGTCCGTATCGCGGTGGTGGTAATCCACCACGGCCATCAGTCAATAATGGATAACGCGAATCGATTGAGGATGGGCGAAAACGTTTATCCAAAAAGAAGCTATCGGGCGCATCACGTCCGGTATAACCACCCACGGGGTCTCTTGCTGGTGGATAACGTGAGGGGTAGCGACTGGCGTAGCGATCTTCTGGATAACGACCTGTAGTTCCGTAAGGTCGATAAGATAGATCGTCGTCGGGCGGATAAGGTCGAGTGTGTGGCACGTCACTTGGTAAGCCATTATCGGTAATAGGCGGCACAGGATAACGATCCAAAGGTCTATAGGGATAACGATCGCGTGGTGGGTACCCACCAATTGGATAACGATCACGGTCACGATCACGCTCACCATAACGACCGGGTGGATAACGATCATCGAAGCCAGGATAACGTTCACGATCACGATCACCAATCGGATAGCGTTCGCGATCGCCAACAGGGTAACGATCACGATCACCAGCTGGATAACGCTCTCCAATAGGATAACGATCTCGATCACTCACCGGATATCTATCACGATCACGTTCGCCAATGGGATAACGGTCGCGATCACGATCGAGTGGGTAACGATCACGTTCGCCAGGGTAGCGATCACGTTCACCAGGGTATCGATCGCGATCACCTGGATATAAGTCAAGACCACCACCAGGATAGCGATCACGATCACCAGGATAACGTTCTGGATCATTACTCGGTAGACGACCAGGTCCGGGGTAGCGTTCATCATACGGATCACGACCGTCAACTGACGGTGGGTAACGGCCATCACCAGCGTAACGGTCGCCACCGCTTCCACCGCCACCAGCGCCAGGATAACGATCTAGGGTAGGAGGGTTAATAAAGCGTTAGTTGTTAGTTGGTTAGCGTGTGAGTAAGTGTATGATGTATGTAAAAGGTATTAGATAAATCAAAATTCAAAAGAATTAGAGAGTGATGCTGAGTTAAACAGAAAGCAGAAATTAAAAATAAGTACACAAATGCCATTTACCATATTCATTCGGCGTTGGGTAGCGATCGTAGGGACGTCCATACTCATCAACTCCTGCACCGCCTGTGCCTCCTGCACCGCCACCACCGGCGGGGTATCTGCCACCCGTACCGCCGCCACCGCCACCGCCACCACCACCACCAGTGCCATAACGATCATCGTCTTTGCTGGGTGGTCGCCAATTGGAGCCGCCGTGTTCACCGGGCCGGTGACTGCCACCATTACCAGCGCCACCATGTCCGTCCGCATCGCCGCCGCCGACCACATTCACTAACGTACCAAATTAAAACAATTAGAGCAAATAAGAATGCTTGTAATTACGCTTAAGATCACCGATCTAATTGTTACAGGCCGGCCAACAGCCAGCTCGGCTCAATTGCACTACTTACACATCAGATTCTCATAATAATCATAGTCGGCATCATAAATAATGCGCATGCCATCCTTTTGATTGTAGCGACTCAGGCGACAAGTTCGAAAACGATCACTGTAGACTGCCGATCTGGAATGTGTGTGTGGTAGTGTGTGTGTTGAGAATATAAAGGTAAATTAATAATACTGTTAAAGTGTCAAAGTGTCGAAGTGAAAGGCTGGCTGGAGTGGGAATGTGGCGTGGAATTTAATATGACAAGTTTATTTAATGATTTTAATGTGTTCGCTGAGCCGCGTTTTTGTTATTGCTCACAATGTTTAATAGCCCACCACTTTGTTGCTACCAGTCAACGCGGAACAGTTGTGAATAACGGTTAAGCAAGATGTTTAAACACGTATTGCCGACAGTGCCGGATCATCTCGGTTAGCGCAAATTCACACAAATGTACACTAATTATTTTAAGTGGCAGCGTAAATGCCGGCGAGAGGCGAGTTCCTTGCTGGTAGGAGATAAGATATGACAGGCTCCTCTCGAACCTGAGAGCTATAGAGGCGTAATTACAACTTTCAGAGTGAATTTGGTTGACTAATTAAGATTGGCTATCTAATAAAAGCTAACTAAAAGCATCCTTTTAGGATTATCTTTATAAGACTGTTTTAGTACGACTATCTTTTTAAGACTACTTTCCTAAGACTATTTCACTCACTATTTTACCAAAACTTTTTTTAAAAATTGGTTGCCTCAAGTTATTGAACGTTCTCTCCCTCTCTTTGATCGGCAAACTGTTTACTCTCGGCAGCCATAGTAGCTGCGTAGTTAGCAAGTCGTACCGCCATACTGAAGGCCAGGCCGCGAGTCTTGATGCGACCATAATCCCAAATTATAGAAAACAATGTTTTTTTTTTATTGGAGTCGCTCTTCGGTAGGGAATGTCAAGCCGAATGTATTCCTTTCTGAGATGAAATATCAGGTGTACAACTTTGCTTCCGCCGTTTTTTTCTAAATTTAAAAGCTTTGTTGCGAAAAAGTGCTTGCAGATGTATTATTCAAAGTAGTGTTCTTCGCTAGCGACAACTTTCTCCCATCTTTCCTGGAATTTTCGGATCCTGGTTCCTCTTTTGACGCTATCTATGAAGCAATCCATTTTTCCAATTCTTCGAAGGATTGAAAATGTTGATCTGCCAGGCCGTGTGCCATCGAACGGAAAAGGTGGAAGTCAGAAGGGGCGACATCTGGGGAATAAGGCGGGTGGGGCAAGATGTCCCATTTCAGCGTTTCCAGGTACTTTTTGACCACGTTTGCGACGTGAGGCCGAGCATTGTCGTGTTGGAGGATGACTTTGTCATGTCGCTCTTGATATTGTGGCTGCTTTTCTTTTAGCGTGCGACTAAGGCGCATCAGCTGCGTTCGGTAGCGTTCTCCTGTGATGGTTTCACCCGGTTTTAAGAGCTCGTAGTAAATCACACCGAGCTGATCCCACCAAATTTCTCTTCCACCACCATGTTTGTCTTCGACATCGTAATCATCATTTTTAAAACGTTGTAACCACTCCCGACACGTTCTTTCACTCAGAGCAGCATCACCGTAAGTTTCTGAGAGCATTCGATGCGCTTCAGCTGCATTTTTTTTCGAATTGTAACAGAAAAGTAAAACTTCCCGCAAATGGAGAGAATTAGGCACATAATCGGACATTATCGAGCGTGAATAATACGAAAACAAGAACAACTGTCACAAACGACGATGACAATTCGTTAGGCACTGTCCACTCTCACTTTAAAGGCAGCCGGTACAGCCACCTATCGGAAAACGGCGGAAGCAAAGTTGCACACCTGATATAAATCCATCGTCCGTTCAGAGGCGGCTTGAAATAAACTGTGGGTCTTTCCATTTGTTAGAAAACATCAAGGGGGATATCTCAAATTTGAGGATGTGATCAGCCCAAAATCGCTTCACAAAGTGCCAATTATATATATAATATATATACTCTTCAATTCTAGCGTACGATCACAGTCGCAGAAAAAAAAACCAATCGAAAGAGCTAAAAATATCGTGTAGATAATATTTTTTGTTTAATTTTATGCTTCGGGTTAGGTTCGGTTGTGGGTGACTGGCTTTGTCAGTTAGGTCGAACTGTGTTTTTTTTTTTGATTAACAATTTTGGAGTAGACGAGTAAGAGCCCAGAAAACAATATGCCGCAGTTGAAAAAAAAGAAGAAATATGTAATCAATACCGATTCCCGCAAGCTCAATGCAGACAAGGGGAAAGTGGCAGGATCTGCTGCCAAATTATACATGAACGAATCCAAAACAAAGACACACATTAAAAGTGAAAGCGACTTCTGAAAGATCCTGCAATCTCCCACGATCGAACGCTGACTCTGGTCATTGCACACGTTCTATTAGTATTAAATCAGCATTCACAGAGGTGAAGCGAGGTCTATTTAAATTTCAAGCCGATTCACAAAATTCACGTTATAGAAAAGTAAGTCAAGCGTTATGAAGTTAATCTTGTGGGCTCCATATGCATATATCAGGCAAGGAGAGCCGTCAGAATAAATGCCAAACTCTGTAAAAGTGAACTGATTTCATTCGAAAATCCATAATGTACGCCATATACTCTGGCTCGATGGCTTTGTGGGCAAAAAACTTCATTACCGTAGTCCTTCAACCTAGTCTTAACTCAGCCGTGAAGAAGTTATTGCTTTTCCTCTTCAAACCAAACATCGATAAAAGAATCACGGCAAAGAAATGCCAACTCAATCAGCTTATTCAGCTTGGCATTGAACACATTGTTAGGTTTCCTCCCAATGCACTCGCGCTCTCGTCTTCTGACAAGGAGTACGTATGTTAAACTAGCACCACTTGAGGCTATAAATGCCACAGTTATTGTCCATACCTTTACTACAAAGTAAGTATTCTTACGGTCTTTTAGCTTTCGCTGCAATCTGTGACCCACAACAACTGTTTTCAGTCGAATATTTTTTGTATCGCTTTCCCATGGTACCTTTACGAATGTGTCTCGCCATCGTCGCTACACTGCCCTTCTTCTCAAAGTTTTGTCTGATCTTCGACCCAGCTGGTTCCTCGCAAAGAGAAGTTGAGAAATTGATCGCGAACGGTTGCATATTTCAATTATACGTTTGCGAATAGTTTCCTCGATTCGTACTAAAAGTTAGAGGGCAGCTCGGTCAAAGACCACTTCAGGCCTTAATAAACGTGAAGTACATTCGGCTTTCTCCAAACTTGACAAAGAAACGAAGGGAATGGATCTGGTAGTGAACGAGAGCGAGATGAAATATCTTCTGCCAACAAACAAACGGTCGCAGCTTCCCTCTTGCCAACAGGTGCTACTTTGGACTGAGTACGCAATTGAAAAGTAAAACCTCTCTCGACGAACGAAAACCAACCTCTCGAAACTTTTTATCACAGTCGTCCTATTATAGAGTGTGGAAGCCCGGACTATGTCAACAGCCGATAAGGCAGCTCTGGGAGTCTTAGATAGAAAAGTTTTGCGAACGATTTATGGTTCATTGCGCATTGGGCTATCGCGAATATCGCAGACGATGGATTCGTGCTTCAACACCGATGAAATCCAATTTGGGGTTTTCACAGTTTACTGGTTTATCTGCTCTTCGAGACTAAGCTACTTACCGACACTGGAAACTTGTTTGGCGCAAACACTCATCGAGACATTCGCTCAAAGAGCGGCCCGTAATTTCGGAATGAAATTCACCGCCCAGCCGAGAGTTACGATAGCGTTGAAAAGCGGTGTCGGGACGACGACCCGAAGAGAACAAATGCGATGTGACGGAATTATCGGGGTAATCGGTAGCGCGTTCTGTGGGGAAAATTGTAAAGAAGAAAAAAAGAAAAGAAGAAAATGAAGTTTGGAAAATATTATTCAGATAAAAATAAAAACTTTTCGACTAGGCAGATGAATTGTGTGAACCTTCATGTATTTTCAAGCGCCACATTTTGTAAATAAATGGCAACACTTCCGTGCTTATTTCTCTACAATTCAACCGCTTCTCCACATTTCTCTACCCTTTTCACAATCACCCCCTCCCAGCGCCGTACTTACGATTGTCCAAGCACACGAGATCATAGAAATGATGCGTCGGACTGGAACTGATGCTGATGTCGTCTTTTTGTGAAATGGAATCCTCCTCAGATAAAATGCATTGCTTTGTCTGATCGTCAAACTCGACGGAACGGCAAAAATATCTGGAATTACAATAACAATTGCCAGTGTCTTAGTACACAATTATTTAATTATATTTGCACAAGGAAAGCCATCAACTCGATTGTTATGTAATTTTTTGCAATTGTCTCGCCTGTGTAAGGTGTGTATGGGTGTGTGTGTGTGTGGGTATGTGTATGCATCACTTACTTTTCAGCGCGCAGACACATCGTCTGACATTCTTCCAATGTCATGTTATTGAATATATCCACTTCGAAGGGACCGCCCAGTCGTTTGTTCTCCTCCTTAACGAACACCGCGAGACCGTCACAACGTCGTTCGGCTGTGGAAAAATTGCCAATGTAATTTAATTGCATGTATCAGGTATATACGAGTACGTTATGTATATATGTATGTATGTGTGTGTGTGTAGGTTTGTATGTGTGTGTTTGATAAGTGGAATTTGTTTTGATTTGGAATGATAACAAGGAAGGATGATAATTTGCAGGTTTGCTTGCTTACATATGCTCTTCTGTAAGTGTGTGTATGCACGCATGTATGTATGTATGTATGTGTGTGTGTGTATATATATATCTTGTATATTTATATATGTTGAACATTTGTTTGCAGCGACAACTACAATAAAAGTGGAATTTGCATGCATGCATACCATTCAAACAGGTGTTCTCCAGATAGTCAGAGTTGGGGTCATCTTCGAGTAGTTCGGGATGTGTGCGACGTGTGAACCTGTTGATGTGGAGATAAATATTTAATTAACGGTTGGTTTGCTTAGGAAACATTTGTGCTCGTTTGTAAGTATATAAATGTATGTATGTGAGGATATGGAATAAAGTGTAATTCACACGCAAGGCAGCCAAGTTGAGATCACTCTGATCACAGCACATTCAGATTTTCGACTGATTCGGGTAATATCTGATCAGTGTCGATCATAAGCTGTTTCTGTGGGCCGAAATGGTGAAGTGCGAGAGGTAAAATGGTCCCAAAAGGATCGAACGTTTGACGTTGGAGCTGCTGAGCTTCTCCTTAAAGCGGAGCTTAGGTTTCTAGCGTGATTACGAGCATCTCTGTTAGAAGCTGCGAGTTTACAAGCAGAACTCTGACAACCTTATATAAGTTACACTTAGCTGGCTCGTTGTTGTTTTTACTATAAACGCAAAATAAATCGCAAAATCGGTCTTAGGAAAGGATAATCCTTAGTCGAGTAAAAAAAGTACGTGTCATTCCGGTATAAAATCCCAACTTCTATAGGAACTATTGGGTTTTAGTCGCCTCCAAAGATGTGATGAATTTTCGGCGGGAAGACTTCTTCATCCGGCTGAATGGTAGCGACAACAAAACACACGGTAATTCATTTGATGCTTTGATCGATGGGTTTGGAAAGGACATTTGATTACTAAACTATGAAGAGCTCCGAATAGCAATTGTCTGCCTGAAGAACAACAAAGTGGTGGAAGCCGATGGCTTTCCGGCTGAGCTATTCAGATATGACCGCGAAGAACTGTCGAAGTGCATGCATTAGTTTCTTTCTAATATATGGTTGGATGAAAGCCTGCCCGACGATTGTGCCCAACATGTGCTCTGAACAATCCACAATAAGTAGGATATTACACTTTGCGCAATTTATCGTGGGATAAGCCTGCTCAATATCGTATTTTAGGCCTTTTCGAGCGTACTCTATGCATGATTTAAGCCTATCTTCACACCGCTAGCGAACTAATTTGACTGCTGCCTCTACGTCGCCTGAAGTCGGGCTCTGTAAATTTATGCTGAGCAACACCCAAAGCTCCAACCGTCGGGAAAGACCTCTTCGAGCCCTTCGATACTATACGAGTTGGCAGATCTTGTGGCTGTTTATCGTGTGGTTTCGGAATGTGTAATCTGCCAAAAAGACAGGCAACTTCTGGCTCATGCCGATTATATCGACATCTTCTCCCAATAGGCTAGCGAACACATAGTCACACGTCTGACTAGGAATCCGCATCAACACCAACAACATTGTCAGTCTCGGAATCGATTTCCAAAAAGGATCTGGCTTCACTTGGTATCTCCGAACGACTAAGATAAGAAGGACCGAATGATATGCTGTTGTTGAAAGATAGAAGTCGCCTCCTCCTATGACAGACATCCGCTACGGTTTGAAATCCTGAATCGTTTAGAGCGAGGAACGCAGTTGAATCATATTTTTTTCTCTAGCTGGTGGAAGAGTCTCTGCTTTGGTTTCAGGTCTGTTCAAGAAACGTAGGAAAATGTGAGAATTTCCAAGCTCTATAGCCCGTACTTCTTCGTTAAGGCTACCAGCGGTTGGAGATATGTGACTACCCATTGACAAATAGCTAGCCTAGACCTCTGCACACCCTTTGTATTTGCCCCTTATTCTGTTAAATTCCTTTGTATTTCTCCTCATTGATATGTATTCCTCTGAGACTCTCTCTAACCTAGTGAGACAACAGGTTTCCTAAGTCTAAGATTGGATGACCTGAAAACATTTTAGGATTTTTTTAGCGCATTTTCTCCACCACCCACACGCTAAACCGACCGAAAGATGTGTCGGGAGCACGAAGAAGAGTTTAATGAATTGACGAATGAAATCCCGCGATGATCCGGATTGCACTGACTTCGAATTGCCACGCTTGATCAACTCAATGACGCTGAGCTCGATTGCAGTTTATATAACCAATAGCACATGATTAACCAATAAAGTGTGAGCCCCACCTAAAGATATACAAACAACATCTTTTAAATACTCTAACACTCACCTACTCAGCGTACAGGAACGCATTGTCGAATCAAAGTTGGCGGAGCGACAAACGAAGGCGAACTCATTCAAACACTTGTCCTCGCAGTCCGAACGATTCGCGGCCGTAAACTGTATGAAGACAAACTTGAATGTGTTAACGATAAAAGTGTTACAACTACTTAGTAACCATAGAGGCAATAATCATAAATACAACAACAAAAAATGGTAAATGCAATAACAGTAACTACAACAATAATAATAGACAATCAAAGAACAGTTGAGTGGACTCCAGTATGCAGTCAATATAAACACACCTCCTTAACATCCGATATGGGTAATTTCAATTTCTTGCGTGGATGCCGTTCGAAGACATAACGCCTACTGGGACATTCTCTTTCCGGGCGATTCGCTGCATAAGGAGATAGTGAGAGAGGAGATTAGATCTCTATTCAATCTATTTATTTTATGTTAAAAATTAAGCCACACATTGCTGAGTGTATGCTCCACATACTCGTATGTACTTACAAGTCAAGCAAATCTCATTGAAATGCACACTATTGGGCACCAGCATTAGGCTACCTATACCCTCGGGGCCGGCTTGTTCGGATGTCAAGTAGCAAAGGGACTCTTCATATTCGGAGGTGCCACCGAATGAGGTGATACGACTGCCGGGTTGAAAGTCGAAGCTGGTGCAGGTGCGCACCAAATTGTTGGTGCCGGTGCGATCGCGCAGACACAAATCTTGACACTTCTCGAGTACACGAAAGGGCGGTGCTGTGTCACGTACCACATCATCATCGTAGCCCTGTAATTGTTGGTTGGGCAAACGTTCGTAGAGGACACGTCCCAGGCCATTCTTGCAGGTGGTTTGTGCTGCGAAAGATAGATGTAGAGCAGTTGATTGCAATTATTTGTGTGTGTGTGAGATGAGCTTACCATAACCTGCTTGTATGCCTAAACTAAATACTACGGCTAAGTATATCAAAAGTAGCGGTTGTTTGGTGTTCGTCATTGTTGTTGTGAGCTGGTGTTGATTTTTTTTCTTTTTTTTTATATATATATATATTTAATAATATTTTTCCTTTAAGGGTACCAATACCTTTGCAGTCTTGGTTAAGAGTTTATTTAATGATCGGCGGTTTAGACCGCATTCTTACGGCTCAGCAGTTTGTTGTTGTAGCTGAAACAAAGAAATTGAAGATTTTAGTAAATATATAACATAAAATAAGTATTTTAACACACATATATAATTTTATAATTTTTTAATAAATCAAATTTAATAATTTTAATTAAACTCTTCTCAAGCCACTACAAGGCTTCACGCAGAAAATGTTGTGAAATACAAATGTCAATTGAAATTGTTGTTGCCAGATACAGCTTAAAATGTATATGTAATTATTATAATTCACTGGAAAAATCAAGAGCTTCTACGAGATTCCAGTTTTTTTTAGAAATTCCTTTTACCTTCGCCCTCTCTCCCTCCATTTTGTTTAAACAGGTCTTTTACATTTCTTTTGGTGCACGAAATTTTTATAAAGTTGCGAAGTTGGACAAGTAGGAATAAAAGGAGAGACTATTTGGAGCCACTTTTGCTTTGGTCTCAGCTACGAGGTTAAACCTCGAAGCACCGCCTTCAAGTTCGGAACGCGACACGTGACAAACTCGATAAAATAAATAGAAATGATATAAAACGAAAGAATCATGGTCAAGAGTTGACGGCAAGCAAGGTGATGGCCTTTTTTAACCTCTTAGGCAGACATTCCTTTTCTTTGCTGAGGTTTCTTCTAGCAGTCGGACTGCGTTTCAAGATTTTCATACTCTTTGTCTCTCACTGCCCACTTCACTCATCCACCCAGCTCTTTTTCCAGCATTGTCTGATGTATGCTCTCAGAGTGAGTGCAAATCGAGTAGAAAATCATTCAGATGTCTATTGTATGTTGCAACTTTTCGAGGTCGGACCTTCCTTGTTTTATACGCGTTGAGGTTAGGTTCCCGTTCTCGTTAATCACAACACGATCGTTTGGGTTGTCATGTTCCGGGATGAGTTTTCTTGGTCCTGAAGCAACAACTATATTCCGTGTCACGGTTACGTCGAATGTTTCGGCGTCATCACGTCTTTTTATCCATCATGGCGTGAGAGCAAATCTGTGATAAATTCAAAAAGAGGGTTCCCCATATTTGAATTGCTTATTGAAGCAGATTTTTTTGCCTTTTCACCTTAGCTCGCTTCCAGATGGATGAAGTTTTTATATAAAACGTCGTGAGCTAATTGAATCATATCCACCATTCCCCATCCCGCATATACAATTGTGTCTAATATTTTTTAAGTGGCTTTTTTTTTAAGTTCAAAAGTTAAATTACTCGAAAAGTGTGTAAGTACTAAAAGAAGAAAAGATGGAGCCATCACAATTCCCTTGGGTTGATTTAGCCATGCCCCTCAGTTTCGGAGATATTTCAACCAAACTTGATACACAGATGTATTGGCAAATTTACATGATCATTTGGCGGAACCAGCCAGTTCGGAACACTATAGTATAGGAATATCCATTTCGTAGTTTTTAAAGTACAGGGCTGTGGAGGGAACAGTTTATTCTGAGCTGGCTTGGAACGGCCGATAGATATTTATGAGGAGATTTTATTTGATATCAGAAACACATTTGAAGGGCTTGATATTCCCTGCCGAGAGGCGACCGCAACTGCAAAAATTCTTTTTTTATAATTTTGGAAGACTCGATCGAACCGTGGTCTTGCCATTGCGGCCGCCACACCTACAACCACCTGATTTACGGTGTTTAGGTGCTTGAACAACGTGACGGTGATTTTATGAACCAAATTTTTCTGAGAGACGAGTTACATTTCTCACTCGGGAGACACGTAAGAAAGTAAAATTGTCACACATAGTGCTCCGCGAATTTGGAATAGAGGTGTGAGTGGCAGTACTCCGAGCCGGTTCGTAGGATAACCGACTTTTTTTTGTTCACGACTTGAGAATTTATGTTTACAGCAAGATGCCAATGTGCCACATGTCACAGAACAAGAGCGAATATGGCTATATTGCGAGATCTCTCATATCTGCGGTCCAAATTGCCCATTGAAGCCGTGCGATTCGACTTTTTTTGAAGGGCTACGATAAAGATATTCCTTATGTGGCTAAACCTTTAACTAATTAGTACTTGAAAACCAAGATTCGTCAAGTTATGGCTGAGATACCGGCGAGTTTGTGCCAAGAAGTGTCTGAAAATTACCGCAAATAATTGTTATTGAAACTGAGTTTTTGGGAGTGGCCAGAAGCGATTCTTTTGCATATGGTTTAAGCAGCTCCCGACTTCCGGTCTTAGACCAAGTATCCCCTGGGTAGCCAACAAACATTAGTTTGGAGGCGAGCTAAAGTGAGAAGGCAAATGCCATGCGGTTGTGTGAAGGGCTTGGCACCCAGCACTTGAAAAATAAACCACAATAAAAAATTGTATTATGCCTGGGATGAGAGACCCTCTTTTAATGACAAACCCCACAAATGATTTAAGGATTATGATTTGAGGTCATGCGCCTGGAATATCCGGTCCCTTAATTGGGAATGTGTCGCTGTCCAGCTGATAGATGTTCTCATAAAATTAAAGGCTGACATCACCGCCGTCCAAGAAATGCGGGGCAGGGACGGAAGAAGGTGGGTCCTTGTGAAATTTACTACAGCGGCCACATAAAAGAGCGTAAATTTGGATTTTGTGGTAAAGACACCGTCGCTGAGTACTGGCAATTATTCCGGTAGATGAACGTATCCCCATAATCCGCATCAAAGTGAAATTCTTCAACATATCGTTGATTTGCGCCCACACCCCGACGAAAGAGCAGCATGATTTGGCCAAAGTTGCCTTTTATGAGCGCCTAGAGCATACTTACGACCGCTGGCCCCGACACGATGTGAAAATCGTGCTTGGTGACTTGGTGGACAAAGAAGGTATCTTCGGTACAACGGCCGGAAAATTCAGCTTCCACGACGAGTTGAGGCTGATCGACTGCGCCGGGGCCCGAAATATGGTTGTATGTAGCACTAGATACCAGCACAAGAAACTCCACCAAGATGCTTGGCTACTTGGCCCTGATCAAAAAGACAAACTCAGATCGAAAATGTTTTGATAGATGGAAAAAGCCTTCGGCAGCATGAAAAGGAGCTGTCTTTACGCCGCTTTGTTCGAATTTGGTATTCACGCAAAACTTATACAGCTGTGTCAACTGACGCTAGACAACACCAGAAGCGCGGTCGAATTGGGAAGGTCCTCTCCGAGCCGTTCGGTTCCCACCGAGGTTTCAGACAGGGTGGCTCTTTATCGTGTGATTTCTTCAATTTGATGCTGCAGAAATAATAAAAGCTGCAGAGCTAAATATAGAAGGTACAGTATTTTAAAAGAGTGTACAACTACTGGTGTACGCTGATGATATTGACATGATCGGCCTCAACAAACGTGTCGTTAGTTCTGCTTCTTCCAGACTGGATAAGGAAGAAAAGCGAATGGGTCTGGTAGTGAATGAGGGCAAGATGAAATATCTTCTGTCATCAAACAAACCGTCATCGCATTCACGACTCGGCTGTCACGTCACTGTTGATAGTCATATCTTCGGCTTGGTTGATAACTTCGTCTATCTAGGAACCAACATCAACACCAACAATCATGTCAGCCTTGAAATCCAAAGCAGAATCACTCTTGCCAACAGGTGGATGGGATTGAGGAGACAATTGAAAAGTAAAGTCCTCTCTCGGCGAACGAAATTCAAACTCTACTAGTCCCTCATCATAACCGTCCTACTATGCGGCGCAAATGCGTGGACGGTGTCAACAGCTGATGAGTCGGTTTTGGAAGTCTACAATAGAAGAGTTTCGCGAACGATTTATGGTCCTTTGCACATTGGCAACGGTGAATACCGCAGACGATGGAACGATGAGCTGTACGAGCTATACGATGATATTGACGTAGTTCAGCAAATCAATCCGGGATTCGGATGGAAAGTTTATGAAGCAGAGGAATAGGAAGACCTCCACTCCGTTGGAAGGATCAGGTGGAGAGTGACCAGACCTCACTTGTTACTTCCAGCTGGCGCCAAACACCGCAAAAATGGTATGAATGGCGCACTATAATTAATTCGACCATAATCGCGTAAGCGGTGCCAACGCCAATGAAGAAGAAGAAGCACTATTTCATCATTAAATAAAATTGTTCTATGTTTAAATATGTACATACATACACATACATAAAAAAATGCGTTTAAAAGTGATTTTGACCTCAATAAATGGAAATTATGACAATTTCAATTGTTATGGAACAAAAAAAAAATTATACATACATAGACATATATGTACATATGCAGATGTATATACTTGTACATATATAGGCTTATGAATATTTGCTCTGAACAATTATTTCTATTTAATTTAATAGTGACCAAACCAAACTGCTGCAGTTGTTGTTGCTTATATTTTGATTATTACGAGTAAGTGCAATATGCGTAACGAAACAAAAAACAATAACAAAAACAAGTAAATTAAGTAAAAACTGATTAACATAATAAGAGCATATTGCGGTATATACATATATAAATACATATACATACATAAACATATTTACAAAAATAAATTTGAAAATACATTTCTGAGTTTAAATGAGATTCTGAAGCTCACAGTAGTTCACAGTACGAGTATGTATGTAAGCCGTGTATGGCTTGGCCGGATGTTGGTTCCGGTTCTTTTTATTTCGCCTATAAAAGTTGCAGACAGCAGCGCCTACACGCATTCTCGTATGCAGCAAATAATGGTTATTTGTGTGTGTGTGTGAGTGTGTGTGTGTATGTGTCTGTGTGTATGTGGAAAGTGAAAAATGTCAACTGTCACTTTGACATTTACAATTCACCTGACCATTCATTCGTTAGTTCTGTTACACGTTTTTGTTATTGTTATAATTTTTATTGCTAACCTGATGTTGTTTGACTTCTTTGCCACAAGCACACAAACAAACATACTCGTATATATTATATATGTATGTATATACAATCGGCATTGGCATTCGATTTGAATGTTTGGACCGCTT